CCCCCCCCCACCCCCCCCCCCCCCCCCCCCCCCCCCCCCCCCCCCCCCCCCCCCCCCCCCCCCCCCCCCCCCCCCCCCCCCCCCCCCCCCCCCCCTAGGTGTAAGTCGTGGACAATAAGGAGATATGTGTCATACAATATCCAATCCGATTAATTTCACTGCTGTAGTCGATAAACGCTTGCACCTTGTTCAAGAATCAAAACGCAGTCCTCCCCGTTTTAATAGTCTTCAACACACCCTCATCTGCAAGCTGCTCCCACATGTTCCACAGCATAAAATCGCAACCTCTTTTTGCAATGACGCTCACCGTAACCGGGATCATCTCCTCGACGAAACTCACATTGCTCAAGTAGGGTACTTGCCCAATCGGAATTGTCATGTCGACACATCCATATATGGGGCATAGGCTGGCCCCATTGATACCTGCAGTCGGCGGTGTCACAGCTAGGAAGGTTGTCGTGTTGGGATCGCTGTTGAGAGATTCCTCCCGATAGCTCGGCAACCCGCCTGTGCCAATGTCCCACAGCATGATGCTTTCGCTGCACGATTCCGGGGTTGAGTACAGTATCTCCGATTCAAACCAGTCTACAGCTGCTCGCTTAACACTTAGAGACTGGTTATACAGCTCATCGGTATACAACGATTCGTTGTACGCCTTCCATCTGGGCCGCTGGGCTGGGTCGATCGGTGGAAAGCGACCCTCATATCGTTCCCCCCATGCTGCAATCAGCGGTTTACCCACCTTTTGGTACTGCGTCATGGAGTTAATAACGGCCGTGGCGTTATTTAGAGCATCATATTTAGGAACTTCGTTAGTTGTGTTACCAACAACCGCAGTTAAATTAAAATCTTCGACCGTCATCCCAAAGACTGTCGTCAGGTTTCGGATAAACCCCTGAAGTATTTCCTCCGCGGTCGGGTTCTTCAGGGGTAAGTAGTCCGTGAGATACAAGATGCGCTTTGGGAAATCATATGAGTCGGATGCTTTGAGGGGACTCAACCCCGTGATCGAAGGGTCCTGGCACATCTCAGGGACGTACCAGTTCTTAGCGAAGCGCACCCAGTCGCGCACGTTTCGGGAGAATACGCCTGCTGTGTCTGTCGCCGCACCGAGGGGCATGACTCTAGAAAGCGTCATTAGTCCTTGGCTCGGTCGATTCCCGTAAGTCCCAGACACAGCAGCAGGTCGTCTCATTGAGGATCCGGTATCCGAGCCGATCGCGAAGTCAAGCCAGTCGTATGCAGCTACAGAGCAACCACCACCAGAAGATGAGGCAGAGCATGTAAGCCAGCCGTCGCCGCGCGGGTTGAATGGGTAATGCTCGTCCTGCCAGTCCCAAGGATTCGCACCGGACGCGAATTGTGCTAACTTATACTTGCCAATGAGAACACCGCCTAAATCAACTATCCGTTGGATGGACGGCGCGGTCTCGTTCGCAACCTCGACGATCTCTGCCCATGCCTGGCTACCGCCTGATGTGATTAGGCCCTTTATATCGAATAGATCTTTGATCGCGACTCGATACCCTGCGAGCGGCCTCGCGTCGTCCCAGCTGTAAATACGGGAGGGCACTGGGATCATAGGGTCCCAGAATCGGGGTTGGAATATTTCTACGGGACTGAACGTGCCCTCCCCATCATTGGAATCATATGCGCCATAGAGAAAGTTGCGGTATGAGTCGCGGTAGAGTCGATACACTGTCCCGAACGCAATCGAGTCATCCGAAACCAGCGCGGCGTATGGCCCAGCAGTGAGGTTGCTAGCATTTGAGTCCCCGACGTAAGTTACTGCGATGTCCGTGGAGTCTTAAGGATGGTCAGCTCGAGAGTTTCTCGGGGGGTTGCGCGGGCCGTTAAGGTGGGATGATCCGAGAACTTACAACAGCTACTTTTAAAACTAACGTCTAAGAGTAAATGATGTGGTGCAAGACCGTTCAGGTATTCAAGCGCACTTGCATCAAGGCTCTGGCTGTTGCTCGTGCCATTATTGACAATGTATATACCCTCTAAGAAATCCTCAGAGAACACGTCGTCACCCTCTAAGTAGCTCGCAATGATATCCTGCAAGTACTCGGCAGTCACAACTTCGCTGTCTGCAAATACGACGGCGAATGGCACTAATGAGCCCTGCCGGCTTGCCGTAGCCCGATCATTTCCGCCGAGGATCGCCTTGGGGTATCGAATGTTTGCCAAGTAAGTCTTGTCGCCAAGCCCGAACGCAACGCCGCCGTATTGTGTAGTCTGTAGGTATTCGAGAGGGGCACGTTTCACGGGTCTCGCCAATATTAAACAGGCGCATAAAAGGAACGATATACATCGATAGTTTAAGCCAGGGAAGCCCATCTTTTAGCTCCGACTGGGTGTTTAGGTTGGAGATCCTTCGTCATTGAAGGTGCGAGTATGATCCCCCTCCCGGATCAGGGTCCGTCCATGACGGCTGCCCGCGGTTTATATCTTTATATTTCTACACTTGATCGATTGGTATCTATCCTTTCCAACAAGCCGACCGGATGATATCTTATCTTCGCGCAGCCTTGTAGGTCTCCTTCCGCAGCTTGGCTACTGCTCTGAATGTTGCCCAGCTCGTGGGCTGGCTTATCATCAAGACCCATCGGAACCCCGGCAGCCTCAAACCGACGTCGTATTGCAGACAACTAAAGCTATCTTCACCGGTCTGGCGCAAAATGAGGTGTCAGATGCAGATTTCCCGTGGAGGATCGGCGGGCTCCTAATCTTCCCGTTGGTTACGGCCCTGGCGGATGTGACTTGGCACTTGGAGTTCGCGGCAGCGGAAGGCAAGGCTCTTATCAAACGTCCAAGACCCCTCCATGGATATCCCGTCTATTGAGTACCTGCATACATGGGTTAGAAGAGTTCATTCTTTTCGTCAGGTCAATTATTAGTGTGCATGTAGTTGTACCTATCGTGGACTAATATACGAGTAGTCAATTCCTAGGTATGTTTAAGTACTCGATTCTTATTTCTGGTTAGAAGTTATGGTCCCATTTGGTGACCTTTTTATATACCAATCAATTAGCCTATGTAGAATCTCTCCATGAACATCGTATCCCCTTATATTGCATCTGACACAAAATATACTTGAGGACTAGTCAGTCGAAAAAATATTTAGAATTATGCACCTAAGGTGTTTCTTCTGAATACCTCGGTTGGAGATGCCGTGTCTTCGGGGTCTACAAACTACGAATAATATAAAAGTGGCCATTACCTAACAAGGCAACAATAAGAGGATGTGCCACCAATACCTAACCTAGCTTCTTTTATTAGTTATCTAGTATAAACTTGATTTAAATAGTTATCTTTTTAAGCGAAGGGTTGATTTTGGGTTAGCTGTTTTATATGATTGAGTCGTCTCCGGCATTTATTAGTCCACCGGTTGCTTCCGACCGGTCTAGAGCAACTCAAAGATCTTAAAGAGGATCCGGGAATTAGGAACGGACACTATGCACGAAATTCTCCAAGAGGGACCCGCGTGGCAAAATCAAAATCCCATCTATCCCAACATGGGAATCTTCAAGATGCCCCCCCCCTCCCCCCCCTTTGGAGGCGTGTGCTCCCTTTCCCATCTAAATTAGTCTCCATCCATTTACACGACCGGCTTTCCGTAACTCTTCTATTAAGCTGTTATGACGTTCGCTCTCCTTTCCTAACCACCACAAGACCATGGCAGCAGCACCATCGCTGAACTCGTTACCATACGAGGTACGCCAGACGATTTATTCTCTTGTGGCACGGCAAACTAACTCTAACGACTGGCGAAAAGGGCCAGCCTCGACTATTGCGCATTATGCAACGGTATCCAGGGAATGGCAAGAGGAATTTGTCGAGCCTATTATCTTCAAGGTCATACGTGTAACTCCGAGACGTCTCAGGTCCTTTTGTCAGATCGTAACTTCGCCGCGGCGAAGGGCAATCGTCCAGACGATCTGTTTCCATGTTTTCCTCGATAAATACGACCCTCACCTTAATGGCGAACCGGAAACGTCGGCAGAGCGACGGCGGAGCACCGAGATCTTGACCACGGCCCTTGAGACTTTCTTTCGGGCAATGACCCAGTGGCAGAAGAGTGATACCTCTCCCCTCGGTCTGGACCTTAATCTTCTTGTCGATTCACCTAGTGATACGTCATCCTTGGTCGGTAGGAATGGGGGGTCCCTCATGACGGGGAGAGCTCTAACATCGTGCCTAAAACTTGACCTCGAGGCCGTATCATTGCCACATATTGACGTCTTCAGCGGTTTTCGATGCACCGGGAGACACCTGCAACCAACATCTATACTAGCTATTGTATCTAGGCTTCAGACATTGGAATATCTTGATGTCGAACTCAACCATGACTCAACACGCAACCGAGATGTCAAACAGAGAAACAGTAAGTAGTATCATTTATTGTTGTTCATTTAATTATTCCTCTACCTGCTGTCACTTACAATGAATGACTCGATGTTATTATCAATACCCCTGCTAACTCCACGGACACACGATTAGGCTTTGCTTTGGGCCTCCAGCATTCCGAAACAATTCGAGTTCTCAGTCTACGCCGCCCCAGCCCGATGCTAACGCCAGTTCACGCACCCCCAAAACAGCCGTGGTCGGCCTTTTATGCCCATATGCGGACATTCAGTCAGCAATGCGAATCTTTCGAATTCGACGATTGCATCGACGCTGTCCAATTCTTTACACCATTCCTCGTTGGGCCGGGCATAGCAGAGCCGCCTAAGGGCCAAGAGGCGCCCTTCTTTTCGCGGTTGAAGAGGCTTAACATCCGCAACTCGTACATGATGAAGGAACCATATTTGCGTGTCACGAATAGGGTTAAAGCCTTAGCGGCTGTCCATGATGTTCTCGTGGCGATCGGGCGGGCGACCCGCCGTATGCCGGTACTGCTGTTCGCTCGCGTCTGCCAATATGTCCTTACCGATGAACAGTTGGAATGGTTCATCCTTACATATGAATACCATGCTGGTAAAGCTGTAGTACGCACCAAGGGCTTCAAACCAGGGAAACTAATGGCCAATGCTTGGAGGGATTCTGCCGCTGAAAATGGCATTAAGCTTATAATTCACCATGAGAAGGACGATCTTAATGCGCCCGAACTCTGAATCATTTATCTCGTTAAGGGTAGTTCATTTTTCAATTTTGAGGCAGCGAGGAGTTGGTTGTTAGGGAGGCATATTGCATGTCAAATTTCACGTGTCGGTAGAATTATCCATACCGTTGAATATAAACACGACAAAAACTAACCGTGATAAAATATATTTTCGATCAGGTACAACCTAACTCGATGCTAGCCATGCAGTTGATTGCCTGTAAAGAAAATCAAATCAAACAATTTCATGTGTTCTCGTGAATTTATTTTATACTAATAGAAATATTGCTTGTTAGAAATATATGAGATATATCAGGCCTGGCTCCGAAGTTCAAGGGGTACAGACTAACCCTACTAAATTTTGATAGGGAGAATGAGTAGAAACTCACCGTATTCATACTCGTAGCCACGATAACTGCAAGCCTGTCCAAATAGCAACCCTTACTACTATTCATATTCTCAATTTACCCCGTGCGTCTCCTCTTCCGAACTAATAACCCTTTCTTTACACCGCCGCCGGGTGGCCTCCTACCTCGTTCACTCTTGTATCTTCTCCTTTTCTTCTATTTTCCTCATCATTCATCGTATTTCCTTGAGCATATATTTACGATATCAAGGCTCGCCACATTGCTTCTACTTCAAATATCAGCGAGACTAACTTTCCTAAAAATATGAGGTATTACAATACAACGTTTTTCAGGAGATCCTATTGTATTGTAAACATTCCAATAAATATTATAGTTTGCAACGTTGACGGAAGCTGGCTCAACTAGCTAAGATGCTTGGAATTACTGTATAGATAGGCTACAGAAAAAAAAAATTTTCATGGCCTCTTACTCGTATGGTAAAATGAGTTCCGTCCAGTTCGGAAATACCATATTAATTCCTAATCCCGAGCTTTTATAATACTACTCTACAAATTAGTTAATTGGGGTTTGTAGGATATATAGTATTTACCTGTGATATCATATAGTTTCTTTGCTTATAAATACGTCATACGAAAACAAGCAGCTAGAATTTTTGAATACTCAGCTTACAAATACGTGGTGTCTATCGCTCAGGTTAGATATGACTCAGAGACATAACTATCGTCGTAAGGTAGTAGTCGACGAGTGAGAGTACTAGTTTCATTATCTCATATGCGACAGTACGAATGGAGATAGTTGATTAGAGCTTTAAAATGGAGATTGGAGTAAGATACTACGGTAATACCTACTACGGACTAGCCGATTGTAAACGCCGAAAATCAATTCAAGACCGGCTGACGTATGTGCCTTTTAGCTGCTTTTGCCGAAATACGACGCCGATAAACCGGGGCTCTAAGTGAGGTACAAAATAGATTATTTCGGCCTTAGTTAAGACCTATTACGGGGACCTCTTACATGGACACGGGTATAAAGAAATTCGGGTATTCTTGAGCGCCGAAGAATCTACACCCCTTTATTCGTGACTCACGCCGAAATATGTCTTCATCTTTCTACGGTAGTTAGAAAGTAAGTGAACACAGGTACAAGATCGAATATCGGATTAGTGACTTCACCTAAATAAATATTGGGCCAATAATAATTGCTATCCCCGAAAAAACTTGGTGGAGTGAACTAAGCTTGACTTAGTGGCGTTGCTATCCATTATGGAACCCCGCGATATTGCCATACACCCTCGGATGAATACATAGGAGTTGGAGGGGGCATCGAGATAGCCACTTAAGCATATATATAGGTTATTGGTTCAACCTAGAAGAGAGATAGTTCCAAGCAGATTCATTAAACAGTCTTCTTTCGTCAACATCATATCTACTCATTCATATATCTTAGTTGACAGTTTTACTACAAGTCATAAGAAATAAACCTTCAAAATGCCCAAGGTACTACTGACTGGCGGTTCTGGGTTTATTGCCGGTGAGTTAAACCCGCGTAAATTAAATTATCCTACGCAACCCACGTCTAACATGGACAAATTCCCATAGCCCACGTCCTCGAGCTTCTGCTCAAAGGGGGTTATGAGGTGGTGACGACGGTCCGCTCCGAGACTAAAGCCTCTCAAATTCGCGCCAAATATCCCGGCGCGAAACTCTCGGTAGCCATTGTGCCGAACATCGCAGTGCCCAACGCCTTTGACGAGTTGATAGCCAACACTCCTGGAATCGACTACGTACAGCACACGGCATCGCCCTTCCATTTCAAGTTTACGGATGCTCGTACGGAATTGTTAGACCCGGCTATCAATGGCACAAAGGGCATCCTCCAGGCCATTGCCAAGTATGCGCCCAGTGTCAAGCGCGTTATCGTCACCAGCTCCTTCGCCGCCATCATGTCCGAGAGCAAGATGAATGACACTACGAAAGTCTTTAGCGAAGCAGACTGGAACCCGAGCACGTGAGTTGGTCCGACAACGTTATTCTTTCTAAGTAGACTCTCGAGGATTAATTGGTTATAGGTACGAGGACGGACTTAAGGGACCTCCCCCCACATCCTACCGCGTATCGAAGAAATACGCCGAGAAGGCAGCCTGGGACTTCGTCGAGCAGGAAAAGCCCGGATTTGACCTCGCTACTATCTGCCCGCCTATGGTTTTCGGCCCTGTCGCGCACCACCTGGACTCGCTAAAAGACATCAACACGAGCGACCAGCGGTTCGTGGATCTGATCCAGGGCAAGTGGAAGGAGGAGATCCCAACGTCTGGCGTCTGGTTGTGGGTCGATGTTAGGGATGTCGCGCTCGCTCATGTTAAGGCCATGGAGGTCCCCGAGGCGGGTGGCCAACGCTTTTTTACCACCGCGGGCTTCTACGACAATGTGCAGCTTGCGCGTGCTGTTCGCAATGGGTTCCCTGAATTAGCTGACAAGTTACCTGACGACAACGTCAAGCTCGCCCCGGGTGCTGCGAAACCGGCCGCCACTTTTGGTTACGACAACTCACGCGCTAGCAAGGTCCTAGGCATCGATTGGATTCCTATTGAGAAGACTGCGGTCGACACTGTCAAGAGTCTGCTGGATATCCCCGCTTGAGCGAATGCGGTTGGTCAAATAGATAGAAGGGAAAAGGGGTGCTAAGATCTTCGGGATCCGACCCCATGACGTTGAGGACTTGACATCTTCTAATGCGCTAGAAAGTTATAGACTATATCTAGGTATTATATTGCGTAGGAGAATAGCTAATTAATTGGTCATTGTTGCATCCTAGAGGAAACCCGAATATGATTGACGTCGATTATTCGGCGCCCGCTTTAGCCAACATCTGCTCCAGCACCTTAGTAGCCTCAAAAGTATCCACGAACTCCATGATCTGCGAGACGCGAGTCCCATCTTCCGAGAAATTCAGATCCCAAATCACCTCGACCTTGCTAGTAGATCCGTTGGCTGTAAAGATAGTCTGCTCGCTCCACAAGGTAGCCCTACGCTCAGTCGTGTCGATTACGATCCTGGTAATTTTCTGAGATACGTCTTTCATGGTTTGGAGCTCGACTTGCATCTGGGCCTCGTAGTCGGCATTGGTGATCTGGGCCTTGAAGAACTGCGGATACCTCTGGATGAAGGAGAGGGACCGATACATCCGAATGCAGTCCTCTGTCAGAATTGCAGAGAACAAGGACGTGTCCCTTTTTTTCACCGCAAGAGTGTTATTTTCTACAAAAGCATTTGCTGTCTTCTGTAGAACTTCTCTGAAATCTGCCATGGCGAGTATGGTATCGTTATTTGTAATATTACTTATGAACTGACGTTGGACTCAATTAAGACAGTGTCCTCACTATCGACTGCGCTGGGTAGCCCCTGGAAAGACTTGGAACTCGAGCTCAATAATAAAGATAAAGCAGGAAAGAAAGGAAAAGCATATGAATTAACGGGAAGGAAAACTGGTCAGATCACACAAACGGAACCGATATATTTATAATAGCTGCAAAACCAACACCCACATCTTATAGGCAGATAGGCCTAACCGAGATGCCTGACAACAAAGTCCTTAAGCTGTGCCGTGTCCTTGCGCATCGTATTAGGGATAAAGCGGCGATAGGAATCGTCCGGGGCGACTTTTGGGTTATGCATACTTCTGTATACTTGGCATGAAAAATGCTGGAATATGATAGGATACTTGAACAACCCTTGCTATTTCACTCGAGAGTACATCTATTTCACAATGAATGAGGAACTAATTGATCCGTGGATGCTGTCATTCAAACCAGCTAAAGAGGAATAGGGGTAATCAATGCACCTCATTAGCCTCAAAATAAAAAGAATTGACGAAACTTCATGGGCACTTATCTACTATGATGATAGGTAGGTATCTACCTATCATTGATTCGCAAAGCTAATCCACAAGCTCACCGCATATGGGCGAAATAGAACCGTTATAGGCACCCTGTAGTCTAAGAAAAATGCATAACCATCTGTCTGTAGCTTCACTCGAGGCCACCCGCCTGTACTATACTCTTAGGTGATAATTTAATCATCCATTGTTTGGTGGTACAAAAGTTGCAGGGTTCGCTTGGAACCCTCTTTAACCTGCTGTTGTATCCATGGCATCCCCTTCTGATACTCTAGCCCTAGCAGCTGCTATCCGCTCGGCTTTCCATTCCTCAATCCGGGCACGCAAGTCATTAGCTGGAGTCACATCGTCGATAGTCATCGGCTTTCGAGTAAAGGGATCTAGCGGGTTAGAGAGCAATTGCTGCACAATCGTTGACCGATCAACGATATTCTGTGACGGTAGAATGACTGGATCAGTCATCAAATCACCCATCAGGGGATCCTCAAATTCATCCGGTACTTCGCCTAGATCGAGTTCGGCTTGATCTAGACGTTGCTTAGCTTCGGCGAACTTGTCTACCAGAGATCTCCAAGTGGAGATGACTTCGGGTGCTGTATGAAGACTGCGTTCCATCACCCTGGTTGCTTCCTTAAAGTTGTCTGGTTTGTATGAGCGGCCGTCGGCAGCAACTGCTTCGATGAAGGTAGGTTTCGGTGACAGGTTGATGTATATGTCTATGAAGTCAGACAAAAGGGTCTTCGGGTCGAAATGATATTTCCTGGCATCCTGTACTTTGAGGTTGCCCCGTTTCGGACCGACCAGGGACTCTAGATTGTAGTTTAACATGCCCGCCAACCGAGTTACGATCTCGGGCATGGTAAATGCGTCGCGCAATGCCGCCGTGAACAGTTTCATCATTCCCATAGTATCGTTCACCAACTGCATCCAGGACTGACACTGCTGTTCAGCGGTTTCCAGGTCTGCTCGGACCTTCTCCTTATCTTCAGGAGATAATGTGTCATCATGTAATTGCTTCTGATAGTCGTGTATCGCAACAAGTTTGGTTAATGCCTCATCTAATAAGTAGGTCGCGTCGTTTAGAAGCAAGTTCACAAATTGCACAAAGAATTGCCGGTTAACCCTAGACATGGTTAGATGAAGCCACTGATCGGTTAATATTGCTCCGACTGACCTGCTTTCCTGGCTGAGCTGATCTTTGTAAACACTGTTTGGCCAGATGCACTTGATGACCTGGAATATCTCGTAGCGGATATTGAATTTATCGTAGAATGCGGAGCTGACACCACTATGTTCACATTCTAGTACTGTTAGTATACGGTAGCCGGAACGATACCATGTAACTCACCGATGTAAAACTTCATGAGTGAATGTAGGAGGTGCTCATTGGCAAACTTTGATCCGACCAAAGTATCGCCTAGAACCCCCCTACTAAGATGATATAACGGCCATGTCCCAGAGAACAATAACGTGACGAGAGACGACTTCAGGTAAGGATTCTTGATGTATTCCGAGGACCTCAAGAAGGTAATGCATAGTGTGATTATCTCGTCCCCAACGGCGGATACCAAAATGTCGGGCAAGAAACTAATATGGAAGTAAGCGTTAAGCTAGTCTGGACGGTCTATTAGGGATACGTACCGGAAAACAAACTTGAAATTCTCAACGACATCCTGGAGGGCGTATTCTGGGAGACAACTGAAGGCCTCGGGTATGTCAGCGGGGAGAGGAAGTGTGAAATCTTTGCCTGGTATGTAGTCTGTTCCGCTAGCAATTCGTAGAAGCCACACAGATACATATCTCATGAATTGTAAGGATATTGTCTGCATAGACGAGTCTAATACGATTCCTTCGATAGAATACTTGAGCGCTATATGTCTTTCAACTGCATTGACAGCATTCTGATGATGTTGCCTTGCTACAGCAAGACGCAATGGGTCCTAACATTGTTAGCAACGGCAAAAATGATCTGCACTAGGGAGGGAACGGCTCACGCTCTGTAGCTTAGGTATCTCCCCTTCGATCTGTTTTATGACGCCCTCAACATACTTGATATCTCTGTCAAGATCCTTGAGCTTCGAGTTTGTTGCCCCAAGGCCATAATGATGGGCAGCTAGGGTTAAGAAGAAAACCTCTGAGATGAAATTAGAGGAGCCTGGGACGTGTGCCTTGTAGAACGCTTCTGAAGTCGCCTGATCGGCGTTGAGCTTGGTCTCGTCGCTCATGTCGACTCGAGGGCTACGTCGTAAATAGTCAACATCGATTTTATCCACCTTGGAAAATGTGCTATCCATGAAAGGTTGACATAGCTGGTCTAAGATAGCTGTCACGTTAACCATAAAACCATCTGAGGCTACGTCTGTCGGCTTGACTTGAAGAGCACGCCTTTTATGGTTTGTGTTGACCACGAATGCAAACCAGTCGAGAATACTATTTCGGGCACTTGGGCTTGCGCGAACAAAAGCATTTGTGATGCTTGCGAGGTCACTTTGATGAGCCTTTAGTGTCATCTGAAGGGCACTCTGAGATGACTTCACGTGGCCTGCATCGATTGTTCGCGGACTAACAAAGTAACTCTTAGTAACCTCGGTCTGCAGTGGCGATATGCGAAAGAATGGCCCCAAGATAGTTTCGGTTTCGCTTGCCAAAGCTATTTGTTCCTTGGACATATCTGGCGTGGGCTTTACTCGAAAGTTAGGGTGCTCTGCAAGTGCATTGAGCAAAGGCGGGAATCTTGCGTATGTAACCAAACACTGTCTTTATCAGCATACATGGAAATTCTAAAGAAAAAATGAGGGGCTTACATTCATGTATGGCCTGTAATCATCATTCATAGTCATCGTGGCAAGCCTCTTACTCATAGTAACCATAGCATCTATGAAGATAGCAGCAACGGTATCATCTTCCGGTATACGAGAAACGGCCTCAGCAAAGAAATCCAAGCAGATACCGTCCTCATTATCGTGGTGCCGAAGAAGGTATGGCACTAGAGAATCGTGGTTCGGATTGGGGTCACGGCTGCTGGTAGTTAGCACAAGAGACGCACGCATACGGTTCGGGAAATAACCTACCCGAAGTATTCAGGCATAGTAAGCGCAAATATGCAATTGCTCATGCACAGCCGCTTAGCTTCGTTCAAGACAGCTTCTCTATCGGGTGGTGAGGGTCTAGCAGGCTTAGTAGCCTTCACAACGCGCTTCCAGCATGGCAGCAGGTAGTCTAGAAGCGCCTTACTCGTGGATACATATCTGGCTGCTTCGAGGATTGCCGAGTCAATTGTCGAGGCAGTTAGTTTAATCGGCTCACCGGATTGTTCCAAATCAGCCTTGAGCTCTGGCAAGTAGGTCAGCTTGTTACCCCTGCTGTCCGTCGTGTGAGTCTCGTCAAGCGTGATGCGGAATATGTCGCCCAGCACCCGATTCGACCAGTTTTCTAACGTTTCTTCTTTTGCAATATGTATCTTCTTGGATGGCATAGCTGTCGTATCTCTGTCAATAGCTGCATATGGCCTCTTGGAGACACGTTTGTTACCTGAATCCTCCGCGATATTATTTCCAGGCTCTGTCTTGTTTTTCCCACCGAGCTGGGAAAATGGGTTTGTCGCCGGAGATTGGCTTGGGGATGGCGAAGAAGACGCGGAGCTGGTTTGTGGATTCGGTAGAGGAGTTGGCCGGGTGTTCTCTTGGTTTGCCACATTTGGCTTTGGCAGAGTAGCCGGAAGCGACGAGGCCGGCGACGCTGACGAGGTCGGAGGCTCAGGTTTAGTAACATCTTCTGGTTTGGGGCTGGACGGCGTCGCATTTAGACCACCAAGCTTCGCAAGTCGCCTTTTGCGCATCTAATAGTAATAAGCAAGAATAAGTTAGCTTCCAAAACAATCGAGTATTACAATCGAGTATTGATGACTGTCGCATACCTGCTCCTGCGGCGGCAGGGTCGGTTGTGATTGTTCATTCGGATCCATAGTAATGAATGACCATGAACAATAGATCGGTTCTTAGACGGCGAGAAGGAATAGAGCTCCAAGGGATCTATGCTGTCTCGGCCAAGTAAATACAAGAAAAGAAACGCCGTCTATAGAGAATGTTGATGTGTTGTCGAAAGTAAAAGGTTGCATCAATGTTGAGGTGAACGTTATCGGTGATAAGTTACGTACAGTACCTAATATCTTACCCTACAACTCACTAGGATGTTAAACACTATTTAGTGGGTTTCAGGCATTAAGGCATTAACATTCTTTAATACGACTAACACGTACTTTTTTATATAAATTATTATTAAAAGGTATATAATTTAAAAATAACTTTATTTTAATAAATTTTTAATTTTTTAATTATTTATTTTTAAAGTTATAACATTTTAAAGTTTTATTATATATAATTAAAAATAACGTTTTAAAAAAAATTTTAAAAATAATTTTTTAAACGGTTATAATAGTTTTTTTTAATTTTTAAATTGTTAACAATTTTAAATTGTAATAAATATTTAATTAATTTTTTATTTAAATTTATACGTTTTTAATAAAATTTAAATTAAAATTATATAAAAATTATTTTATTATAAAAATTTCGAAATTATTAAAATAATTTAAAATTTTTTTTATTATATAAAAAAAAATATTATTATATTAAAATATAATACGTATAAAAAGATTATTTAAAAATTATTTAATAAATAATAATATATAATTATAATATTTTTTAACTGTAATATTATTTTTATTTTTAAATTATATAAAATAAAGTTTTTTTATTTTATTTTAAAAATATTTTTAAAATATTTAATTATAATAAAATTATATACGTAATAATTTAAAAGTGGTTATATTTTTATAATTATATATTATAATATATTATTAAAAATAAAATTAATTTATATAAAATATTTTATTATTATATATAAAAATTTTTTTTAACCAAATTTTAAACGTTAATTAAATTTTTAACCATTTATTATAAAATTTAATTTTATATTTAAAATTGTTATTAAATAACGGTAATTTTTTACGGTTACAAATTTTACGTTTAAATTTTAATTTTTTTATTATATAATTAATAATATTAATATTATAAAAAATTATTTTAAAAATTAATAATTAAAAATTATTTTAAAATATACAATAATTAATTTTATTAAATAAAATTATTAACTTTAAACTTAAATTAAACTTTTATATTAAATTTAATGCTATGGTTTAAATAATATTATAAATGAAAAAAATAACTTATATTTAATATAATTAAAATTATATATAATAAATATATGTAACCATAAAAAATATTTATATTAAAATTTTAATCATTTAATTAAATAAAATTAAATAAAATTATTTAATATATAACTTTTATTTAACCTTTTTTTTAAATTTAATTAAAACCATAAGATTAAATTTAACTTATAAAACAAAAATTAAAAAAAATAACAAAAATAATATAATTAAAAATTAAATTTTAAACTTTAAAAAAAAAAAAAATACACTATTAAAATAAATTAAATTTTTTGTAATAAATTAAATTTTTTATAATATAATTATTTTAATTTTTAATTTTAAATTGTATATTGTATAATCAAATTATATAATCATATAATTTAATTTAACCAAAATTTAATCAATTATTTTTAAAATATTTTATATTATTAAATTTTATTTTTTAACCATATAATTTTATATAATAATAAAACCAATCGTAATATTTATTAATAATAAATTAAATACGTAATAAATATATATAAAAAAATCGTAATATAATTAATTTTACCTTTTTAACAATAAATTTAAATTAATTTAACTCAATTTAAATTAATTTAAAAAAAATACTTTTAACACGATTTTTTTTTTTTTTTTTTTTATATCGTATTGTAATAACTTTTATAATTAAATTATTTACCTTTTTTAATATTTTAATTTAAATAATTTAAATAAATTTTTATATTAATTAAAACTTTTATTTTTTTTATAATAAATTAATAATAAATTGATTAATTTATTAATTAATTAATTAACAAATTTATTAATTAATTAACTTAATTATTATTTTTTTTATAATTAATTTTTTATAATTAATTATTATTATTATTTTATATATTAAATATAATATAATTTAAAAAATATTATATAAAAAACTATTTTAAATATTTTAATAATAATATAATAATTATTAATATTTTACCAATTTTATCCTTGTAATTTTTTATATGTATTTAATAAAAATTTTTTTATTTTTTAATATTTAATTAATTAAAATATATTATAATTTTTATGTATTATTTTAATAACTATTTTTATAACTATTTTAATAATTGTTTTAATAAATTATATATTTTTATAATAATATTTTTTAAATTATATTATATTTTATATAATGTAACTTTAATTAATAAAAATAACAAAATCTTTTTAATTAATAAATAATATATTTAATAAAACTATTAATAAAATTATTAATAAAACTATCAATAAAATTATATTAAATTATATTAATTAATATTAAAAGCCATAATATTAATTGTTATGGTTATTTAATTAAACCATAATAAAACATTTTTTAATAATAATAACAATTTATTTTAAAATTAAAATTATAGTTTTAAATTATTAATAATTATTATTAAATAAAATTATTAACTTTAAATTTAAATTAAATTTTTATATTAAATTTAATACCATAGTTTAAATAATATTATAAATAAAAAAAATAATTTATATTTAATATAATTAAAATTATATATAATAAATATATATAATTATAAAAAATATTTATATTAAAATTTTAATTATTTAATTAAATAAAATTAAATAAAATCATTTAATATATAACTTTTATTTATTATTAATTTAAAAAAAACTTTAAAAAACTTATTTTTTATATAATATCATTTATATTATAAATATATAAAACTTTTTTTTTAATATAAAAAAGTTATAAAAAACGTTTTATATTTATTAACGAATATATTTTATATATTTAATTATTTTGTTATATATTTTATTAAAAAAATATTATTTAATTAATTAAATTTCAATTTTTTTATTTTTAATTAACAATTTTTAATAAAATTTATAAAATTTATAAAATTTTAAATATTATTAATTAATTTTAACATTAAAAAAATTTTATAAAATTTATTTTAACATATTAATAATTTAAAAATTTTATTAACAATTAATTATTTTATTAAAATTAATAATATTTAAAATAATATTTTTAAAACATTATTTTATTATTTAATTTAATTAATTTTATAAATTTATTATAATAATAATAAAAAATAAATTTAAAAAATTTTATTAAAAAAAAAATTAAATTTATATTTTAAAAATTAAAATTTTAAAGTTTTATATAAAATTATATATTATATATTAATTATATTATTAAAAAAAAAACTTTCGATAAAAACCATTATTTTTATACTTTTTTATATTAATTTATATATAAAAATACATATTAACTATATTTAAAAAAAATTAATACCTGGCAACTTGGCAACCCATTAAATAGTATTTAACATCCTAGTGAGTTGTAGCTGTTTAGTTAAAGTTTAACTTACAGAGGTGCATAAATGGATTATGATGGAATGAAGCAGTAGCCCCTAGCTGCCCCTTTTAATAATCATCCAATGATATTAGTCAGATAAAGGTCAAGTTAGAAAGGCTATCGATAACGCTATCTTTATGCCAGCATTTATGCCAGCACATTGTTAATGTTGGGTAATACAAGTGCATTGAAGACAATTGGCGGGGTTGGTGGGTTCTGTTGTCCCCATATTACTCGTCCCCCACCCTGCCCACCATATAGATTATGTAATCTTTCCTCATAATTTACCATGTGAATAGCTTCATTGCCTCGTCCCATTATATTACTCCTCACCAATAGAACGGAGGCATGTAACATCGAGTGCCTCTTAATTAGGTAAGTACCTCTTATTATAACAATATGTTATGTATCAGTTTCTACATCATATTTCTATACTAAGCATTGACATGGTAAAAAAACACTAAGCCTGATCATGAAACCCTTATGAAAGCATAACATATCTTTAATGATAAATCGTTGAATACGATGTCAGCTTCCACAGTTCGATATCAACGCCTTAAGTATCTTTTCCTATACATTAGAGTTGGGAAATCTAAATAGATAATGCATCTAACTCTATAGACTATAATTACTGAAACTATAACAATGTGGAGACTTATCCGCTACCTGAGGGCTTTGTTAAAGTGTCTTCGTCTATTCCTATGCCCGACTCAGTTGTCCCCAACTAATCGTCTCACAGCCTCCTCGTTTTCATGGATGGTTTTTATGGATGGTAATCGTCTTTCTATACCCTGACTCCTGAGAAGGCAATGTGTCAGGAAGAAATCAATAATTATGGGTGATTGCAACTATTATACCCATCCATCCGCCTACGTAACTCATTCATTCTGTACCAAATCTACAAGCCGTGTAGGAAAAGATCCTTCGGCGCTATTTCAGGCTTACTCTACATGAAGATATTGTCCAATTGAGACATTTACCGTGTCCCACCGTTGGTAGTGCCGTGAAGTATTCCACAGCAAACATTCGTAAAGCTCGAGGTTTTCTCTTAGTCCATCCACAACCACATAGCAACACAATGTGTCACATTATCCTGTGGCTGTTCGCCTACATTGTAAAGCCATTGGTTAAGTAGCCCTCCATCATTGGTTGATCGATGTCTGGACCTCATCTTTATTCTTCGCCACTCCTTTTTAGATGCTTAGGAAAGAACTTCAACCAATGGACTAGTAACTTCCAGCCGTTATCCTGGGTTTATCCCCACGTTAATTCAGCTATTGTATTGTAAGACTTTTAAAATGTAGAGAATATGAGCTCCCGACCTTGTAACCGATTGTGTGAATACAATGGTAAGAATCTGGATTCAGGTCTGAAAGATATTATACGGCGATCTCTCTCCGCGGTAAAAGCCAACAAGTGGCAAATCTAGATGAATTTTGACTCGATATAGAACAGGAAAGCATCCTCGGGGGTCATCTCGGCTCCCACAAGAAAATTTGCCTGTGCTGTGCAAGTTTCAGTCACCAAGATTTAGGTCTTGCAAGGAACGCATACCTGCCTATCAGCTTTGCGGCACTTCATATGATATGATTTCGTATCCAGCCCTTGGATACCATCCGCTGCTTTCCCGTCGTACCCACATCATTCTTCTAGAGAAATTCTGCGGGTATATACAGGTTCGCATATACCACTGGAGAAGGCGTACAACCGCAACCTTGCTCCCACACGAGACTCATTATCGTCCGGCACGGGAAGATGCAGGATTTGCGTGACACGCACTGTCTTATTATGCTAGGAAGTTGGATACACTCTACCCTAAATCGTATTCTCAGCGCAACGGCGTCCTGTTGTGCGAAGCGTCATCACATTGCGCCATGGCTTACAATAGCCGGAGGCTGATAATGAGATTAATACGTGCGCACATGGCAGATATTATATTGCAGGCGCCACAACGGCAAGCAACACTTTGCTAGCATGGAAGATTCCTTCTAACTGTAAGGTGCCTCGTCAAAGAATTTGACACGCTTCACCCTCGTTTAGTCCTCTTCCACTACCGCTTATACTAGTCCTCTATTGAGTCTCCTGATTATGCCTCTCGTTTTTTGTCGTTGTTTGACTTGCTTGTGTAGGTAAATACCTATGATAGAAGAGATCCTGATCGATTATCATGGACTCCCATCAGAGAACCGACTTTAATCAGTTCAGCGTCGGTAGGAGGGGGAATCATCGTGATAAGAATAAAGGCAACGACCCAAATCCAGCCGATATCGGTCTTCAAAACCCGAAAGCTTGCATAGCCGCTTGTTTCAAGCAGTTTGTTAATGGATTATATGACGACCCTCGCGAGGATCTCGAAGATGTATGCAACCAGCTCTCACATGTTCGGCCTAATACGGAGCTCTGGAAATTGTATTGCTGCGATTCAACATTCTGTGGTGTCTGGACGAGTGAGAAGGGGCAGAGTCGTCAGTTATCCCCCACGTAAAGAAATACTGCGATCTTCGACTGACTCAATTCGCCAGCCAATGTTGACTTGATTATTAATAAATGTCAGAAGTAGGTTGAGCAAGATTGACTACCTAGCTTAACCATAACTATATGATCATTAACTCATATAGTATTGGCAATTACCTGATCTACGATCCAGGGCCACCTCTGCCTAACAAATTCAACTGCAACTCAGCTGTAACTAGTGAGTCTCCTTTTAACCTGATCTACTATCCTCTCTAATCGGATCTCCGGGACCAGAGCTTGGAGAGCCTGGTCTTCGAACAATACTTCCAAGTAATGAACTGTCGTCCATCATAACTACAATATCTAGCTCGTCGTCTATAGCAGCAGCAGAGACTTCGTTAAGTTCAAAACTCAACTCGACTACGTCGAGTATCGATACGGTGCCAAGTACATCGACAGGCCTTACGGAAGGGAGTAAGGCCGCGATAGGCATCTGCTCAAGCCTAGCGATAATAGCGATTGTCTTCCTCGGAGGATTCCTAGTAAGCCGACATCGACAACGTCCTCAAAGCTTCTTAGACGACACCCCGAGTGCACCTCGTCTTGGCCGTTCGTCTTCTGAGCCACAGAGTGGCTCGCATACACCCTTGATTACGCCGCCACATTCAGCATCATCAAAGGGCCCGCCATTGACACCCCCGGCGCGCCTCAGTGATCGTAGGTTCCTCCCGTCGCTTCTCAAACAAGGCGATACGCCAAACTCCTCATCGGTCTTCGGTGTAGATGAAAGGGTAATCGTACCTACTACTCTTAAAGGGAGCGCCGAAAAGAAAACTACACTGCCGCGTAAGGGCCACATGATCCCGAATGCCGTTGCCGAACCTCCTGTCTCTCTATCGCCTCCAGCAGCCATACACTTCGCGCCTCATTTCCTGCGTGACAGTAACAACTCGTACAGTAGCGGCCCTATAGGAACCTGGACTCCTACAGGGCCTAACAAAGATAGCTCGGTGCATTATGGTATAACAAATCCACCTAGATTTAATTCACACTCGCCGCCACTACCGTTCTCTCCTACTCGTCCTCTAAGGCCACATGATGAACCCATAGAGATTCCTCATCTGGTCACCCCTGCTGGGCCACCACCAAGCCACGCGCTACCAGTACCGCCCCCGTACCACCCAACATCGCCGACATTCTCCGTGTCGCCTATATCATCTCCAGGCTCGCCTATGCTGCCCTCTCTCAAATCACCGAGCTCTATGAGAGACAAGAGTTACGTCTCCGATAACATTCAACAAGGAGAGGAAAACAAGAGACAACCAGACGCCTCCAAGATTGGTATCGCTTTGCCAGCGTCTTCACAGGACGTTGACGACATGACACACCCGTATGCATACGAGACACCGGGGAGCTGGGAAGGTAAGAAAAGGGGACATGGTGGTAATGGAAAGTTACGGGACAGTAATATTGGCAGATATAAAATGGAGGAAAATGGATCCACGGTATCGCTGCAGGAGTTGAGCCCGGGGAAGTTAGGAAGCAAGCCCTGACTGTACGGGATAGGCTAGGTAAGACACCAGGGAGAAATATCAAATATGTCTAAGAATATCATTCTATTATCAAATAGAAGTTTTATTGTGGCCTACTTCTGATGATCTCTGCAAAGAGCAACTAAGGATTGAGGGTCAGATTTACCAACGCCTCAAGGCACACCCCTATATTACAAAGCTACTTGCTTACAATACACGAAAAGGGAATTATTTTGGAGCGTCTGCAATACCCCCTCCGTTAACGCCTCCTTGATCTTCAGAAAGAGCGGCAGCAACCAACTCGCGTGAAGTGGATGAGTATCTAGATACAAGCGAAATAATATTAGGAGATGTGATCAAAAAGTGCTGGATGACACAATATTCAAAACACAAGTGAGGTGGTAGCAGATATTCGAGTGATTCAAAATCTTCTAGGAGCTCCCAGCTATGCTCCCCTAACCCATGACCATAAGTGTGGTGCTTCTGAAATACCTTCTAAAAATAATCCCTTATGAAACTCAGGTGCCATCGCAAGCCGTCGTCATTTTTAAAATGCATTTATATTCGATTAATTACGGGTATAGGGTATGATCACTTAATATACCTAGCAGTAATATGGCTTGTCAGAGAGTACTAACAATACTTGTGAATGTTTTATAATCTCACTGTGTATTAGTAGTTAACACATTTCCCATATAAGAGTAGCAGACCTAAATTTATTATCCAATTGTTTAAGTAGGTGAGCGGCCCTTTAGAAATATCAGAATTTCACCTTCGTCACTCACGTGCTACACGAACATGCATAGATGCTGTCGAACAACCGCTATACCACTAAAAGGTTATTTGGTAACAGATTTTATTCTATTACATTTTATATGCCGGACAGACATTTGTCTGACAGATGCCTGCCTATGGATGGGTAATTGATTGAATTGTTCATGACTTGCATGTACTGTTACATCAGATCATAGCCAACCAACCCTCTGGATCCTCTACGCATGGAAAAGTATTTAAAATACGTAATTCATTATCATAACACTACCCAGGAACGTAATGCGTGTACGATGTTCTACCCTGTATTATATAATAATGCCTAGTCTATAAAACAACCCGGCTTGTCCTATATTAGCCTCTCAATCGCCCACGTGGGATCAATAAGAAATGCTATAGGGTCAGTATAAGCTCGGATGTATAAGTCTAGGCATGCGGCCAAGTCGTAGCTAAGCGGCTCCGCCAAGAGCCTCAAACTAACGACTCTTCGCCCTTGATCAAGTATAAAGAGCTGCCAAGGCCCCAGCCAAGTAGAAACCCATTCTTGGCCAGGTTTGACTACTCGATCTTTAAGACCACATCATAGTGCTTCTATTACAAGCTCTGCCACAGTAAACCGAAAGTTCGAAGGAAGTCTAAGGTAATCGATGTTGGTCTGTTGATAACCACTGTTTAATAGACTCGGGGAGCGCTGTACTGATCAAGATTAGAAGCCAACCTCGAGCCTGTGTCCATAAAAATGTACGAAAGGCGAGAACTCATACCCAAGACCCCCAGAGTAAGTTGTGATCTAATAACAATACTTAGAGGTAAACAAGCTTAATTATGATATCCAGAGTTCTTGCCCGTTTTGATAAAAACGGGTCGACGTGGTTCCGGAGGAGTTGCATTGACAAACCCTCACATATGATAGCCATTCGCCTTGGGTCTTATGAGGCTATAGCCTTAGTCTAGAGCTCGTTGAGAATACGGAATCTTTGATGTACAAGCGTACTCGTATACCAGCGGAAATTCAAGAGTCTTTGAACTAATACGACAGCAAATTTCAACTAGATGGTAAATATTAGTATTAAAGATTCTTACCTGCTCATTTTTTTCATCATCGTTCGGTCTAGTTCTTATAGCGAGTCTCGGCAAACGCTAAAATACGCCTATACATGGTGAGATATTTAGAAGGCCAAGAGCCAAGCGCCCGGGAGACACCCGAAAAGAACTTTGACCAAGGTTTTAGCCCACTCCCTTCCTCAACTCCGTCGGTCGCGGCGTCGGTACACGATCGAGTTAATGGTCTTCCTTCCCAGCTGCTCCCGTCTTGGGAAACCACGTTTTATGCATGCGACTTTGCATTGGCTATGCGGCATGACAACGGGTTTACATGCCGCCCTGGACATTTATGGAGTTTTGCTGGCTCAATGGGTGGCAATTCCATCATAAACGCCTTTCGAATCATGTAACTAGCCCTATTCTGGTTTTTATTATGGCCCTGATCAGCCCAGCTGTGACTAGGGACATCTGCTGTAGCTGAAATATATATAACATGTTTCCCCCTCCCCAGAGTTACAACCCGTACCCCTTCAGCAGTTTCAGCTCCAGGGAGCTTTACTTGTCCTACTCGTGATATTTACTTTATATTGCCAGGCAAGATGGTGTTAGCTCAATATGACTACCTTTTTGCTATAGGCTTAATCTTTGCCTTCCTCGATGCTTGGAATATCGGTACGCCTCTTGCCATACTAGTTCCCAAACGCACCCCTAAGTACTGATGCTGATCTTACTCAATCCACAGGAGCCAACGATGTTGCCAACTCGTGGGCGACTTCGGTCGCTTCTCGCTCGTTGACCCTTTTCCAGGCAATGATAGGAGCTAGTATCATGGAGTTCGCAGGATCCCTCGGTGTTGGTGCCCGTGTCGCTGATACTATCCGAACTAAAATCGTCAGCCCCAACCTATATAATGACTCGCCTGAAGTGCTCCTACTCGGGATGGTCTGTGCCGTTATTGCTTCCTCTGTCTGGCTTACTTTAGCCACTAGGATAGGTCTCCCTGTGTCCACTACCCACTCCATTATGGGAGGTGTCATCGGGATGGGAGTCGCATCCGTGGGAGCCACAAATATCACATGGGTCGCACCAGCTGGTACTAAGGGCACGGAGATAATCAACACTGGTGTGGTCTCAGTCTTCCTTGCCTGGATCATTGCTCCCGGACTCTCGGCAATCTTCGCTTCCATCATATTTCTCATCACGAAATACGGGGTTATGTTGCGCAAGAATCCCGTCATGAAGGCTTTTGCCCTGGTCCCCGTCTATTTTGGGTTTACCGCGTCGCTTTTGGTCATGCTTCTGCTCTGGAAGGGCGGTGGGTATACCATTAACTTGAACGATAATGAGCTTGCTGCTGTCATTGTCTGTAGCGGTATTGGCTGGGCTGGTATTATTGCGATATTCCTTATGCCCTGGCTGTGGCGCGTGGTCGTCAAAGAGGACTGGGAACTTCGATGGTACCACATTCCCCTTGGTCCTCTTCTTTTGAGGCGAGGCGAGGTCCCACCGCCCCCATCAAACTTTCAAGGTGCTATCCGTAACTTCTACGAGGGCCATCTCACGATGGAAGAGCTTGAAGCCAAACGTGCGGCTGCTCTAGCTCGAAACGACGTCGAGGCGGCTGGCACCAAAGAGACCGCCAACGAAGCCAACATCGCAGAGGCTATCGTCAACTCTTCGAAGCACTCTGACTCTGGCTCGGAGGAGCTTACTAACGTCCCGGAGAAGAAGTCGCTAGTCGGCCCTAAGCCCGAGGGCCTCCCTTGGTATTCCGGCCAGATGCTATTTTGGTATCTTAAGAAAGGGCTGTTCAACGGTGTTGATCAAGATATCGTCAACATGCAGTCAAAGAAGGATATATTGTCCGGGGACCTCGAGGAAAAACACGCCCGGGCAGCGCACTACGACAACAAGGCCGAGTTCATGTATTCGTTCTTACAGATTATGACCGCTTGCACAGCTTCTTTTACGCATGGTGCTAATGACGTTTCGAAGTAAATCTACCGCCCCCTTTTCCATCGTAGACATATTACTTACACACAGTAGTGCCATCGGACCCTTTGCAACAATCTATCAGATCTGGCAACAAGGGGAGGTTCCTGAGAACCCTGAAGTGCCCCTTTGGATTCTCGCTTTCGGCGGTGTCGGCATTGTCATTGGCCTCTGGACTTATGGGTATCATATCATGGCTAACCTTGGCAATCGGCTGACGTTGAACTCACCCTCTCGAGGTTTCTCTATGGAACTGGGAAGCGCTGTTACCATTATCCTCGCTACTCGGCTTAGTGAGTGAACACCCGCCTAACCCTCTACCCGTTTGGATAGACTCTCTAACCTTGTGGAAATTTATAGAGCTCCCGGTATCGACTACGCAGTGCATTACGGGCGCCATCGTCGGTGTTGGTCTCTGTAATGGCGACTGGCGGGCGCTTAACTGGCGAATGATCGCTTGGATCTACGGAGGCTGGATCTTGACTTTGCCCTGCTCGGGTATCATCTCTGGGTGCCTTATGGGGTTCGTCCTAAATGCGCCCCACTGGCGCTGAGGATCTCAGTGCCGAATAGAGGTACCTATGAAGGCAACTTCGCACAAGAGCATTGCAATTACCGAATGAAATCCTACGAGGAAACTGTTTCAGGGGTGGTGGGTGGTGAGGTCTTTTTGTTGATATCGATATATAATATACCCTTTCGTCTTAGTTTTGTCGTGTTTTATTTCTAGAGTCTAATATTGTCCGAAGTATTTTCGCTTTAGACTGGCAACGATGCTTCCGAGCACTGCAATTGAAAAAGTAGAGTCTTCCACAAGCCACATTTGAGTGGCGATGAAGTATGTCCAATGATTTTGTAGTGATCAATACGATTTCCGTCAAATGCAGACCCAGATTCGTGTATAATACAGTACGTAGTATCGACTACACCATGTGGCTGCTTATGCTTATTAAAACCAATGGGGTTTTGTTGTCAGAATCCACAAGTGGCCTAAGCAGAAGGGAATCAGCTCCGCGAGCCATGAGCGTAGTCCTTTTGGCGAGAAACCCAGAACGTCAGTGTTGTCCCCGAACCAAAGTTGTAACGCGAGTACCGTCACCAAAGTAGCATCTCTCGCGAATACGGTCCAATAAACTATCCGTCTACTCGCCGCGGCCTTTGGTGTTTTCGCAGATGCGAGAAGCATAGATATCCCTAGCGTAAAAGTCTGGGTGCCTAGGAGTCGGCTTAGTAGTAGAGCTGAGGGCGGAATGGGCGCTGCTACCGCGACGGACAATGGGGTTTGGGGTGAGATTATGAACACCAAGCCCCCTGCGAGCTTCATGATGCCTTCAACTAGGATCAATGATCTCAACGGTGATGCGGTATGTGTTGACATCGTGCCTGAGTAGAAGACTCTTCTTATACTGTTGGCTTGTAAAACTCTCGTGTATCTTTTAACCTCTCTATGTGGTGGTGTGGTGAATCACAGATATTTGTGACGCTTTAGGAAGAGTAATTCAGCCCTACGCTTTGGCATTCGGTACGGTAATACCGGCTTATAACCAGTTCCGAACTAAGTCTAGAACACGATTGTTCTATGCCAAGACATCTCACGATCCTCAAACACCGCCCAATTATGAGCCGCATACATAACTTCTAATTCCTACTTGGCATTCGCTATATCCTTTCTAAATATTCTCACGTTATCTCTGTTCTTTATCGAATATCTTATTGGTCCAGGATGGTCGTATTCATTTGAATAGATATCTCCATAAATATACCAGTCTAGGGTTTCAACAAGAATGCTCTGACTAAGACGCACCTTGTCGTAGCATCCGAAACCATGCGCCGTCGAGCCTAATGTGCTGATCGACGGGACGCTACGCGAACTAAATTTACTTTCTCAGGTCCCGTACCAAGTTTGATAGGTTACTTTGCAGGCATGGGAGCTGATGACATGGCGTTATCTGGGCTTTAAATGGGAGAGCTGAAAATTGCCAAGGCTGTTCAGCCACTTGGATAGGCGAGGGTTATGGCAGATGGTCTAAGAACCATGCCCGGTACCGTAGTAGTGCAGCAGTAGCGCCGCGATGGCCTCGCTCCGCCACGAGTCGAACGGGAAGATATTAGACACGCATGTCCTCCTACAAGGCTACAACATGATGGGAACGAGACTCTTTTCTTTCTTTTGGACTGACGGCATCCTCCTAGGACATAATAGCACATCTGTCCGGCAATGATTCGGAAGCGCTCAAGGGATCACTAAATAAAGACGGCGTCATGTCGCACATCACCACGGCGCCACGCACGGCGAAGGTAGCGTTTGATGCCTTACCCCGATTGCATACGCGGAATGTGAGCTCGGGAAGTTTTGATGGACCCTACGAGTACGATAATGATTTGACACAACGGCATGAACAACGATACGATAGGGAAGATCCCTCATATGAAAGAAGACATTACGATGGTTCGATAGGTTCAAGCAGTGAGGAAGAGGGTCTTCCCAAGTATGGTAGTGATCGGTCATGGTCTGGTAGGGGAATGGACTATACTCAGATTCCAACTGGCTACAAGCCTGACATGATAACCTATAGCGAAACTACTCTAGACGTTGCACCGGAAATAGATCGAGAGCGTCCCAACTATAAACCGTCTGCACTTAGATGGCCGTTCTTAACCGTTTTACTACTTGTAGTATCAACCCTCGTTGGGTTGATAGTGTGGGCTTTACACGTTCTCCCTGTTCTCAACAACGATCTCAACGTCTTAACCGAGGGAATTCACAAGAGAGAAGTTCAGGAGCTGTCGTCTTATACAATCATTCGAATCGCTTTTACAGATGTTAGGCCCATTCTCCTATCTACTCCCCTAAAGGGCCGTGCTGAAAATGCCTCTTCACCTACGTCTTCACCTACGTCCGAGTATACATCGCCGACAGCAGTCGCAACACCTGCTGGGAGCGACTTTGGACACGTCGGTGATCAGACTATAACCGAACCAGCGGGGCCAACGACAACACCACCGGCGGCTCAGGACACTACTAAGCCTAAGGCCGACACTACGTCACAAATCTCTACAGCCTACTCCAAGCCGGAGGAAGACTTCGGCCATGTCGGTGGGCCTGTTACTATCTCGGAGCAGGCGCCAACATCGCTGTATGTGCCTGGGACAACCAACTACGGCGATGTAGGGTCGAAGATAGTGACAGAAACTATACCAGAATCAGATTACGGTGATATTGGATCGACATCAATATACGAGTCCGTGGCATCCACAAACCACGGCGGCATCGGCACAATTACGATCTCGGAAACAGTACCACGGACACCAACCTTCGTAACGCCAACTGCTACCGTTGTAACGAACTCAGAGGGTGTAACCACGACTTCAACAAGCATCCCGGAACCCATCTCAACACCTCAAACGACCACTCTTACCGACTCCCAAGGCCAACCTACAGCCACACAAGAAACCAGTGTGCTCGTCACGCCCTCTGTCATAACCCAGACAGATTCAACCGGGAAACCCACCGCAACAGAAACATTATACCCGATAATTCCTCCCCCATCGGACGATAGCGAGGACAACAACGACAACGTTGTAACTAAGGTCTACCATATCAACCATGTGCAATACTTCATTGGCAGTTTCCTACCCACGCTCCTAGCCATCGCTCTAGCGATTCCTGTCCGCATCCTCGACGTCAATGCGAAGATTCTACAACCATGGCACGAGCTGGCACATGACCGCGGAGCCTCCGGTCGGGAATCGCTATGTCTGAATACCTCAGGCCTGCAGTCTATTACCGCAAGTTTGCGTTCGCTGGTCGGTGGTCAAGCTCTCGTGTTCCTGACGACCGTGCTTGTGCTCGCCTCTGCACTGCTAATCCCTATCTCTGCTGAAGCTGTCAAATTTGACTTGCGCGGTATTGGGTGCGTCGCGGGTAGCGGAAATGCTAGCAACTGCGCATATGTGCTCAGCGTGTTCGATCAAGCAGCCAAGGCCACGGCTGCATTATTGGCGTTGATGGGTCTCGCGACCTTGATGTTGATTGTAGTGTTGGCACGATGGCGCTCTGGAATTAGCACAAACCCTTGGAGTATCTGTGGAACGGCATCGCTGTCGCTGAACCCGGATGTACGGCTTCTGTTCACGAGCTTACCTGCCGGTATCGACGCGGGTAAGATGCCTAAGAGTCTCCTCGAGTCTGTTCTAGAAGATCGGTGGTTCAAATTGGGGTACTTCTACGGTGCGAACGGGACGGTCGAGTATGGAGTGATGCTACGTGAAAATGCGTATAGTAATAAGTACGCTCTGGGTCAAATAGGGGGCGAAGAAAAAGAGCCGCAAGATCATCACGCAGCACCGACGAAACCGAAGCATCACTTGCCTTTTCTTATGTTAGGGTATATAGGACGAGGCTTGTTCTTGTTTATTCTATGTGGGCTACTGGGTCTGATATTATACTACAACAACACTGGCGGAGATACAGCGTTTGAGAGGTTTATGGATAGCGAGTCGTTTGGAGTACGGTTTTTGTTTACCGCTGTCGGTGTTGTTATTAGTTTCTTCTGGGCCTCATTCTTCAGTAGTAAGCTTTTCCTTTCTCCCATAACCCCCAAATCAGAATCCAAAGCTAACAGCGTATGAAGGCATCGCTATTCTAAGCCCCTATCAGCTCTTGGCCAGTTCACCCCAACATGCCCGGCGATCAATCCTACTTGCGCCACCAACCAATGCATTCTCAGGGCTCCTATCCTCAGTACGGCGGCGTCACGGTTTCCTCGCCGTTGTTGCATTAACTTCCATCCTATCCGAGTTCCTAACTATCTTCCTTAGCAATATCCCTTACCGGGTCACACAGACCTTCCTACTACACCAGGTCTGTACGTGGTCTGCTGTTGGCATCCTCTGTGTCATGGTACTTGTTGTTGTTGCCTCCTTCTTTATCACTGTATGCCATCCCTGATTCTTTACGCGTTTAACCGAGTACTGACTGTTGTAGTGGCCGCATATGCCTGTCGATCCTAGTACCATCGCGGGAGCCATGTACTACATATGTGATTCGTGGATGCTTAGCCGTTTTGAGGGTTTAAGTACATTAAAGCGTAAGGATAGAGACTGGCGCGTTAACGAGATGGGGCTAAAGTACGAGTTTGGAGAGATCAGGGGCGCCTCAGGCATAGCGCGAATCGGCGTGGATGCATCGTCATCGTCTGGAGGGATGGGTTGGGCGTAATAAGCTGGAATTAATTAATCTACCTGATCTATCTATATATACCCCAATCCGATCATCTACCATGGCACAAGGTGCATGTATTTTTCGTGATCTTCCTCATGTCGCCGTGATATCCTTATTGCTATTTTAGTCTCGGCTTCTAAGCATAGGCTGATATTTCAAGAATATGGTCAACATATTTCGCCTCTCCTAAATTGGTTGCTTTAGATATACGATAATCTGAGACCTGATTGAGATGTCCCAGAAGAATTCAAGTCTAGCAAGTGCCCGGCCTCGGAAGAGATAGAAACGTATTCTAAATGAAGTAGATGGACTAGAAAGATAAACTATGTCGGTGAGATCATGCAGGCTCGGTATGCAAGTCACACTCCTAGCCCCGAAAAGAGAAAAGGACAAAATCTCCTATTGAACCCGGGGACCGGAGGATTGGCTCGGCATGCAGCTGAGCATGCTTCATACCCTTTCTCCCCTATAGGAAGTGAAAGACACACAAACCTAACCCATGGGGCTCGGATGCAAAAGACCTAAGCAAAAATATTCCTACTATTGGACCTTGTTCCCACCGCCCCCGACCAACGGGCGTCGACCGAATATGTGCCCGATACTGTTTAGCCGCCGAGCATGAATTAAGCACCAAGAACGGTCATCATCGGATCTCGTCTCTGATTGGACGACGCACGACATGCCATCCAACCTTCTAACCTAGGATGTTAAGAAGCCCCAATTGGATAAACAGAGCCCAGTTTCCAGGTTTGCAGCAGAGATGGTTTTTATTCTCCGAACTTATTGATTTGTGTGACGAGCCCGTGCATCGATGCTAGCCAGGGGCAGGGGCTATGAGGCCAGCGACGAGATGAGATGAGGAGGTGAAGGGATCACGTTGACATATTTTTACATTAGTTTGGCCGATCATCCTTCAGACTGACTTGACCGCTCATATAAGACAGGCAGTCAACTATTAGTTAGGTATAACTATAAGGCTATTGAAAACTCCCAGATATGCATAGGTACTTAAACATTCTCACGTCCTACTACTCAACACCGCCAATCTTATAATTCAACCAGTTCAAATTAATTCACAGTATCACCGCGTAGTATAGTAGTAGAATATCCCAATAAACCCAAGATGCGCCCTCAACAAATCCTCACCTCCCTCATCTTGCCCGTCACAGCCGTGAGCCTTCCGACAAGCCCAGCCAGCCCGCACACCAGCGAACCTTCACCACCAGCACCGCGCGGCGCGGCACAAACCTGTGGGCTCTACAAATTTGCCGAGACCCCTATAAACCCGCCGGCGTGCTGGGCGTGGTACGCACAAACCTCTCAACCGTCCGACTACTGCGGCGCCAGCACTTTCAAATCTGTCGCCTCTGCCTCGTCGCCATCAGCATCCTGGCTCGACTCATGCGCCTCCCTACGTAACACCCAGATCATCTCACCAAGGGACTTTTTCCTGGCGGACTACGCTACCGACAAGTTCAATACGTTCCTCATGTCGGGCGACTGCAGCTTCCAGGTCCAGCCTGCGACACCGCCGTCTAGTGACCAGGTCTATGTTGGTGGCACTGACATTGCAGACATCCTCGGGTCCGCCATAGCCGCCAGTCGAAACGCGGGTGGAAGTATTGGCATTGAGGGTAGCATGACCTGCTCACCTGGTATTGTACGCTGGAGGATGGTACCTGTGTAAACGATTAATTAAACTCGCCGACTAAGTGAAGAAGACACCCTAGGCTTTATTCGGTCCACCTTAGCCAGCCTGAAGTTCAAAGTGCCAAAGAAAGTACCGGAGCTCGGTAGTATCAGTTTAGAATAATTTCTTCACGGCGCAAGATTGATAAAAACAACCTCAATACATGTTCATTATCTTCAGCATGAGCCGGCCGCGCGATCTAGTCACGAATGAGACTTTCAACATTGAAAACGATCAAGTACTTTTGTATTGCAGCAAAGCGCCTATAGCGAGTGTTTCTCCACGTTCCGTTCGACTTTCTTTCCCTATCCAAACCCTTACCATCCTGACCATCTCCTCAATGACAACGTTTCTTCACCGTTAATAGCTATAAATCAATAAACGGGAAATAGTGAGTTGAATTACGCTGAGCCGAGGTCGCGGTGATAGGCGGTTCGAGGAAAGCGAAAAACCTTAGCACAGCATCGATCGTGTGGCGAGATAACCATATACAAATGCAAATAAATCTTATCAGATCTTCCTCTGCTCCATCTGCCCTCATTCTGTTCTGTCCTCCAGTGAAAACAAATCCTCGCTCAGCAACGAAATTACTCTTGCTGTCTTCGTCTTCGTCGCTTCGTTCGTCATTTCCAATCGCTCCGAAGCTATGCCGGCCCTATCGCCAGGGACGCCCCGTAGATGCTCTTTAGAACAGTAAATTAGTTGGGGATCTCCCAGTCTAGTCGGCCAGCCAGCATCGCGTTGCCATCTAGTGATGTGCATATGCGTCATAACAGCGTAACCATCGTAAAGAGGTCCTCCAGGCTTGACAACCCCCCTCGGAAGCCGTCAAGACCTTAAGACACCTCGGAGGGTATAGGAGTTCGAGTCGTGATGCCGTGAATGGTCGCCCATAAATTGCTGTATGGTGTATCCAGAGATGGTTCATTTGTCGATCATCGTGAAGAGGGTATTGTAAAATGGAACGATGTGCTTCATTGTTCCCCTAGACTTTTTTTTTTCGGTTCCATGCAACACTACAACCTTTCACCATCGCAAACTCCATGATATGTATGTTGTTCTTTCCCAATCCAGGACGGCCGGAGAAACTCTGATGGAAGGTGAATAAAACAATATTCCAAAATCAAATCTCATATTACAAGATATTAGTTCAAAACAACGAAATGGAAAAGAAATTCAAAACGCAATAATGCAGGTCGAACCGTTAATCGAGGTGTAAAAATCGTGCTGCGACAGGTTGAAGCATAGCGTCAAATCAACGAAGGGAATAAGTCTATGTCATAAGTCGTCTCTCGTTGTGTTATGCTTGTGACGGAGATCCAACGCTCGTAGCGAAGGCGTATTGGACAGATGATGGGGTTTGAAAGCGAGGGCCTTTTTTTATAGCTTTCCAGAAGGTCGTGATGGGAAACTCGGCATCGTCATCGCACCGGTAGATGAATAACTGATCGAAGAGTGCGGGGGCCATACAATTGATGGGTCATTGCTATTCCGTACGGCGGCTTCTCATATTAAATGGTAATAAGCTGGATCAATGGAAGCGCGCAGTACTGCGGCCTGCATCTGATGAATCTGTACGCGGTCTTAGTTAGTAACGGATGGCCTAAGAGCACTTGACATAGATACTAACCGCTGCCCCTCTGCATGTGTCCACGACTTCGTCCGCCAAAACCTTGACCAGCTTCTCCCCATTCTGGGCCGCGTGGTTGCCTGTCAGGGGCGTTACGGTTTGCCGCTCCATTAGCTCCCGGTCTCTGGCTTCCAATAGCCCCTGGCGTTTCCCTAGCGCGCATGTGAGAGCCGTTCGAATCGAAACCTAGGTTCATAGAACTCATGTTTCCCGCCAACAGAGCGTCGGTGCTCGATGTGGCATTTTGACCTGATGTCGGGGTTAAATTGGGCGGCGTGGTCAGCGAGTTTTGGGAAAAATCACCATAACGGGCCCCAAGGCCATTTCCAAGGCCAGCATAGCTTGAACCAGATGGCGCAGGGCTCGGGCTGTGCGTGCGCAGGTCTGCAAAACTCTTAGCCGCCCTGAGGTTGTTCGGTATTCCATTGTCTGGACTGCCTGGCAGTTCCAACGTAGGGCCCTGCCTACCCAGTGCATGATAAGCACTGGAACCTATGCGAGATTCTGTAAAATCGTATGTAGCGGCGCGACTTAACCCGCGCCGGTGATCCTCCCAAGAGACATTAGGTAGTTGGCTCTGGGCATGAGCAGGAGGAGAATTCTGCGGCCGTTTCATGATTTGGATCTGCCTTCGATCAGCTTCCCCGACGGACCTGTGCTCCAAACCCATGTTATGGGCGAGAATATGTATCTGTCGGCGCTGTTCGGGGGCAACATCCGGCGAGAAGATATGAACTTCACGAGATGGGTCATTCTTAAACAGGGTCAACTGTGTATAAAACTCAAGAGTTGCGGGATCATTCAAATCGACGTCGCCTATACATAAAGAAATTAGTAATAATATCTTGGATGGGGGGTGCGTGGGAGACTCACGTAAAGGCGAATTACTTGGCTGCTTGTTGACGCTGACACCAAGAGCCTGCAAAGCGCTCTGCTGGTGCATAGGAAGCGGCGCTCGATGCTGTTCTTCGAGCTGGCCTCGTTTCTCACGCTTCTCTCGATCAATCCTATCACGCTCGTCCTGCGGCAGCATCTTCTTATATTCAACGCGCAACTTGCGACCCATAACTTCCAATCCATTCATCTTTTGAATTACAATAGCAGTATCATCAGCTGTCGAGAAGTTGGCGAAGGCAAGCCCTCTGAATACGCCCTTGTCGAAATGATAATTGAAAGCGTATGGCTGAGGGAGATTCATGGAAGCCATGAGGCCTTGGAGAATCTCCTTTCGACATTGGAACTGGATGTTCTTTATCACGATAGCCGTAGGAATAAGTTGCTCGGAATCGGACGCGCCGGGAGTGGCCATCATCCCTCGAGAATCCGCGGCAGCGCCAGCCATATTTGATAGATCATGTTCATTTCCGTTCATCGACATACTTGGATCGTACAGCTGAGGCATCGAATGAACGCCCAATCCGGATTGATCAGTCCACGTCTGGGAGAGAATCTTCGATCAGCAAAGTCCTTATCATTTTAATGCACGCGAAAGGGGCACTCACCGTAGGCAGAGCGGCTCGCCGATTTACAGCCCTCACCGCTAACCTACCGTTACCGTTCATGGGGCCGTTCATGGTGGCTACTCCGCCATTATAGCCCCACGTTTGGCTATTTTCCAACATGTAACCGGATTGCATTGCGCTTGGTGCAACGCGATCAAATCTCGATAAAGATTCATAGCCCGCGCCGCCGAGACGGTCATCGTGTCCGTATATCGAACCAGATGTCATTTGCTGACCAAGAGATTCGAGAGGTCTTTGACCCGATCGGTTACCCCCTAGGCCCGAGGGTAGGCCGACAGTAGCATAACCTTGTCTTGTCGACCCAGGCGACCTGTTCGCCGTCGTGGGATAATCGTAATACATATCGTGTTGCTGTTGTTGATTCATGATTGCCACAATAGTATTGAGGGCTGGTGCAGCTGCTGTGGGGAGCCAGCAGGCTGCAGCTCCCTTTATACGCGTATATAGACGGGCGGAAACGCCTTGTTGAGTTCTGTCTCAGAGCTCAGGACCTCTACCTTTGGTCTCCGAGGAAACGACGAGCACAAGACAAAGCGCCGTCGTGGGAACCGTACTCCTTTACAGAGACGAGGATTACTCGTGCGTGAAAATCGATAGGAAGATAAATAGGGTCGGTCGAAGGAGCAGCGATGGTTATGGCTGGTTGGCTGAAAAGTTAGGCAGGATTGGCTGTGCAGTAGAAATGCAAGAAGCCGAAACGAAGATTAGGTCGGGTAGTATGCCGTCACGCAGCTCAAATATCGAATAGCTAACTCCTGAGCGCCAGGTCGCCAAATCTTCCCTATATATGATAGGTCCTAAACCTCTAGAAAGGGGACTCAGGCCTGTCCTGAAGTTGATGCGGTGGAGAAAAAAATTGGCCTGCAGAGGCAGGTTGAAAAAAAGGCGGCGAAGAATTGCGGGCTTGACCGCAGGGACCCCCCAACCTAGGTAAGTTAGGATTTTCTTTTCCTTGACTTTAATTTTTAATTTTTACTTTCCTCCTAGCCCACCAGATAAACCAAGGGCTAACCTGGGATTTCAGAGGATGACAGCAGTACCCTCCGAAAACTCTACTCGTTCTGACTGCAAAGTTTCGCCGTAAAAGTATAACAAGCAATAATTTATGGCCAGATAAGTTTATAGCGATCAGGTAGCAGAGAAATAGTGGTAGTGTTTGCACGCGACGCGCGAAGAGTTTAGGTCCAATAAACCGACTTTCCAAGTTGGCTATTTAGGGGGGTAGTAGAAAAGTAAGCAAGGGTGTGAGGATACGTAAGGCGTGATGGATCAACCGGGGAACCTCTCGCGGTCCAGGGGTGACAGCTAGAGGCCTCGGCGGAAGGAATAGGTAGCGATAAGATTGGATAGTTGACCGAAGTAGAACTGAAGCCGGTGCCTATCAAGTTGAGACGGAGAGATCTTATAATAATAGTTGGTCGAAGGGCGGAAGAAAGCTAGTATCAGCTTTGGAATTGCCCACAAGTAACAAGTAGGTAGGTAACCAGTGTAATCGGTTTTGGGGTTACTGTTAAGTGGCTGTTAAAATCTGGGTGTAGCTGAATGAGATACAAGCAAGACAAAGACTGAGAGACCAATCAGAGCCCGAGTAGAGAGTGAGGAGGTACCACTCGGAGGAGGCCGCGGGATAGATGATGGCGAAAGGAGAAGGGAAAAGAGAAGGGGAGTGGATTATGGCAATACGCCTTAGAAGACAGCGAGGACCATCGGATAGATAATATGATAAGTTATTAGGTAGTATTGTAGAATTTCGAGAAGACGAAAAATATGTCCAGCTAGAATTTTTCTTCCAGAGCAAGGCATGGAAACTTGGCACTCGAGAAGATCCCAGGGGCGATGGGGGTAGAAGGTGGATCGCGGATGGTTGATGGGAAAAAAAACAATGCCAGAAGCACCAGAGGGAAATTATTGGCTTAGCGGTAATAAGGAGTATGTACCGTGCTTGCGCTTCATGCTATCAATTTGCGCTGCCAGCCTAGGGGGCTCAAAGGGGAAAAGTCTCACTAGGCAGGTTACGAAGTACGAGGTACGTAGACATGCGTATAAAATTATATAAATTATATACTGTGCTCGGAGCTTAAATTGGCCTATTCCTCGGAACGCTTAGGCCATCCTCAAAACCCCTAAGTCTACCATTGTGCACAGTGCAGCGCAAGCTCATTATATACTGTCTATTAGCATCACCTACATGCACTAGTGCACTATGTACACATAAGGTACATGTAGCCCTAAAGTGGCAGGCATAAAAATGTGCCTACCTTGTACGGGGCACGGGGCAACAGGATCGACTCCCTCATCAACAAACATCGTCATCATCAACATCAAGTCCGAACAGAGCATCGAATATCTCGACACGTTTAATATCCAATCTAGGCATAATAGCATCTAAAATGACAAATCTATACACATGTTGCGTATCCAACAGAGCTTTCTATATCGTTACTCGTTACCAGTTACCAGTTACCAGTAGTCAAACTCGCTGCCGGGTCCGAGACAGATACCTGCCTCACTTATACACAGTATCACCAGCATTACTCCCCTAGCCCACCTAATGTATGTCGCCCCGTACACATTTTATCTAGCTTATTATCAGACTGGTTTATTACAAGTCCAGGCAACCCATCTGAGAAGGCCCTGCTCCTAGATACATTGGCCATCTCCCGTATTACTCGAGCAGTTCCTCTACGGCGGGTCTTATCACGGGACAAGGCTACCGAGCGAAATACAAATTAGAAGCCTCGTGAACATTCGGATCACACCCTCTTTATCAACCGCTCCGCTTTTCTACACAACGTCAAGTGACCTTTTCATCTTGCTTTCTCAGCACATATATAGCACATACATATATAGCACATATAGAACACATATAGATGCGGCAGTCATCTATATTAATCGCGGTAGTTTGGTCGTAGTTGCATAATTTGCAGGGGGCTGTGGAGTTCTAGTCCGAGTAGTTGGGCTCTACGGCCGCCATATTAGTCAAAGGCATGGAACATGCATGCATGGCGTCGAGATCATACAGATCTCCAAAACGGCGGCTACAGAGGGACAGAAGACGACACCAATAATCTTCTCTTCTTTTCCCCCCCAGTGGTACGATATTGAGATTCGCGAGCAAATATTTTTGCACGAGACCCAGCTACAGGCCTTTCTATCCAGTCCTTTCGATCTCTCTGAAGGTTTAAAGTACTTCTTATTATTTACCTTAGGTACGTAACTCAGGTAGGTAGGTACGGATCCGTACATTCGATTCATTTCCTAACATCTTGATTGGGGTTCTATCCTACGAGAATAATTCCAGAAACGCCAACCGGATCAGATTAACGTTACAGCCCAACTTTTAACATATTAAACCCCAGCAGATGTTGAATCTGTATACTCCCTTATGACCCTGCATCTGGTGATGGAATGTGCCTGATGCACCTATTTCATGTAGATCACAAGCACTACATTGCACGGCCGCTGATCAGAGATACGTACAGTCAGTACCTAACGCGCAAGGCGCAACATGCAGCGGATGTCACCATTCTCGAGTTCTTTTAATACGCAATCCCACCATAGGAGCTTCTCCCCGCGCGTTAACGAAATAGGATATCATTTCGGTCCAATCTTATGCGGACAGCAATGCCCAATCTTACCTATCGAGCCGCATACCATCCATCCTGTTTGCTCAAATAGACGAGGCTCTATTCTACTTCGTATGTATGTATAAGACTTAGAACAAGCGAATGTCCCCATCGTCCTGTTTCCATGGTATTGGCATCCTTCGATATCCACGGTAGGTATTCCTCGGCCTATCAACTCTCCAGCCTGCCGGCTCGTCTGTGCGTTCACGTACCCAGTTCCCAGGGTTCGTTCTAAGATCAGATCGCAAAATGGCCCCAACCTCCCCAGTCGAACCCCTAAGGATTCGAAATGATCGTTCACCATGGCCAGCAAATCAGAGGCAGTTCTACGTCTATTTCGAGAAAATCGAGGCAACCCTCAATGGGACCTAGAATCTTGGCATATTCTGGAACTCATCTCCATCCATTACAACGATCCTCAATTACGTAGGTTTTCTCCTTTACCAGGTCTATGTCATTTCTTTTCTTACCCATCACAGCCTCTTTACTCCTTGGTTTTCTTACCCAATGTCACATCAATGACGTTCTAAATCTCTAGCAGTCGTTGGTAAGTTAATTACGGCACGTCTTCCTCTGATACGATTTCCCGGTTACCACGACTGGCCATAAAGGACTACCCATGCCGGGCTCCAATAGATCAATCAGCTGCTCCGCCCCAAGTCCGTTTGACCTACGGAAGACTAATAGGTAATGGAAGTTGGTCCGTAAAGTGAAAAAAAGGAATTTATCCCAAGAACAGCAGAGCACGATTCGCCACGCCGATCCAAGACTTGAGTAAGGTCGGTTCCCATCGAGTTGGATGCAGCTCTAAGATATTGCTACAGAAACGATTAATGATCAGCCAGCTTTCTTTACCGTCAACGTACGACAACCATGTTTCGTGTCCGTATGGATAACTGGCGAGTTAAACGTGGTGCCGAGACGCCGCCCCTGAATGTATTGATAAGTAGAACAACTTGAGTATCGACACCCAGGATATTTAAGTGATCAAGAGCAAATGCAGTTCAGTTACGCCCTGCTTGTCAATGCCGTAATACAATAGTACCAACAAGGATCACGCATAGTCAAAATGTTATCAAATTTGATAGTCCCGTTTCCTAGTCTCGGTGGGGGAAACACTAAGCTTTGTGTCTCGGGAGCTGACAGGGCGAAAATAGCGTCGAGTCAGTCATCCAATCGGCAAGTTCCCATACTCTTCCTTTCCCCTCTCGTTTTTTTAGGGATTCCCCGTGTGAGGCGCGACAAATGGGATGCATAAACTTACATCGACGTTCAAAATGATATCGTCACGGCAGGGAGAATTTCTAACTTGCTACATTCTATACATGGATTGCTACAAAGGACTTCCTCTCCGACCGAGGACTCCCTTAGGAGCGAGACAAAGGATAAATACTTCTTCAGAAATTTCTTTGCCAAGGCAATAAATCGTTCTTACTCATATCTTAGACTATCGGTCGTGTTCCGGGTTAGCGAATACTCCAACAAGGTGAGACCCCTTTTCATGTGCTACCAGATTGACATCAATACACTCGCATTCCAAACCAATCTCGCGGAAAACGAGTTCCTCCATTAAGACGAACTAAACATACTAACATATACCGTGCCGCTATCTATCTCATAGCCACCCTTTCATAGTATAGAACCATTAATTATCACATTGCTTTATAGAAATGCTACCCAACTGTCGCGACGACTTACTTGATTCTCCACCTCTAAGTATGGTACGTTCAAGCAGGATTTAGACAAGCAAGTAAGGGCAACAAGCATGGAAATGAGTGCAGGTAGCCGTAGTTTATTCAGAGACTAGTCTGCAATACCATTCGTCGGGTTTTTCCATAACCCCTGATCAAAATTACAGGGCGCAAAAAGCTACCAAAGCCATTTTTCAGATTCGTCGTAGTTTATAAAGCTTCATATTATCGTCGTGGTAAAATATTAGCATGAGGTAAGGAACTAAACTGTGAACCCAGGAATTAAGGAAGCATAATTGATAGGGCCTCGTTGAAACATATATGAGCGATAGACTTTAATACACATATGGAACCGATTGAAACTTGGGTAGTGCCTATTTTAAATGCCGAACAAGCTACAAAGTTAACACTATCTTCTAATTATTCAATTTGGTTTAACACCAGTACTTCTAACACTAGTCCTGTGTGTACAATAGCTTATGATTACCTAGCTTAGATATGTCTAGCCTTAGGACATTGAGGCGTTTCTGGGTATAAGCACTCTATGGGCGTAGTTACATGATGATACTACACTAGGAATATTCCCGATTTACTAAGCTTCCTAGGGTTAAGGAGCACAGCCCACTACTATACCTCACGGGTCATACATTCTAGTAACCTACCTGATGACAAACTTATTCCTCAAATTTTAAAAATGGATGCTCCAATCACTTCACAGCGAACGAACAACCCTTCGGCAATCCGTTAATAGGGACTATTGTCTTCGAGTTCATTAATCCAGACTCAACCAAAAGTTCCAAGCTAAACTCTGGCGAACAACATCTAATCGAATAGGTACAATATGCAGTGGTAGCCGAAGATTCTGAAACATATTTGGAATCTAGCTCATTCAAGTATCTAGCGATAAAATAGGTAATATGTTTGTCCGTCCTTCAACCTTGTTGAATGTAATGTCTCTAGCTGTCCTACTTGATAGATCGGTGGCGGATTCTCTCCGCGCATGAAGAGACCCAGCAGGATCTGAATAGGCATCTTGCATTCGCAGCCGGTAGCACATTCAACATTAGCTTCAAGCATGATGCCTACTTTTATATCCAATCAGCGAAGATTGTACAACTCCAAGTCGCCGTTTAAATAAACAAAATCGGTGCTTCTTATCCAATCCTAAACTATACACTAGCCAACTACATTTGCATAAGTTCGCTATGTTGAATTCTATTGGTTGCTTTAACAATTACTATAAACGAAGGCTAATAAGGACAATAGAACAAAACTATGCGATCCTACCTGATCCCAGAATCATGGGCATTATTAGTAAGCCAATCTTATTTCATAAAAGGGTGACAAGAGTCAGTCAGTTGGCTACACCAAACAGGTACGAATCAAATATTCAATCCCACGAGTCCGATCGTAAGTTACTTCCCTACTTCTACAGAAACTAGGCAGACTTTCTGATCTCTCCTTCAAATTTTACACGATCCACACGCAGAGGACTCTATAGCCATTGAAGACTATGTCTTATCAAATAATCCAACCATCTTCATCCCCCTCCTTGCTAGATTTCGCAATGGTACAAACCGGCACGCTCTCGAATCCAGGGCTGTCCCACTATTCTCCCGAGTAGCCTACTATAAAGTAGAGTCTATAGCAGCAACTCTTACCCTCGGCACTCTCGGCACTCTCTAGGCACGTCAAAAAGCCCATTGTTTTTGGCAACGAAGTCATGATTGAGCCTATGGGCGCATACATTCTACACTTAGATAAGACTCCGTTTGGTGTCTATAGGGTTGAATGTAGTGCCGCCATCGGAGGATCCAGTTATATTAGCGAACAGGAAGTCAAACTTACTGATGCGATGAGGCGTGGATGAACGTAAATCTAGGAACCCGGTTGACCCTAGGTCGTGCAGCTTGCTGTTCTTGTCCCGCGCCGCGCTGTACAGCGTGCCGCCCCGCAAGCTAGCCATAAGCGCGGGTGATGAATCATCCACCACGACTATGCTACCTGAAGGCGTGTCGGCCTGTGGGGGCAACTTGGTCTGCTTATTGTTAGGGGTTGATCCCTTCTTAAGTGAAGCCATCAGTGTCATCAGCGGTGCTAGTGCTATCCGCATTGACAGGCACAGCTCGCGAAGAAAGAACTGGAGCTATTGTAACAGCAAGGTTGTTCGAAAACCTCATGATGATAGGCGTATGAAGAACAAAAGTGTAAGTCTTAGTCGTGAGTATTTCTTGAGTAATTTGCTGATACTAGATGCGCGACTAGACAATCACCAACATAATTTTGTTCGAACTATTAGAGGGCTTTATCCCCACTAGGATTTGTTTGCATTCATAACCTTGCTGTTTCCATCGTAACGGTCCTCATAGGATTACTATGTCACAGAAACATTCTCGTCCTGGAGCTAGCTTTCTTCGGTATAACCATAACGACGGCGGCAGGATTAGCCTTGTTACTTGGGATGAGGTGGCTATCAACAACGAAGCTAGTAAGACCACCTAAGCTACACACAAGGTGCATTGTGTACGGCTATAGAGTAGACTTGAATGGATGTTGGCAAACATAGATCCGTACAAACCCTGGGAAAATAATCCTAGTATACACCCATAAGGAAAGTACTACTCAGAAGTTGGCTATTTTAGTCATAATCGCCTAGATTAAGCGGTAGAAAACGCTCCAAAATTAGAGGTCTTTAATTTCAAACCCGGGTTTTATATGACATTCGTAACACTTGGTATCGCTCCTTTCTGGTAACTGTTTATAGTATATGTACGGGTTCAAGCAAATGTTATAGAAAGTGTTATCCTATGTTTCCTGCCACTCTTAGATATTGGGCGCCCAGTCACTTGAATGTATGTTATACTGGAAGTCACTGTCAATAATGGAATTACTTAATTGCACTCTGTTGTATCTAATAATAGTCCTTCTCACTCGGTTTAGCATCTGTAATAGGTACCATACGAAAAGAAGCTGGTACGGCAGCACACAATGAGGATTCCTTACCGGTCATAGACCGGGTGTAACGGTCTGTATACGAGAGCAACATAGACAACTAGACAAGGTGCAAGATCATGGCGTGATGAAATAGCATTTGATGGATTTTAGAGAATATCAGTGACCAGTATCAATTCCCTACATAGAGGCAACCCATATGTAAAGAGTTTGAAGTATAGTATTTCCGAATAATGCTATAGGATTCTCTTTCAGATTATCTAAAAGTTGCATTTATAGGCATATCAGCGGTTGGTGTAACAGCCTAACAGGTGGGTTAGTACATAGATACTTCCAAGGTTCTAAAAAACGGGCAAAGATCATGTGGCTGTGGAGTAATGCAAGCCACACTGCTTTCGGCTGATGGGTTTCCACCCAGATCCATTGACGTAGATCTCCATCCAAACGACCACAGGCTAATCTACATACATTCCAATATCAAAGTCTACCTTTTTATGCGAGATCCTTTTTGCGCAGCACTTTCTCATTTGGTTTCGACTACTTCGAATCTGGAGTCTTAGTCGCCTACTTTAATCTAAAGTATCGAAATGGCACTAACACAGTTTAAAATGCGGCATGTATGCTGCCGTCGCTCTTCGTCAAACTTCATGCCGCCATCCCCTTGACTACCTAGGTACCTAACCTTGCTGGTCTACCGCAAGTAATTGATGCTTCGTCACATTCGCATCTCTCAACTCCTGGTAGTTTATAACCGCTTGAATAATGTGAGTATACCAACGAAGTGAATACTGCTCTTTTTTTGCTTTTCGGTCTGCATTAGTTGGTGTAGCACTCTTCTGATATCTTCCCCGGCAAGACAACTCTCTCCTCTGGACAAGCGGCTGATGATGATAGCCGGAGATTTACCGGCAGTCACATCGTAGCTGGATGAGGCTTAGTGTCACGGGAAAGCTAGGCGCTATGAGGTGGGGTCATTTTCTACCCTCGGGGCTTCTAGAAGCAAGATTTGATGCCTACCTCAGTACCTCAGTGCCTATAACGCAGCCTAACCAACTGCAATAGAGCATTGAGTCAATCCAAATAGGCAAGCAGCAGCGCACGTACAGGCAACTCACAGCTTTCCTTTCCGCCCCAGCCTGCCTACAACATAGCCCGCCCCTTCCAACTACACCGCGCCGCCTCTCGATTTTCCAGCGCCTCCGACCCAAATGCAATAATAAAAAAACACAAACAACGAAAACAATTTTCACCGACAAACAAATCCGACGCGAAAGTTCAACTATCCACCCCAAAACCGACACCATCTTTTATTCGTCGCGCCGAAACCCGTTCGATTTGATTAACATTAACAAAATATTGATTTCGCGCACATTAGTATAAACAATGGCTGGTGGAAAAGGCAAATCATCTGGCGGCAAGAGTTCGGGTGGGAAGACCTCGGCTGCTGAAGCTCCCAAGAAGCAGCAGAGCCATTCTGCTCGTGCTGGACTTCAGGTAAGACGCTATTTTGTCATATACTATTGATGCATCGCGATCATTTCCACCGGTCTGGCCCGTTGAGATGCCTATGTCTCCGCAACATCGAGCTCCCGTCGATATCGCCCGCGTGCCCCTCGATTCGCAGAATGACGCGCACCTCTTTTCTACACAACATGTACTATCCAACCGCCGCTTAGGACTGTATCACAATGACGAGTTTCAGTCCCGGCCATAAATGGAGCTGTGCGGATGTCATTGGGCCGATTGCATTTTTCGTCTTCATATATACCAGATTCATCGAAAATACTCGCGGGCATGCAATGCGATGCGATGCGATATTGACACTCCTCTCTTCCTTAAGACCCAGTGCACTGTCGCTTTTGTTTAGCTCACATTTGCAACCGCGCTTTTTTAATCATGATAAAGATATATTGCTCTTTTGGTCGAGTTTTGCTAACAGAACGTCGTAGTTCCCCTGTGGCCGTGTTAAGCGTTTCTTGAAGCAAAACACACAGAACAAGATGCGCGTTGGTGCTAAGGCTGCCGTCTATGTTACAGCCGTTCTCGAATATCTGACTGCCGAAGTCCTTGAGCTCGCAGGCGTGAGTCATCCTCTTTGTTTTCCCTGTGTCACATTGCCAATATACTTGCATGAACTCTGCCTCGTTTCTGGTTCCACAGGCTACCATATAGGATGGAAGCTGACTATTGTCCTCGTAGAATGCCGCCAAAGACCTGAAGGTTAAGCGTATTACTCCTCGCCATCTGCAACTCGCCATCCGCGGTGACGAAGAACTGGACACGCTGATTCGCGCAACTATCGCTTTTGGTGGTGTTCTACCCCACATCAACCGTGCCCTACTACTCAAGGTCGAGCAAAAGAAGAAGAATAAGGCGATCGAAGCATAAGCTGCCCGCGATCTTTGTGGTTTGGAGTTTCCAGTGTATACGCTCTTTCGTTTCTGGGTGTTTCTGTTACGTGGAGCGAGGTTCTCTGCCTTTGGAGGCAGGAAGCGCGGCCTTGCAACCCTAAGACGGTTGATTACGACGGCATAATTACGGAATTATGACTGGGCTTAGTTTTTTTCGGCTCTGGGTTGGCTGCTTGTTATGACATCTCATAGGAGATCTGAAGCAGGTCAAAAGCGCTCATTAGGTGATGCTGGCAAGGCGTGTAGCTGGACGTGCTAGCTTTGATGATTCATTCGTAGGAATGGGTTGAGATACCGACTGCCGTGCTAATCTTTTAAGGTCTTGCCAAAGGCAGCAAATAATACTACATTGCTTCGATTTGTATAGTATTCTCGGTAGCTTGATACACGACGCGACGTTGCATTCTCATGAGGAACTTTTTGCAGCGCATCTTTTATCGAAGTTGAAAATCTGCTTGACCCTGGGTTTATATTCATTATTTATTCTACGTGACGTTCGGAAATCACCTTTTTGTACTTAATGACTTGAAGGAGAATACAAATTGCATCATGTGTATATGGACCTCGGACCCTATGTTGTAGAATATATGCCATGGTATATATTCACTTTCGACATTGTTCACAACTACTCTAAAAGGTACCTATGTTAGGTATATATACAACACAACCCATTGATACCATGGGATGGCAGTGCTCCCAGGAAGAAACTACTAAGGGCTTTGCAGAACTAATAACAATGTAAGAAGAGAGAGACTGTTGTCGTAATTTTACATAAGCAGTTTTCTTTCTGTTACACATGCTATTCTACTGTAAGGATTCTAAACGATATATCTAGAACAAAAGATACAGTTTCAGTTGTTCATAGTTAATGTTAATTTGTATCTAAGTAAAAACTACGGTTGAATCAAGTTAGTTAGTACTTTTTAATTCACACGATAAATAATCTAACAGTCAAGATCTATAATGCAAAATATTTTGAGGCAATATTACATTCTTTTACGCGTTTACAGCCCGAGAGGATAATCTAAGATTGTTAGATGGTTCGTAATGTATTCTAGGTCCTTTTACATGTACAATATTATACCTACGTATTATAGACTGCATTTTACCTAGCATCCGCTCTCTATGCTATATGTCTCAATGGTCTAGGGGTCTAGCAATCACCCTAAGCCAAGGCATATGAGGATTTGAACCCATTAGTCCTCCCATCTAGAACTGGTGATTAAAATGCTATCTCATAGGACTACAGGGATGTGCGGTTACACGAAAAAACCATGAATATAACCGAGGCTTGACAGTTGATAGCCACAGCTTTCCGCCCTAGATTTTTAGTAGCCCAGGGATTCACTAGCTAGAATTTTGTATATCCTCTACGATGTACCTACCTTAAGATTGCATCATAAATATAGGTGAAATACCTGCAATATAGATAGTGGCTGTCTCTCTCACAGTGAGAGAACTATCGGGTTATAAGCGTGGCAGAATATGTAGTTAAAATATCCCATCGTAAAGGATCTGCTTTATACCCTGTCTCGAAATGGTTTAACTTTCTTCAGCTGATATCCCTTGCCCCCCCACTGGGAACTGTGCTCTCGGGAACTTCCATGTTGACCGCTGCTTAAGGGGTCTATCCACACTTGATATATTAGGTAGAATTTCATAATCACGAGGCCTACTTTCTGGGATTCTGCATCGCTTTGTCCGTGCTAGGGTATTTTTAGCACTACTTTGTAGAAACGCTAGTTATAGCTGACGTTAATCGTGATAGATGGATACTTTTGAGACCACGTACGACTTTCGGTCTCTTCCCTTTCTTCGAAAACGTGGCGTCGTATAGCTTGAGGAATCGTATGATCGCTCTCATCCAGCCATCATGTGTCAACTCACACGATCTTTTGCAGCGCTGAGTAGGACAATGTCAACGAGAGTCTCTGAGTCTCTCTGAAGTCGCTAGGATATGTAACGTCGATGAAGGTAGTAAATACTTGAAACTATACAAATAAGAGAATACCTAGCTAGGTAGGTATATAGAAAGCTCAGCTACCTTGTTCTTTACACATATATTACAGAGAGACTTGGCAAGTATTATCGAGCTTTAAAAAATCGAATCAAGTAGATATACCGAACGCGATAAATTATTTACATAGCAGCATGCAAAAGTTCCTCGAAAACGTTGAGATATCCTTGAGGTTTAAGTGATCTTAAATATCCACCTGTCATCCTTTTAGAGCTTAGAGGCTCTTACTAGCTTTACTAGTTTAGAATTATGTCCACGTAATTAATTATATGGGGTTGGGAACGGCTGCATCCGATCGGCACAGAAACTCGAACTCCTGCTTCTAGAAGGAATTGTGAGATTTTAGTTGATCCATTACCACGGTTAAATTTGACGACTGTCCACACGTTTGGAAACCAATGAAAGACGACTATTCGCGGTTACTGATGCCGGGGCGGCTATGTCATTTCGCGCGGTGAAGAATCATAGTTCTTTGTTATATAGGCACCGATGCTATATATAATTCTTTCATGCATCGTGGGAAGAAAAAGAAAAAAAAATATGGTAGCAAACAAAGCCACGTGGCAAACTATTGATAAGAGCCTAATGTCCTTGGGCACTATTGTACTACTTTTTCGTTTCGCTTGAATTACAAGTGTGGTTAAGATCTGTTTTTCTGCTCTGCTACCGTCCAAGCTCTCTCTGACAAATCGCTAGGAAATAACCCGCGATGAGGTAACCGAGAACTCCCCAGGAAGGGAAATGACGATGTCTTCTGCTTTTCAATATACCCTTGTCTATGGTGTGCCTATCGCGTCCGGGGCTGGGTATCTACACTATGTACTGCATAAGTGTCTGCAAGACGATCGGCACTTGGCGGTCAGTCAAAAAGTGCGGTGCATATTTTCTTTAGTTACCTAGGTACCTAGGTAGGATGTAGTTCTCTCTTTTTTCGGCTTATATTTTAAGAGGTAGTTAACTAATAAGTCTTTAAGCATAGTTATAGTTAAGCGAATGACGCCCCATAGTTCAAGGTTGCATGCATTCGCCTAATTGGAATTTGCTTTTATCACATGTAATTGGTAATTAAGCTTATTTTTATTTCCTCTTTTTTAAACCCTTCGGTACCTAAGATCGTGAGATTATTTAACAGGTACCTATGTAGGTAGGTACCTGGTGTGGAACATTCTCGGCCGAAGCTTTTTGTCTTTGCTTTAAGAATCAATTGATGCTAACCGAAACGTGCAGCTGCGCTAACGCAAGACTAACTGGCCTGCACTTTTGACAGTCCCTGGCAGCCCTGGTAGCCCTGGTAGCCTGGTAGCCCTTACGGCCCTGGTAGTTGGTGCCAGCACTAAGAGGGTCCGCCAACCCAGCACTTGAATACTCTAGGTTAGTAAATCGTCACATCAAGAAAAACTTGTGGGGACCTCTGTTCAGTGATGTGGATAATTCGTGGTCTACGTTATAGAATGCAACTTATTAAACCTAGCAACCCAGGAACCCAGGAACCCGAGAACTTCCAAGGTTGTCCCACTGTATGTATATTTATTAGGGCTTTGGATTTTTCTCGTCTTTCCAGTTAATCTTAGACCTCATACCTCTTGATCCGGTTATATTTTTTAAAAAAGGCCAATCTAGCAAGCTAGAAAGCGAGAGAAGTATTATCCAAGTTGTGCGGGCGGCGAGCTGTGCTTCCTGGTGTATGTTTCGTTGTTTAGGATCGGAAACTTGAAAATCTACTTATCTCCACTTCGCTACCATTTCGGGACCAACTTTGCGTAGAAATCGCTAAGATAAGACTGTTCCGCTATACGAAGAGGTAGTGGGAAAAAAAACCACGGCCAACTTCTTTGTTCTTAGTACGATGGGGACAATCCGAGATCTCCGCGCGGGCCGCTCGAATCAACCCTGGGTTGAATTTCTGGATAACGAGATTGCTACAACTGACTCGCAAACCGCCAGACATGCAATCGTCAAAATCTTCAGACGATCCCTTTTTTCGGCGAGGGGATGTCTACCTTCAGATGCGGCTCTGCAGATAGATGCTTACTATGAAGAAATATATTTAGCGTCCAATCCGGCGCTGAAAGACCAAGATGACAAAGGCATGGTCGAGTTCCTTACCGGACTTTACGGAGTTGTCTCCGACTTGGTGTTAATCATACCCTACCACCACGGTTTACAATATGCCATCATTGACTTACTCTTCGAACTTCGAAATCTACCGTCGAGGAAGATCAGGATTGATAATGTACGCGGATTCCCTTTATTATACGAATTGTTGACCTTTACTTACACTGGTGCCGCAGGAGGATTACGTTGTCTACGAGCACGAACCCGTAATCGAAAGAATGATGAGCCATAAATGGGGAAACCACTCCCGTATGGACACAAAAGCTCTCCGCAAGCAGCTAGTTTCTTGTCACGCTAACTTGGCTTATAGCAAAAGATGACACTAGCCCAGAGGAGCTTGAAAGAAAGTGTGAACAATGGGTCAACATTTCCGCCTTCATTGCCCGCTGTATCGAAGCTGGTTTTAACGACCGATTCAAAGAAAAATGTAAATTCCCCTGCGTGGACATTCCGAAGGCTCTCGAGGAGGACAACCCCCCTGGAGTTAGGCGTAGCTGCTTAATAAGAGTGGCAGTGCAGTACATCATGATAGCAGGCAACAAGATATGCCAGCAGAAGATCGGAAAGGGAAAAACTGAAGAGCAACAAATGTGGCTTGGAAAGTGGAAGATCTGGGCAGAGAAGCTGCTCCAACTTGCCGAACAAAATAAGCTTGAGCCAGGCCTGACGTCCGAAGTACGAGAGGCCCACGGGACCATGGTGGCATTGCAACCTCAATTATTTAAGTTTACACGTTAGATAACGAGATCGCACGAGTCGTTCGGGTGAGTTATTCGCTTCGGGAATTTTGGTATCTTGATGAGGTGGCTGGACTATTATTTACGATTTCCTATTTTCTTCATATGTCCCCTGTATTTCCACATGCAGCGTGGTTGCTTTAGGGGGGCGTTTATGTACTAGATTTCAATTCCCCCTCAGTGGATCAGATTACGTTGGATGGTTGGTACCAGGGCTCGAGCTTTTTTTTAGGAGGCGTTTACGAGCGTCTTGTGTGCCCAGATTCTTTGCAGTGGCTTCCTTTATTCGAGGGAGTCTTCACGTTATTGGGGTTTATTCGATATTTCTATCTAGATAGACAATAGGTTGGGTGTGGAAGTGAGTAGATCAACTTGATACGTCGAATTGAAGTAGAACATGATTTTGAGCAGTTAACCATGATGAACTAGTATGAATATGTCTTCTTTGCCTGTTAGGATTATTCATCCGAAATCAAAGTCTATTGTAGTTTCATGCTAACCTTTTATTGCATCGCCGTCTCTGTCCGGTTAGTATATAGTTTCAATATGGTTTCTAAGTTGTAATTAGGTACATTGTGTCCAGTATTCTATTCTAAATATATATCCAAGGTAGGTAGGTAGGTACGCATACTGCTTAAGAATGTATCGAAATATACTCTTTTGGATTTAAAATAGACACATAGGACAACGAATAAATTAGACATCCTTATTATTAACAAAGTCTCTTTGATATTGATGTCCATTATTGAACGCGTGGATCGACATGTGCTCTACTATGATGATATTTGAACGGCTAGTTGACCATGTTAGATACTAGTCGTTTTATCATTGCGTGTACTTTCTAGGGACCAATTAGTAGATTGGAATATGTCCACTCGAATTTCAGGGGTGCCTTATATGATTTATAAGTCTTCTTCCATTACACTCACTTAACACCATTTACGAAATAGTAATCAACACCCTTGTAGTCATGATAACTTCTACCCGTAGGGTTTTAAGATACAAAAAATATATATACCATTACTTACATTATTCTGTTAAACTAACTCAGTATGCTTGTCTGACGTGACCTAAGTTATGGTAAATGGAGTCAGATATTATGGAGTGCGTGCGACCTTTGCGGGCTATGATAATTCGGACATGAAGCGTAGAGTGACTTAGATGTAAGGCAGGCCTATGTGTGCTATCAACGTGGCTATTCGTCTGCTAAATCCTTCCAGACCTCTAGCCCCCGAACTGTCTTTGTCTTATAATTAATCCTCGACAGTACCGCCATCCTTCCCCCTTTCCTGCTCCTCTTATTCCGCTTTGTCGGCCGAGTGTTACTGCTTTACCATCAACGACCAATAGGACCTGCCTTGTCTGCCTGATACTTACCCCTTTGTCATTAGTCAATGAGCAAAGCACCAAGCTATCACCTCATCAACATCACGCGTATCCTCTCTACAAGGAGTGAATGAAAGTGCATATCCCACAAAGGGTGTAAGATAAATTACCGGCATATATGTCCTTCGGATCTACTAGTGCCTCGATTTTGGGGCGAGTGAGTCAAGCCATGTATGAATTCTAGCACCTTTGTTGCAAAGATCTGAACAAAGTAGCCATTTCTTGTGTAAGTGTTTGCTACTTCAGTGCAGGACGAGGTTTGTAAGATAACTGACTGTATATATTGGATTGGATTCGATTCCAAAAGTCATTTCCCAGCTTAGTCAATTTCATTATTCCAATTTCTCTCATATTTTCCTTTCTAGTTGTGTTCTTTTCTCTGAATCAGTCATTCCTTCTTCTACACTCCTTGCTGAGACCCCTAGTCTCATCTACTATCGAAACCAATTACTCTCCTTACTATAATATTTTCTTACCACATACCCTAGAGGTACTGTGCAGTTATTTTTGTGTATTTAGGAAACGCATATTGGGTATCACTTGTCACAGCTTTTTTGCCGTTCATATTTTGCAAGCAAACAGCTCGTCTCACATAATAGTCATTCAACCAGCCGTCCTAGTATCATATATAACAAATCAGAAATAATACGGGGAAAAGCCATGCCTTCACGTAGAGTCTTGCCGACGCTCTCCATATTTTCAAGGAAGTCCACGACTCCGATAATAACTCCTACTTCCTCACCATCATCTGATATCCGAACTACTTCTATTCCCTTGACACCACCTGCTCGCCTACATCTTCGACACATCTTGCCCTCGACACCAGATGGCATGCCTACACCACCTCCACCTCCTCGGAAACCATTCCCCTGGTTGTGGCAGTGCCACTCATGTGATACTGTCTACCGGATTGGCTGCACTCGCCGCTGTCTTGTCTGTTCTCACAACTATTGCCTCTCAGCAACCCCCCCGAAGACACGCAGGGGCAAGAAACGTCGCCGTAGTGGGATGTGTGCTTCTGAGTTCGATTACAACGGGTGGGCAGACTGGGGGGCGTGGCGTCGGAAAGTCCTCGGCATGGAGACTGTCGGCCGGACAGAAAGGCGCCGCGAGCAGGCCTTCCTCCACGAGTCACACAATTGCATGATCGATTGCAACTACCCTTCTGAATGCCACCATGTTAGATATAAGCTACGAGCAGAGAAATTCAGGAAGACGTTGCTCGAGGCACTCCCAGAGGAGCCGCAATCTCCACGAATTGTTGCAAGTGTGCCGATGAGCCCTGACGACGACTTACCTCTGAACGAGGCGAGAGAGGTGCTAGAAGAAGAGGACAAGGGAAATGGGCAGAGAAGCCCTACGAGTCCTAGAAGCCCGCTCGGTGAAATGAGTCTCCCCGAGGATGAATCTGAGCGAAAGGGGGACAAAGTATGGTGGGCCGACACCGAGGAACACGATAAAAATATCAAATATACACAAGAGACTCAGAAGCTTACTGATGGGCTAAGGGGGCCAGGCGAGGCTGGTCCCTCTACTGTCGGTGCTGAAGATTTCAATTCCGAAACTTTATACGCTGCCCTAGCAGAAGATGAAAACATGATGCCTCTTGACCTAGTCAACTACATCGTAAGTACACGGTGCGAAAGCTGGGAAGAGTCAACGGATAGCGATTCTGACAGTGGTTCCGTGTTATCCTTACCTTCTTCGTCGTCGTCACTTGATGGGGAATGGCTACTGGCCAGTGAGTTTGTGCCCGCTTCCGAGGCTGGCGGTGAACAGGATGAGAATAAGTTTGAAGAGAAATCAGGATAATTAAGGCAATTGTCGAACCTGGAAGTTCGTTTTTGCAGGATTAGCAGTTTTATATTAGCAACAAGGACTGGTATCAGTAATTTTATTCTTACGTAGTGAACATGAATTTAGATATATTGCATTACATATGAGGACATATACCATCTTTCAATTTGTATAAGTTTAGGTACCTAGTTAGGTTAACTACCTAGTGTTCTTTCGCAGTAATAGAATCATCTAACATCTACACGTACTGGATTTATGCACTCAATTTGGCTATGAAAGTATCGTGGACTTTAAATGCAAAGCTGAAATCACTGATAGATGCTAGAAGAGATGAGTGAAGCAAAATTGAGGTTGAAATAGAAAATAGGTACTTTGTACCTCCCTACCTACCTGTGTGATTCCTAGAATAGTGGTGACATCGTTAAGTTGACTATTTAGGATTACAGGATTAGGATCTAGCTATGTTTATATATGCATAGAATGCAGGCAGCAATTGCCTGAATCATTGTTGCCTGGGATCCACACCTGATGTCCCTTGCATTTTAGTGGAGTCGGACATTTATGTATCATGTAATCCGTACTTCGTACTTTAGGTACATGCAAGTAGGTACATCTTTAGATGTATTGATGTACTTCCATTTTTACCCCTGCCAGTCAGAGACGCGTTAAGCATCTTCAATTTACGCGTCTTTCAACGAAATTCTAGAATCGAATTGAACAGAAACATCCAAACTCCCATGTACATCTAACCCAACTTAAAGAAGGCTGTTCAAGATTACCTACTACCAATAGGGAAATTTCTTATCATAAGGAATATTTCTGGCTTTTAAGAGGAGTGAACGCCGACGAGAACAGTTACTATAATAGGTAGCTCCTAAGGGAAGCTTTCCATTGCCGAATTTCACGATAACGAGCAGCTACGGTACCATCGCCAACCCTTAAAATTTCAACATGTCCGACTTCGAAGATGAGATGGATATTGATGCCCCCCCGAAATCTAACGATATCAAATTTTCTTCCGACAACACTGCCAAGGGTAAACGTAGTGCTGCAAACCTGCCTGTTGAAGCAGAAGACTCCTTACCATGGTAGGATTATCACAACGCTTCTAAGATATCCTCCGTTCCCAATTACTAAATTGAATGCTAGGGTTGAGAAGTACCGACCTGTTTCCTTATCTGATGTCTCAGGCCATCAAGATATCCTAGCCACCATTAACAAGTTCGTCGATTCGAACCGATTACCCCATCTCCTTCTCTACGGGCCCCCGGGAACGGGCAAGACGTCTACCATCCTAGCCCTTGCGAGGCGTATCTATGGGGCAGAGAATACGCGACAGATGGTTCTAGAGTTGAATGCTTCAGACGATCGAGGTATCGATGTCGTTCGTGAGCAGATCAAGACCTTTGCCTCGACGAAGCAGATATTTACAATAGGCGGGGCCTCACGCCCCGGTGGCATGGCAAGCTATAAGCTCATTATTCTGGACGAAGCTGACGCTATGACGAACACTGCTCAGATGGCCTTACGAAGAATCATGGAAAAGTATACAGCGAACACGCGATTTTGTATTATCGCCAACTACACCCACAAATTATCACCTGCATTGCTGTCTCGATGTACACGCTTCAGATTTAGTCCTCTAAAAGAAGGCGATATTCGGGTCTTGGTGGATAAAGTTATTCTGGAGGAGGGAGTCAAAATCTCAGGCGAGGCTACAGACTCTCTAGTTAAATTGAGTAAAGGAGACATGCGACGAGCACTAAATGTGCTCCAGGCTTGTCATGCATCTAGTAAGCCCTCCTAGCCTTCCGAAATATTATTGGTGCTTAATACTGACTTGATAAGGCACGCCGATACAGCCAAAAGACGCACCCAAGGTCCCCGAGAAAGATATCGTTAGGGAAACCATCACGACTGAGACTATCTACAATTGTATAGCAGCCCCGCCTCCTGATGCGATCACGAAAATTGCTAGTACGCTACTTGCAACTAGTGACGTAACCACTTGCCTATCGACGATCAATACGCTGAAGGTGGCTAACGGCCTCGCGTTGGCGGATATAATCACAGCACTGTCGGAGCAACTAGTAAAGATGGAAGTGAAGCCTGAGGTCATGATTAGATGGCTTGACGGCCTAGCGGAGATAGAATACAGAGTGTCTGCTGGTGGAAGTGAGGCTATTCAAACAGGTGCCGTGGTAGGTGTAGTAAGAGAGGGCTGTGAGCTTATGGGATGAGGAATGAAGTCGATATGAAAGAACTTGAGGGTTGATAAGTGCACGAGGACTGATGGAATTATTAGATGAGATTCCTACTCGGTTATTTAACGAATGAATCTTGACTCATGTTCACCCTTATTACGTTCGAATCAGAGGCCCTTTGATTTTCAGTGGTAGTCCATGCCTTGCATCAACATACCTAGGTAGGTAATGATATTATGCTTAACTACGTACCTAAGGTATAGTCTAAAATAATAGAGCGATCTTAAGCAAAGCCACATGGAAAGCACTTGGAGGTAAGTATGAAATGTTATGGTGGTTAATATATGATCGATATAGTGCGAATTTGGGCTTCGGTCCCGGACTTTCAGTATTCGTATAATTACCTAATATATATTGTTAATTGCATGCCCCGCAGGTTATAGGCAGGATTCTGCACGTGCATCAATATAACGGGCTTTGTTTCGCGTCGTTGAGTTTCATAATCAAATGACGATTGGCAACTTTCTAACCTTGACTTTCATGACTCAATCGCTCTTATCCGTGTATCGTGTATCTCACCGGCGCTACCACATCTGATACTCCTACTCTGTTTACTATAGTATATTATATCAGACTTATCTATCTAAGGTCTATCTTTTAAACACTACAATTATGGACATGATGATCCCGGAGATACTATGCTTAATCTGCTCATACCTCGATATCGAGGACATCCGCAGATTCCGACTATGCAGCAGAGCCTTTGCAGACGCTGGTGCTTGCTTCGCCTTCCGAGAGATTATATTTTATCTGCATCCCCACGACTTTGACATGCTCCGGCACATTTCTCTGCACCCTATTGCATCTAAGAATGTCCGCTCGCTGGTTTATGTTGGCCATACTTTAGAATCGCCTAAGAAATCCCTAGATGAATTTCGTAAATACTATTCTATCATTAGAAGCGGAGAGAAGATCATAGCCCAGCATACGAATGAAACACCGCCACCACGCATAGGAAACCAGCAGCTCCTGAGGCTCTACAAGAATTACGAGATCGCTATTGACGAGCAGGAGAAGATGCTGAATAAGGATGAAGATATCTCTTGCCTCAAAGAGGTCATTTCTCGATTTTCGTCGCTTAAGGAAATCACCATGTCATCCGACTTTTGGTTTTGGCGTGGCAACAAGACTCCATTTGAAGGATGTCTAATCAAACCGGGTGACGAGTTAACACCGATGGGATGCCGGCAGCTTGATTCTCTCCTATCTGCTGTCTTCGAGGCTAACATCAAGTTAAAAAGCCTTACCGCCGGTGCGTTCAGCTGGCAGTTTTTCCAGAAGCCAGCCGCTGAGCTCCGAAGTGCCCTTTCCTTCTATTCTAACCTTACATGCCTCGAGCTATGCATCGATACTGGCGAGGATGATTTTGATGTTAGCGTTACTGAAGATCTACTTGTCGGGACAGAGGTTCCTCAATGTCGCCGTCTATTAGAAACGGGATTATTGCGCGACTTTATCAAATCGTTAACTCAGCTACAGACGTTATATGTTGTTTTTAACTGGCATTCGGAACAACACGGATATGCTGCACGGCTCGAGGATATAATGGAGCCAAAGCATAAATGGGAACATCTCGACAGTCTGACCTTGGGAAATATTACATGTGAACGGCATGACCTAATGTCTATGCTCAGAAGACATAAAGGCACTCTTAAGGAGTTATGTCTCCGAGACATTCGGCTGAGAAGTACGTCGTGGCAGTTGCTTCTCCCTAAGATTCGGAAGACGATGAACCTAGACGACGCTTGCATTTGCGGCGAGTTGTATGGGCAAGAGGAAGACTCGCCATATGCAGAATATTGGGATCTTTCATTGCCAGACACCTTCGAGAACCCGCTCCGCGATGACGTTAATGACTACTTGGTCAATGACAACATCAGGCGCTGCCCTCTTAATGATCATAACGGTTACCTTGAGTGATGCCTACTAACGAGAGGCGGGAGTGCTATAACTAAGATTGTCTTATTGACAAACCTGTTTGAATCATCGCGAGAATCCTAACGACACGACCTTGCCATAAGGACCTTATAGTGGGCAAATCGATATCTTCTCAGCTGCTGTACTTATGATTAACTGCTGTAGGTAGTCTGGACCTTGTAGTCGCAGATTAGCACAGGAAGTTCATCTGAGTCACGAGACTGATGTGTATGCCCCTGCAAATCTAGCCCTTTCTCAAGTTTGATAATTTGGGTAAGATCTGAGAATAACAACATTCGTCCTCGGAGTTTATGAGGGCCGTGAAATATGACTAGCCTTGATTAACTTTGAGTGGCAAGAGGGGTTACCGCCGCATACTGTGCAATGCTAGTACTGTCATGAACGCCGGTTATATACAATGCGGTCCGGTAAATACTGACTAGTTTAATGAGCCTCCATGAGCACAGCTATGACGGGGTGTTTCTTATCGTATGGTATCTAATTACACCCTCGTGTTCTCCTTGTGCATTGTCCTTCTTCCCGTCTACTGGGATGGATCATTTATTAACGAGGACCCTGATATCGAGCTCAGGTGACGCTCAAACTCACATCCATGGCACCAAATCAGAGAAAAGTCCGGGGAGCCTTGGTACGATTTTAGCCGAGTCCATATTCACCAATCTGACCTTTCCATGTATTGGGGTTACCGGCTTCTGACCTGAGCTCATGGGATACCTTGTAAATACCACAGACAATAAATCTCCAAATATTCTAACGCCACTCCTCTTATTCTACCCTTGCTAACAAACGACAACCATTGATTGTAGGGGAGGGCGGGATTGGGCTAATTGGCTCACATATACATTTACCCGCGCCCAGTGAGAGTGGACAGTCGTATATTTCTGGCCTTGACTTGAGCAATGCCGAAAGCGGTCGTCGGCATGGAGGTCTCTGTGGTGTTTACACACCACTCCTACAAGCAGAGCGGAGCTAGCTTCTACAGTAGTGCTAATATAATACGAGCACCGACTATCTCTTAAACCCCATGCATGGCTCTCGCGTTTGCCGGCTGTTCGGTTTCCCTTTTCAAGTGGCCATCAAAATGAAGTTGTTTAATTTCATTACTCTGGCGGCTTTGGCCGCGCTAGAAGTCTTTGCCGCGCCTCCTTTCCACCAGTCGTTAAGCGCTGAATCTTCTAGGCTGAGACGGAGGATACCAAACACTCATATCCAACATGAGAAAAGAGCCGCAGTGCAAGAAAGATCTTGGACGAAATTGAAGAGTGCAGTACCTGATGCTATCTTACCTATGCGCATAGGTTTGAAGCAGCAAAACCTCCAATCAGGTCATGATTTGTTGATGGACATGTGCGGTGGCTCTTCTTATCCAATGTTTCTCCAAAATAGCTAATAAGAATTCCTAAGATCGAATCCTAAATCAAAGAACTATGGCAAGCACCTCTCAGCAGAAAAGGTTGTCAAATTCTTTGAGCCATCAGAAGCGAGTATCAAGACAGTCAAAGACTGGCTCATCAAGGCAGGGATTCCGTCCAATACCATCTCGCAGTCTAGCAATAAACAAGTGAGCCAATACACTATCATTGTAACATGAATAGCCTTGATGGGGGTCTGACTATAATTCGTATAGTGGGTGCAATTCGATGCCCCCGTTAACAAAGTAGAAGATCTCTTAATGGCAGACTATCACGTGTGGGAACACGTAGATACAGGTGCTAAAAACATTGCTTGTGATGAGTGAGTGTAGCGATAGCATGGGGTACAAGCAGCGGGCTAATCATTCTTAAGATACCACTTGCCGAAAGAGGTGAAAAAACACGTTGACTACATTACACCCGGTATTAAGCTGATGGGCTACGGGAACACGCAAGAGCCTCCATCGAAGAAACGGAGGGAAGCCGGTGTACGCCCCATTCATCGCTTCGGCCAGCTAGTTGATGAGGGTGAACTTGCTAAGCTCAAAAGTGAGAGGAGCAAGAATAACCTTGCACCCCTTAAAAGAACTACAGGGCCAAACGTAGAGGGACCTTTACGCTTTGCGAGCCCAGTGGAACCTGCAGATGTAGCAAGCGGCAATTTCACACTGCCTGGTGGCTGTGACCAATATATCACGCCGGATTGTATCAGGGGTACAAATATTTCTCTTGAGTAAACATTCTCATAAGCTAACTTAAAGTCTTAGCTCTATATGGCATTCCGAAAGGGTCCAAGAAACACCCAGATAACAAGATGGGAATTTTCCAATCCCTCGGACAACACTACACACAGCATGATCTCGATACATTCTTCTGGAGCTTCACGGAGTAAGATAGATTTCGGTTCCTTTACAGATACTATTAAAGATGCTAATGGCTCATAGTGAAATCCCGAACGGAACGCATCCTGAGCTCTTTTCCGTAGACGGCGGGCAAGGAGCCACGACAAATCTTAGGCTGGCCGGGTCAGAAGCAAACCTCGATTTTCAAATGGCGTACGGATTGATCTGGCCCCAGGAGCCTGCACTCTACCAGGTCGACGACGAGTGGTACCAGACTAACTACGAGTTTGACCCAGAGTCGTACTTGGGTTTCTTTAACAGTAACTAAGACTAACCCGCGGTTCCCCTATTTGAATAATATTTTATATGACACTTGCTAATAGCTTATGTCAGACCTTTGGAACGCAATCGACGGCAGCTACTGTACTTTCGAAGCATATGGCGAATCAGGTAATTGTAAACGCCCCGAGTGCCGAGACCCTGTGTACCCGAATCCGCATGACCGTTCTGGATACAGCGGGCAGTTGATGTGCGGTGTGTACAAGCCGACAAACGTCATCAGTATCTCTTACAGCGGAGCCGAAATTGATCTCCCAGCGTCTTATCAGCAGCGGCAATGTGCCGAGATTATGAAGCTCGGCTTACAAGGCTCTACGATCATCATCTCATCAGGCGATGACGGCGTCGGCGGCTTCTCATCTCCCGCTGCGCCTTCTGGCTGCTTAGGTCCCGCGCGGGACGTCTTCAATCCGCAGTTCCTCGCGACCTGTCCTTATATCCTGACGGTAGGATCGACCGTCCTGCAGGCTAATGGGACTCCTGGTGTCGACCCCGAGGAGGCGACGGATAGGTTCCGGTCTGGTGGGGGATTCTCTAACATCTACGATGCCCCGGATTGGCAAAAGGATATTGTCAATAAGTACCTTGAAGAGGCTAAGCTCCCGTTCGAGGGCTACGAAGGCGGTGGCGGCAACTATAGCAACGTCCACGCTGGCACGGGGCACTTTAACAAGCTAGGGAGAGCATATCCGGATGTCTCGGCCAATGGAGACCACTTTGTCATTTCGAGCGGCGGCGAGCTACTGATCATTGGTGGCACATCCGCTTCGGCGCCACTCTGGGGATCGATCATCACTCTGATTAACGAGGGGCGTTTAGCGGCTGGTAAAAGCCCGGTCGGGTTTATTCATCAAGTCCTAGTAAGTCTTTATAATATCTTGTCGAATCAATCCCAACGAAGACATCTTCTAACCACCTAGCGCAGTATTCTCACCCCGAAGTCTTCAAAGATATCACGAAGGGCGATAACCGGGCATGTAAGACGACTGGGTTCCCGGCCATTGAGGGATGGGATCCTGTATCGGGAATGGGGTATGTATTTACGCATATGATTTCTGAAGAATAAGTCACTGATATGATATGATATGAATTCTAGTACTCCGGACTACCCCAAGCTTTTGGAGCTCTTTTTGAGCTTGCCGTAAAGCGTATTTTACGCTTATCTTACGGGAGGGAATCTGAATTTTGTAAAGAATTTAACGGAACCTGGGTTCTAAGAAATGTGAATTATTCTCGTATACCTAGCTTCTGCTTGGATAATGGATGTATTACTTCTGTTCCCCTGATTTTGGAGTATTATGGATGGAAATAATACACCATTATCGCTAAGCTATGCTACACTATTTTGTCCTCTTATTTGAGGATTGGTTGACTTGGTTACTTAGCTCATAGTTCATCATGTGCATGCCCTCCATCTGTGCTCATCGTCCCATCCCATGGCTCAACCTTGCCTTGGCTAATATCCATTAGAAACGCGCCTACAACCTCGGGCGCGATATCCCGCCCTCGAGGATACGGGAATACCTTGCCGAACATAGGATTCTGTACCGACAGCGCGGGGAACACGCCGGGCATCAGGCCCAGGGGCGCAGCCAGGTCTCCGTATTCATTGGCGTCTACTGTCACGAAGCTTAGATACTCTTTGTACATCTTAGCTACGGACCGCATGGCCGCTACGTACGCTTCCCGCTCCGCGAATAACGGGGAGAAGTAGAAGACGAGCGACTTGCCGGACTATTACACATCGTGTTATTAATGGCTCTTAAGTATTTGGTGCATTCAGCTATAACCTACCTGCAGGTACTTCATTTCGTTCGTCCGAGTAAACTCTCCGATCACGGGTGTGAGACAACTCTCAATGAGCTGAGGCAGAGCGTCGATGGCCGTTAAGTCTGAAATGGTGAATTGCTGGCTGTCCCGGTTATTGTAGCACGTTACTGTTGTCGTTTTATCTGTTTCCGCCGACCCAAAGGACAGGCGGTCCCGGTACTGGGAGGCGAGTGTATCGTACAAGATCTTGACATGCTGGTCTTGCGGGTTTATTCGCGCGACGACGGCGTAGTCATCACTAGACTGGAATGCTACAGTCTTCTTTTCAGAGTCTAGGGCCGTGGTGGCAGGACGCACAGCCCTTTTCAGATATGAGAGTATCCTGTTGGAGTCTTAGCCCGCTGCTTTGAGTCGGTACAATAGAAAAGTGAGATTGTCGAACCGGTAATCACGGATACTTACGAGGATGTCCTCCTAGGGCCTCGGTACGGTGTCATCTTCCCGTGGCCATCGAAAAATCGCAAGGCGGGATATGAGATGACATCGAACTCCTTACACAAGCTTGCAGCCGAAGCGCAGTCGACGCTTATTAGAGATTTCTTCTCTGACTCCACCGCAGACGTCCATTCTGGCTCTAGAGCTTGGCTGGCAGCTCTGAATAAATCTTAGTCTCCAAAATGTGAGGTATGGTTAATTATTGGGCTATAGGTAGCTCACGCTGATGGTTCTATAACTATATTCAGGTTAGAATGGAGATTCTAGTAGTAAATTTAAGATATGTAACTCACAGGCAACTAAAGCATGGTTATGACCGGCTATAGCTCGACGAAACTCATCTTCACTGGAATGCTCCCATGCTACGGCTATTCTAGTGCCTGCAAGCAGATATAAGAGTTCTGTACTTCTGATCCTCATCGTGAATTTATTTAAGCATCACCAACGTTGTCATTCCAATAAGTTGAATGGGAACTCATAAAATCAAATACTAAGCAGTTATACTATGTATAGCTGAGTTTACCTTGCAGATCAGGGGTTAGATCTGACGATGCCCGACTCCACGACCCTGGATCTGCGCTAAAGCTGTCCACTAAATGAGCTCGACTAGGGGTTACTGCAACGCTGAACAGGGGAAAGCTCCTTTTACGCAGACAGTTGACGTTTCGACTCTGCATGTTCTCCTTACTATGTATGATGTAGATGTGCCAACTGCTTGAGAGTGAAATATTTGAATATTCTCGTAAGAAATGAAAGTGATTTTGTTCCTTTTTTGCCCTCTCATAATCCCAACTGTCTGTTGAATTCATCATGAGTTCGTTGAAATCTTTAACACTGCTATCGCTCGCTACTGGATTGGCTCAGGCACATAGCCATAACAGCGGTGCACAAAAACCATTAATATCATCAAGCGATTATACTTGCCAACATCCAGCATATCAGAGCCATATAGTATCCAAGTCACCGTTGGTTATATATCTAGCAAATTTCATCACAGCTGAAGAACAAGCGCATCTCCAGGAAATAACGTAAGTACTACACTCGTCTGTTTATTCGTATTATATACTAACAGTCTTCAATAGCAAAGACACTTTCTCCCACTCCGCTGTCGCTGATGCATCCGGCGCCCAAGGGCTAAGGCAGACGCGGACTTCGCAGTCGACTAACGTGCCGCGCGACGCCGTGGTCCGGTGCATCGAGGAGCGGGCGCTGTTATTCCAGGGCTTCGACGTGCCACGGACGCACCTCGAACCCCTGCAGCTGGTTAAGTACGGCCAGGGAGAACGGTACCATTTTCACACGGATTGGTACACGAACGCAGCGCATGCGACCTCTGCGCTGGGCGGCAACCGGCTGAGCTCCTTCTTCGCGTACGTCGCCGCCTCGGAAGACATCACGGGCGGCGGTACTAATTTTCCTATGGTGTCTGCGCCCCACGATGAGCGTTGGTGCGAATTCGTCGACTGCGATGAGCCGTGGGAGAATGGAGTTACGTTCCGTCCTATCGTTGGTAACGCGGTCTTCTGGCAGAACTTGCACGACGATGGTACGGGGGATCAGGCGACATTGCATGCTGGTCTGCCGGTTACTAGTGGTTCTAAGATAGGGGTAAGTAACTCTTTGGCAGCATCATGCTTGATACTATATTTTAGTATTTTATTATTCTCCGTGGAAAATGCTGATATTTTCGCAGATGAATATTTGGACGAGGCAAGGTCCACTACGGTGGCATATTAGTGCGCAACCGACAAAACAAAAAAGCGGATGAAAATTCGTCCGACTTGGCACTCGCACTATAATTACAGCACCTACATACGCTAAAGCTCCCTATAAATACAGGGCATTACAGTGGTGCATTCGCTAGAATTATAGTGCTTGAAAAAAGTTTCCGAGGTTATGTAATATCCGGGCCACCCTTCCCACTAAAATCTAGATTTGGCCAATCAGATTAAAGGATTCAATCGTCAATCCAATTTTCAATTGCCTTATACATTACACATTCAGATAATTTTACAAATATACCAAGTTAAACATTACAATTGATATTATTTTATAGCCTTAATTGATGCGAAAATAATGGACCAAATTGCATGTTTATGCGATATGTATTGAGTATTATATTGCTATTAAAGTATCTGGAGTCTGGTTGGAATGACTTTATCGAGGTGCTTTTAAAGGGTATCACGTGCTTGCCTTTCCAAACAAGCGCTATTTGATTTTACTTTAACACAACAGCCAAAAGGCCGATGCAACTTAAATCATTATTTTCGCATCAATTAAGGCTATAAAATGATACCAATTATAATGTCTGAATTGTTGTCTTTGTAAAGTTATTTGAATGTGTTGTGTGTTGTGTGTATAAGGCAATTAAAAATTAAATTGACAATGGAATCTTTGCAGCTGTTTGCAGCTGGTTAAATGTCAGCCAATTAAAATCCTCGATTTACAAGCCTTATAATTATAGCGTACTGCTCACTGTAATGCCCTGTAGTTATAGGGTGCTTAATGGGTAAGTGCGCTATAATTATAGCGCTTACGCCAGCCAATCGGACGAATTTTCATCCGTTTTTTTGTTTTGTCGGTTGCGCACTAATGGTGCACCGTAGTCCACTGAGCGAGGATATCAGAGGACCAGATGTTTAGCATAAATGCGAACAAATTATAACGAATGCTCTTCAAATTTTAAGCACGACTTACACGTGCGAGGTGTTAACAATATGGCGATCTTATAGTATATAGCATGTCTTAGGCATGATGAAGCGGTATAAAACTCCGGGTTCATTACCTATCCCTTGCGCCGGGCAGCACATCGGAACCCTTTGGGCCTTCTTTTTCCGCGTCCTATTTGCTTTTTCACCCTTCTTGGTCAACATAAGCCCGTGACCTCTAACCACAGTTGTCTGCCGGCATCCTGAGTGAGATCCGCTATCTCATTCTCACCACACGGGAAGTATTGTGCAATCCAGACGGCATCATTCAACTGATCGAATATAACTATTCAATTTCTCTATTAGCAGCCGCTGTTATTTTGCGTCATCGAATTTCCAGTATTTCTTTTTGTTGTACTTACGATATGCAGCTCGAATGAAACTCGTCCCTAGCACCCACGTTGAATTATTGTAATCCGTCGGCTGGACCCCGAGAGCGCAATAATTACCGAAGTCGACGATGAAGTCGGCGTAATTGACTCTAATGATTATATTATAGAAGTTAAACCCAAAGTTTACGGAGCCGTCCAAATTTCGTATGTCGCAAGATACACGATAGACTCCATTCTCATCTTGGTACGCGTTCAAGGCCCTTGCAATAGTAACAACTAGGTCCGCGTCGAGATAGGTATACGTAGATCCGGAGTCGATTAGTACATTACGTTCGAAGTCGGTGTCCGTCAACATTGTTTCGTTTCGTCCGGGAGGTGTGACGCCCAAAGATGTCAGATTTACCCGATAGCTTTGCAAGTTTCAGCATACACCAGTGTTTTTACCTGCCTTTAGGATTATGAGAGCGCCTTACCCTACTTGTCCAAAGAGCTTCAGCTGCTGGTCCGGGTACGGGTAGATCTCTAGAGGCTCTAGATATCCTCGGAATTTCTTTCTGTCTACTCCTCCGAAGATGATATCACCTAAGGGAGATTAGTCTCCTAGGAATGGCGATAGGGTCCGTGGCAACTCACTCGGACTCCCACCACCTTGGTATCCGACGCCTAGGCTGAATATTGGTACTTCAATATAGCTCTGCGTAACAAGAAGGTCCAGCAAGGTTTGGTATCCGGTATTCCACGCCTTGCCGTACGAGACACCCAACACCCCAGCCCAAATATACTCGCTCCACTTGCTTACCCCAACTCTTAGATTAGGAAGCGGTAGGTCTATCACCAATGTTAGGCGCGTTAAGATATGGGGTCATGTCCTAGTCAGAGTATTAAAAGGGGGGTACGAATACATACTGTCTAGCCCGACATAGGCTGTGTCACTGAACCATACCCCCTCCATATAGCCAGTGCCGAATTGGCCAGAGAACCAGCCATTGAGATTTTTAGCGGTAGACGACTGTTTCGTGTCGTAGTACCCATATGTCTGACAAGCCTTCGGGTCCGCCGCCTGGTTACAATCCGGATCCACGAGTAGCGTATACGATCCGGTATCGAGGATAGCCGAGACTATCTGTCCGGGAGTTCCGAGAGCGACTACCTAAGGACATTAGCTGCCGTCTCACAATGCGAGAGGTCAATAGCGTACGTTCTAGCATATATACAATCCCCGCACCGTATCTTGCTAACGGCTCTCGTGGTGACCGATTCGAGATTTTAGACGTCTCGTTGTATATGGACATTGTACCGCTAGTTATATTATTCACCTTCTGAGACTGAAGCATAGCTCTGATATGCCTTCCGCTCTCGGACGTGCGGTGAGCACTTGTCGGCTTACCCCTCGGTCCCAGTTGATCAAATCGCGAGGGCTTCGGAGGGGAGGCCGTCAGGCATAGAAACGGCAGTAGGCCTAGTAAGAGCAACCTGATGAGCGCCATTGTCGAGTGATCGCTGGCCGAGTTATCCGTCGCCTCCGAAGAGATGGCTTAGAACTCCTAAAGACGCGCGCTTCCATCCGCCCGTGCCTAGGTCTCTCCCGATGATGACATTATCAGGTGTCCGCCCTGAATTCTTTATGGGAGAATTTTACGAAGAAACTCGTTAAATGGCAATTGAATGCGTCCCCCAGAAAACTGGGCAGCGGAACGTCGAATCAATGCTACGCGCGGTTGATATAGATACATTCATACGACGGAACTGGACCAATGAGGTGTTCACCAAGAGCCGGCATACATGAGGAGGGATGTATATATGAGACGAAGTTGGTTCTACCTACCTGGTTGGTATAGGATGGGTTATCTGCATAACATGGTTCCCCAAGATCCACGGTTCCAGTCACACACAACGATTTTAACCGCAATTATTATACGTTAGCCATTTCGTTGCACAGGTAGATCTTTATGACTTGCAAAACGCGGATAAATAGCAAAAGAGGGAAAGCTTCAAAATTTATTGCCAGATCCCCCATTGCCTCCGGAGACAAAACAACAGACAGAGATGTTTATGGAATCCCGTACCCGAACCACGGGACATAGTCTAGGAACTAGACTTATCATGGACAAAATAGATGAAACCCTGAGCACATCATGGAGATTCTAGCTAAAGTCCCGTGGTTCGGGATAACGGCTAGACTGTTTAGAGCACGATACGGATGCAGAGGAAGCAGTTAGCTGATGCAAGCTCTCAATATAACCGTAATATATAACCCCACACATGTAACGTTCTCGTGGTGGTACAGCAAGGCTGCATATGACCGCATTCTTCTCCCTTCTAAGAGCTCTGCATATACAGTAACCTCTTGGACAGCCATCATACAGGTAAAGGATGCAACTTCGTGCGTCCGAGCTACGACGGTCCCTACCTACAGTATATCTATCTACGTTGGCATGTAGCATGCTGAGATGAGCGACCCCCTTCTTCGGCCGCGGTAAATACATTTGATACCGACCTGGCGGCACTCACTTTAGGTTCGGCAGATTTGGTCTCACCCTAGATACCTAACGGATGCCGACTTCGGATATTCCGCAAATATAATGCAACATACATCACAGCATAGCGCATATACACTCGGCCCTAAGAAGTTACTTCAATAAGTTACTTCAATCTAACCTAGGGTTTTATAGAAAACGACACAATGAAAAACAGGGTATTCTACATACATAAACTATCGGTCCACATCTCATCGCCAATCTGCCAGCACAGTATCGCCCTCCTTAATATTCGCATACTCCAAGCTATCGCGCCATAGCCGGCGGCACTTAGTCTCGTCTTTAGCCTCCGGCCCGACGTCCGAGATGGCCGTGCCGTTAAGGTAGATCCCGTTCGGGTACTCGCCAAGACCGCCGTCTGTATCGAAGCACGCGTGTATCACATCTCCGGCCGACTTCCACGTCGTCCGTAGATTGCCGTTGGGGCTTAGCCACGTCACAATCGGCGCGATCAGCGGGCCTATACACTGCATGATGAGAACTCGCACCAGCCAGCTGCTACGCCGCGCTATGCCGCTCATCATTGCTGCCGGGTCAAGGCCTAGCACCGCGATTTTGGAGAGGGCTGGGTCTTGCGGTATACGCCGTGCTAATTCACGCCTGGGCAGCATTAGTCTCGGTTTGGCAGAGAGGTATTAACTACCTAGGTACCTAAGGCGGCAAGAAGAGGAAAAGGGGTACTCACATCATCATAATCTCACATAGCTTCGCAGCTCCGTACCGCCTCATACCAGCAACGGGATTTTCTGTGCGCCCTGCGGGAACACCCCACTTACCCTTAGCAATAGCTTCGGTGCTGCCTTCGGGGTCGTTGAATATCTGATGGAACTCTTCGGGCACATAAGCATCTCCAAATGGTCCCACTTTGTTCCTAGGATCGGTAGTGCTAAGGTGAATTAGCCATGGGTTTATGATGAACCAAATATAACTAAAGGCTTAATGGATGTTGATAGAGAGGGTGATGGTTGCTTACTCATGTGCCCAGCTCCCTAGTACGAGTATACGGCCTTTCTCCTTGTCCATGCTCTGGAGTAATAGGAGCGTCAGGAGGAAATGTGAAAGGTAACTAGATTGGAAGGACATGTCAAAACCGTCCTTGGTGAAGTCGTGCTGGTCATGCTCCTGGTATGCCGCAGATAACACTAGGGCACGGATAGGTGGTATCTCGCCGCTCGAAACTCGCGAATTGATGTCTGCGGCGGTCTGGCGCACGCTAGCGAGGCTTGCCAAGTCGAGGGGGACGAGGTCATATTGGTGATTCACCTTGCCGGCGCTTTGGAGTACCTTTTTCACAGCATCGGCGTTCTCGACCTTGCGGACCGTGTATAGTCCATGATATTCTTGAGCAAGTGATGGGCGATGTAAGATCTGGTCAACGATGGCGGAACCCAGGCCGCCGTTGGCACCGGTAACTAGAATAGAGCCTTTGGTCATTGCTTCGTTTAAGCAAACGACAACTACTAGGGATATGAGAAGTAGAAACTAGAAAGGATTACCAGATAGAAAATCGAGTTGTCTTCGAATGAGCCATCATTATATAGGTAGGGAATATAAGCCCATTTATTTCCACAAGGACTAGACAAGGGTTATTATTAAGATAAGTTAGAGTGTTCTTCATAGTTAACGGATATAACGATAGCGTTACAGTGGTCGCGGATTTCGTCTACGAGCGGACGCACCGGCACCCCGAGGATCCCGTTCGCAAAATGTAATAATTCAGTATTAACGTTATGTCGCGATATAGTACCTATTTATGTATATGTGAGTCTAGAAGCCTGTTTGAATATAGCGTACCTGCATGACAAGCGGCCAATTTGTCCGCCCTCTAGCAAGGTATTCGTACTCTCACCGTCGCCTGGAGTAGAGATACCGCTCACGTGAGCGTAGATTTATAATGCCCCTCTCTTCAGAACTAGGTTGTTGGAAACATTTAGAACACTTATCATGATGAATGGTCGTCCTTGATGAGAGAGGCTGGCGTCAGCTCTGTGTAATATCCCGGGATCTTCACATACGATTTGGTGTGTAAGCTATCAATTCAATACATTGTCTAGTCGATAGGATGATATTCCCGAAAATGAGAGGGTACGCGAGTCATCCATTTTATGCAGCCCGTGAAATAAATAGGCTTGCTTTACATGGTTGGCTATTGCTAGTGGTCTTGGACATTGATGAATGACGAATATATTGCGTTTGATATACAGCCAAGTCTTGCTTGCCATAACGAATTAAAAAAAAAACCATCGATTTACATTCGTTATGGAATGAATTCGTTGTAAAGTACAGGTGCATAGGCCATATAATTACAAAAATAAAAAGGCGCGCACATAAAAATCTAAGCTTAAAAGGCTGTTTGTAAACATAAATATGAAAAAACTTATAAAAGGTAAACATAAATATTAACAATATGTTTAAAGGTATTAATTAATTTATCTTTATTATAATTTTGTTTGTAAAATGTTATAAAATATTTTTTTATTTATTTAATAAGTTTTAAATTTATTGTTAAATTTTTATTAAATTTAAAACGTATTAATATTAATGTTTTTTAATGTTAAATTTTATGATAATATTTATTTTTTAACTTTTATTTATTAAATTAACCACTTTAATATTATATAAATTTTATTAAATAATTAAAATATTTAAAAAACGTTTTTAAAAAATTTTATAACGAGTTATAATTTTAATAATTATGGTAACGGCAATTGTTAAAGGTTTTAAAAAGCTATAAATATATATAAATTTATTTTTAAAGTTTTATTATGTTAAAAGTTTTTTTAAAACCGATAATAAACGATTTAAACGTGTTATGCGTATGGGTAAATTTACGTATTATACATTAAAAAACTAGCTTTTTTTTTATATTAATTTAAAAGAAATACGTATTACCGTTAACGAAAAATTAATTATATTTTTTTATTTTATTGTTTAAAAAATTATAATTTATATTGTTAAAAAGATATTTGGTTATTTAATATAAACAATTTATACGGTTTTTTACAAATACTTAAATTTTATTTTAATATTAACCCAAGTATTTATTAAACTTTTTACTTTATTTATTACGTATTAAAAAATCGTTAATAATGGTAAATTTTATCCGTGGTTTAATAACGTTATTAATGTTATTAATAAAATTTATTTTTTTGCATAAATCGAAAAAAATAAAAATTTATAATGGAATTGTAAAAGTTTTACGTTAATTAATATGTTAATTATTTATGATTTTAATGGGAAATTTATGTATGTTTTAATTGGTTAAAAAAATTTAATTAACGATGTTAAAATATTTAACAAAACTGTTAATATTAATAATCTTTTAATATTTAAAGGTAAATATTTATTAAAAAATGCCGGATTTATAAACGGTAAAAAATTATTTATATCGTTTTATAATATATAATATTATTTTTAAAAAAGTGTTTTAAATAATATTAAATTAAATATAATTAAAAAGTTATTTAATTTAAAATATAATTAATTAAAAAACGTTATTAAAAGGGTTTTTAAACAGTAAAAAAACGTTTTTACGATTTTTATAAAAAATTTTTATTTTAATATTAAAGTTTATATTAAATTAATATATATTATAATTAAACTTTATAATTTTCTTTTTAATTACAACGAAATAAACCTTAAAAAAACGGTAAATATTAACTTAAATACGTATATTAACAACAATTATTTAAATAACGATTTTATTAAGTTTAAAAAATAAAAAAAATTAAAATTGTGGACGGAGTTTTTAAAGTTACAAAAGGTTAACGAAATGTAATAAACGTATGTAAAGTATTTAATTAATAATATGGTTTAAAAAATTGTAAAATAAGGTAATAAATTAATAAATAAAGTTTATAATATTATATTAAAATGGTAATTATTATTTTTAATTAAAAAAATTGTAAGTTTAACTTTTTAATACGTTTAAAATTATAAAAAATTAATTTATTTATTAATAAATTTTATATAAAACGCGTTTAATTATATAACGGAGTAAAATTATGTATACCGTATTATTTTTATGTAATTAAATAAAATTAATATTACTTTTAAAAGTATTTAAATTATTAATATTAATTTAAAATTTTTATAATATATTTATAAAATTAATATATATATAAAAAAAAGGTAAAATATATATATAAAATAGTTTAATTAAATAAAATAACTTTTAAAATTTATTATTGTTTTTTAAATTTATGTTAATTTCGTTTTTAAAATTATAATTGTTAAATTTATAAATTTTTATAATATCATTGGTATTATATGTTGTTTTTAAATAATTAAAAAATTTATTATTATTTTTTATTTATTTAACTTTTTTATTAAAACTTTTAAGTTATATTAAACGAAAAGTATTGTTAAAATTAATAAAAACGGTGGTTAATTTATTTTTTTTTACCTACGTATTAATTACATAAACTATAACATTTTTATTAATTTTATTTAAGTATATTTAATTTAATATTTTTATTATTTTATAATAATCTTTTTTTTTTTTAAATAAGATTTTCTTAACTTTTACAAGTAATAAAACAACGTTATTTAAGTTTTTTTTAACTAAAACACCATTAGTTTTTTATCTTTTTCGGCGCATAACACAAAGCAAACAAGGAGTTTTGTTATTATTCGTAATATTTTTACATTTATTACGTTATTAAAATAATTCGAAAATCGCTTGTACGGTAAATAACTCGTTGTTAAAGTTATTAAAATGGTTGTTAAATTTTTAATCATCGGTTATAACAATTGTATTACCAGTTTTTTATTATTTTTTAAAAACGGTAATGTTAAAAGTAACAACAATAACCTTTAAATTAATAACCAAATCATTTATTACTTTTATTTTATTTTTAAATACGTTTTCCATTAATTAACAATATTTAAAAACTTTATTTAAAAAAATTTTATTTTAAAATAAATTTATATAATTAATAAGTTAATTTAATTATAAATTAAAGTTTAAAAATATATTAATAATAAAATACGTATTTTATTAATAAACCTTAATTATTACCATTTAAGTTTTTTTATTTTAATTAAAACCGTTTTAAACGATAAAGTAAAATTAAATAATAATTTTATTTTATAAATATTTAAATTTATTTTTAATTTACTTATAAATAACGTTTACAGTAAAATAATCTTTTAATAAAATAATTACTTACGTAAAAAACCTTTTTTTTAAACTGTTAATAATTGTTTTTATACCATTATTAATTTATTTATAAAAAGTTTTAAATGTTATTAAAATAAAATCAAGAATTTAATTAAAAAGTTTCGTACGAATAAATGACGTTTATTAATTATATGCGATTTAATTAAAAGTTATAAATATAATTTAATTTAAAAACGGAAAAATTAACTAGTTATTAATAATTAAAAGGTAAAAGTTTATTAAAATAACTATAATAACGTAAAAAAAATAAATATAAAATATTATAATATTAATAAAAAATAAAAATTTTATAAATAAACAATATTGTATTTAATATTTATATATAATTTAAATATTTTTTAATTAATTAAAAAAAAAACTTAAAATTAATAAAATTAATAAAATTAATAACTAAAGCTTTTTTTACATTTAAAATCAAGTTTTAAAATTTATTAATTTTTAATATTAAAATTAAAATTTAAAAAAATTTAATTAACATTAAAAAATTTTACAATATTTTATATTATATAAATTTTTTAAATTACACATATAAATAAAATTTATAAGTTTAAAACCATAAATAAATAACAACTTATAATTATTAAAATCGGTTTTAATTGGTTTAAATTATAATGGAGATTTTTTTACAAATAAAATAAATTTAAGCTTGTTTACGTGTTAAAATGTTATAAACCATAAATAAAACATTGTTTATGTTTATAAACAACTTTTAAACCATTTTAAAAAAGTATTAACCAAAAATAATAACAAATTTAAGCTAAAATAAGCTTAGCTTTTATTTTTTATAACGAATTAAGTATAACGAAATTCGTTATATGAAAAATTTTGTTATTTCCCATATAAAATTCAATAAAACGCCATACGAATTCGTGAAGCCAAGTCCCGAATACTAACGTGAGCTAATTTTTAAACCCGTCTCTTTAACTCCGAGTTGGGTGATGCTGTTTTTAAAAGCCCTGTGTCTCGTCTCGTTTTCGAGTTCGTTCTCACTAGGTTCGAAACCCCATGATATCGATGGATGGACAAGTTGCTATGAAATTAAGCTAGCTGTTTTTAAAAATGGCATAGGCATAGGACGCTATTATTGTCTACCTAACTAGGAATCCCCAGGGTTCAACCCATTCGCTCTTAAAACGAGACCTTCTAGTTACCAGGTAGGTATCTAACTAGATACTTGGATAATATGTTGATACCCGTCATTTACTAAGGTACCTACCTAGGTATGTAATGGAAACGATATGATAATTTCTTCAGTACGACGAAGGGTTCCTGCAGCACGCAATCGCATCACATATCAGGTCTCCTCTTGTATATAAAACACCGCTTCAAGTCCGCTCTTATACTAAATGGGCTGAATGGTACCCGACCTGCCAAAGCCAAGCCACTTGTCATATCGATAAAGAATGTCCTTGGCGACCAAGACTTCCCAAATCCGGACTTTCATTTCACAAGTACGGAGCGACATCTGAAAACGATATCTTAACACTTTATCTAAGTGTCACGGGTGCTTCGATGCAACTACTCTAACACTACGGCATACTAGGCGCAGACAGGGTAGATCGCTTCTGCAGGTATGCTAACGAGCCTATGATAGAGCTCGTCTGATGATAGCTCATCCCAGCCCACACCAACCCTAAAAGTTCGAAAAGAGCTATGCCAAGCTCTCTCCTTGCTTGCTCTTATCTGACGTGCTCCTCGACATGCACTACCCCGCCGTTCCTGATGAGAGTTCATAAGCTCCCCGCCGTTTTCTATATACGTGGGAGGGGGCTTACCCGTAAACAGATACTGCAGTACCGGTCCTATCTAGCAAGATAGCATGACGGACCCTGGAATACACAAGCACGTTATCTGGTGTCATCCCGAAGCCATGTAGATATGTAGAGGTAAGCAAGCCTCGAAGGGCTGGCTGGCTAACTATCTTTGTCCTTCTATTTACCCCTCCTTTGTCCTCCTCGAGCTCGATAGCTTTTCTAGATCCCCCTCTTCGTACTCGTTGTTTCGAATGATTTTTACTTAGTCGTTAGCTCTTTTCGCAAATTATATGAGAAGGGCGTGGTGAGCGCGGGCTTGGCTTGAAGAATGGCTTCACGTTCACTAACGGCGCTAGCTGCTGGTCTTACACTTGTGGGCGAGGTTTTAGCTCAGTCTGCCAACGAAACTGTCTGGGCTTCTTTTGCATATGTCTTATACGGCGAGCGCACACCTTTTCAAGGAGAGCTCGTCCCCAGCTTGACTCCACTGGGCGCACAGCAGCTCTACTCCCAAGGATCACTATTCAGAGCGCGGTACTTGTCCAATTCTAGCTTATCAGATGAAGACAACGCCATAACGACGAATTCACCTATCGTCGGTATAGAGCGCCAGGCCCTCGATAACAGCCAGCTTTCTATCTTCAGCAGCACAGATGACTATGTAGTCGGAAGTGCTCTAGCCTTCCTACAGGGTCTTTACCCTCCTGTTACTCAGACTTTCGCCTCCAACAATGGTGGTGACAACGCATCCACACTGGCTAACGGTACCGTGGTCAACTACCCTCTGGATGGTTACCAATATCCCAATATTCGGAACGTCCCTACTACGGATCCGAGTTCTGTTTGGTGAGTTGGTTAAATTCTAACAGTCTACGTGAATACTTACAGGGCCATTAGGCTTGAGGGATATGCGACGTGTACGGAGTACTGGTCGTCGAGTCTAGACTTTCAGAGTAGCGACGTAGCTCAGAAGATGTACAATACGACATCTTTCTTCTACCAGAGGACTTGGGAGGAGGTATTCCCAAACACGCTGCCGGATTCTATGCTAAATTTCGACTATGCATACGACTTGTACGACTACGCCCAATATGCGTACGACCACGACAAGTCAGTGCGTGACTCTCTCAATGAGGATCGCCTAGCAATCTTACGCGACTTAGCCAGCAAGCAACAGTTCGATCTGAATGGTGACTTATCAGCCTCGGGATCTCAAGAGGGTGACATGATTAGGGCTATTGGGGGTCGCACGCTCGCGGCTAAAGTAGTAACTCAGCTCAGGACGCATATGAACTCGGCGGGCTCTACGGAAAAGATGACGCTGATGTTCGGCTCTTTCGAGCCATTATTAGCCTTTTTCGCGTTGGCCGATCTAATCAACGTATCTGGAACGTTCAGCCAGATCCCGGACCCTGGCGCCGCCATTGTATTCGAGCTATTCACCACCGAAGACAACGTAGAATACCCCCGTGAAGACAACTCTTGGGTGCGGTTCCTATACCGTAACGGCTCGGGTCCTGATGTTCCGCTCACTGAGTATCCGCTCTTCGGCCGGGGTAACTCGGAGACACGCATGACCTGGACTGACTTCCAAGCCGCTATCGACAAGTTCGCCATTTGGGAACTCTCAGACTGGTGTAACGTGTGCTCTTCCGTTGCGCTATTTTGTAGCGCACTAAGTCATAGCTCTGGGAGCTTGGATGACTCTTCGGATAGTAGTAGCAACGGAGCTAACCAGAACAGCAATGCTTCCCTATCTCCGGCAGTTGCTGGTGTCATCGGTGCCCTAACTACCATTGCAGTACTCATTCTTGCCAGTATGACAGCTTTTGTTTTCGGTGGTCTACGCATTCGGCGTAGGGATCCCTCGGATGCCTCTCGCCGTCGTAGCAGTCTAGGCGGGTTCAAGGGCGCTGAGAAGATGGCGTCGGACCATGATGTCTCTGTTGCCAAGAACGGCGCGAGACACGAGCGCGTGGGCAGCTGGGAGCTCGGCGCACCGTCTGCGACCGGGAATATTACCACTCCAGCTCCTGTTGCGGTTCCTGGGAGCGGTTCCTTTGGTGCCTCTATTAGGCGGAATGTGAAAGATGACGATGGAGACAGCCTTTTAGGAGCCTCCCCGGTAGACCCTATAGAGCGTGTTTAGGAAACCCCGGGGAGCAAGCACGTGAAACATTTTAAAGGGGAGTGTTGGTACCAACACTTGTTTTATTCGGCTTTTTTTTCCTTGGTCGGTTAGTCTCATTCTCTACAATCATTGATACCCAATATCATAGAGGCTTAGGGTCTCGTGGGCGTGCTAGCTTAGGGTCTCGTGGGCGTGCTAGATTAGGGGGGTTTAGTGTGCGTTTATGATTCTCTCCAGGCGTTACATATGGGCTTCGGTGGGGATTGATACCCTTTCTTTCTTACGATCGCTACGTGGAGTTGAAAATTACCTAGGGCCTAAGTACTGTTAGGTTCATCAGGACGGTATGGACCGTAGTAGGTATATTATTTACTCGAATATTAGGCCTTTACATTATGATGGAATCGGACCTCAAAGTCCTTCGAATGGGGATGGAAGAAAATGTGGCATCACTAGTCTCCCATCCCTCGTGTTCCGTTTATATTTCGACGTGTCGTCTGTCTTTCTCCGGGCATGGAAGCTACCTTGGTATCTTAGGAACCTCAACAGCAATCCCGTCTTTAGGCAGTCAGCTGGCCACAGTGGTTCCCTAGCAACGGAAGGTAAAGTTATAATATGTAATAACAGTCCCTCCATCACTCCTGACCATTCAGATACGCTACCCAAAGAGGCCGTGGCTTAGTGGTTTTCATGGTATGACGGTGTAGATAAAATCCCTTCATGGGGTTTTTCGATGGCGTTTCCGGGTTCGAGCCACACGCAGGGCGGCAAGACAGGCCATCTTGCTATGTTCAAATGTTTGTGACTCGAGTCTAGGGGCCTGCTTTTTTTGTTTTTTCTTTTCTTTTTCTCTCTCCCCTTCTTTTGGTTTTTATTTTATTTTACTGATGTTTGAATTATGTTAGTTCTTACGCATCTTTATCAAGGCTCCCTAACGAAACAGAATACCTCTTTATCTTATGATAGTCATAACAACTTTTCTATTCTGCTAGGTGTACTAATCTTTCCAAGATAATTATCACAACTAGGGATAATCTCCAAAACATATTAAAGCTAACCTCGATATTTAGTTGGCTTACTCAAAATTATCATGTCATCTTCTATTTATTTTACATCAGTTAGGTAATGGTAGCCTTATTGTCTTCTATAACACACGCTCTTTCACCCTAACCGTCATCATCATACCACCCCTGGGCTTTGCCTCCATTGACAACTCTTGGAATACGATGTCACCGAAGATGGTATCAAGATCCGTGTAGGTCGACCTAGGCTTCGGGTTAGGCCGGAGCCCGGCAAGCTCGAAGTGGAAGTCTCGAACAGTGTGCAACAGGATCACGCGCATGATGTCTATAGCAAGGTCTTGCCCCAGGCAAGCACGCGGCCCGCGACTGAAGCTACGGAACCAACCGCGAGGAACACCTTCGCCTAGAAATCGCTCAGGCCGGAACGCGCTGGGCTCCGGGAAGTACCGCGAGTCGAAGTGCATAGTATGCCAAGAGGGGACGATGACCAGGCCGCCATCAATGGGATACTCGCGGCCTTGGTACGAAACCGTTGCGCTGTGAAGAATTCGCATTAGTATTGCTCGCTTAGATAGCTCTGGGAAATAGGGGGGTCCTTACCCTGCTGGTGCTTCCTTGACGCCAAATCCAACAGGGAAAAGCCGCATCGTCTCTTTGATCACGCCTGTTGTGTATTCTAGTTCATTAAGTTTTGTTGGTGACTCCTTTATGTTCTCCACAGTTGTCTCAAGGTCTCTGCCGAACACAGCATCCTGCTCTTCAAGCATTTTCTGGACAACTTCTGGATGTTTTGATAAGAGCATGTAAACATACTTTTGGTTAGGATGGGTTAGCTGAGGTAAATGGTTAAAGACAAATTCTGTGAGGAGCTCTTACGCATAGCGTGTCAACGCTTGTTCCCATCCCACCGAGTAGGAGACCTTTCACACTGTTTTAGTTATGTAAGTGTATGTTCCTATTTGAGGTGCTCAAATAGGGCCGTACTTCGTTACTAATAATTCCAATTCTCCTTCAGGAAGCTCGACGGCTTTAAGACCTTTTCGACTTCCATCCTGCAACACCGTTTCTCGGAGCATCAAATCGAGAATGCTAAGAGGATCTTTACGTGAAGGCACGATATTCTCATTCCTGAGCGCGGCCAAGCGCTCCTGAATTTTTGCAGCAACAGACGCGTCGACCCGCTTCCGAACAGACCACTTTTTCAGTGCCACTTGTAGTTTGACGAATGGGTTCATGGAAAGTTGCTGATTGATTAGTTCGATAGTCTGCTTTAGATCTTGGTGGTATGAGCTGCCCTGCGTTTGTGCGTTAAGTGGGAAATTGAAGACGACCCGACCAACAATATCGAATACCAGCTTAGATAACTCATTCTCCATGGAGAAGACTTGACGGCCGGTCGCGAGCTTTTTTAGAGCTTCCCTAAAGATCATCGTCTCGTCGGCCATGAGGCCTGTGAGTGTTCTGACATAGGAGGGTAAAAATGCTGGAGCCATTGCGTTGTGAAGCTTTTTCCACATAGGACCATTCACGGTTGCGACAACATTTTCGCCGATTATACTCGACATCAACTCCTGGGCGAGCCGGTGCTGATTGTATACCCTCGTTACCTGCACTGCATCCATAAGCTCTGGTTCTGTTAGGATGACTTGCGGATCCGCTATGGGCCACAGATCGAGATACCAGATACCCTTCAGGTCATACTTCTGCGCGATGGCAGTGATATACGCCTGTGGGTGATTATTCGGAGGCAACTGGCTAGCGATTTCGCCCATGAGTTTAAGGTGACCCCATAGGAAGCTATGCGGTGGTTTGGGCTATATTCTACATTAGTCTCGCGTCTCCCCTTTGTTCTCATGATGTGATCTAGACGAGGGAGAATCAATTCGTACCAAGTCCTTAAACCGCTGTCTCCGGCGATACAAACGATAAATAAAGTCTAATATAAGCGCACCCAGTACGGGGAGCAAGACAAGAGAAACACCTTGAATCCCCATCGTCAACTCTTCGTTAGGTGGTAGTCTTAGAGCTAATCGATGAAGTTCCTAAGAACAACAAAGATACCCAGGATCTTAGGCCATGCAAGGAGTAGTTCTATAGACCTATCGGCAACAAGTAATTGACAAACAAGGAAGACACCTATATAAGTAACACGGTAGTATCACATCCAAGATCAACTTATTATTGCTTTAGGTACTTACCACTATATGATACTTAAGAATACCAACGTCCGCGGCAATCGAGCTTCCAACTATATTCCGTTATGTCCGCCAGGGATGATACAACTAACTCCCTTTTCGCTTGTTCAGCCCTGTGGGTGTGCTAAAAACAGAGACGGGGGACTTCGCAATTAATCCCCGATCCATGAACTAGTGGAGTCTTCGCTATAAGCAACTATTTATTTACTTAAACGTATATACTACTAGATCCAATCTTCTATGTAATTAGGTTTACAAGAAGCGTTTGTACTGTGTATGTACACCTGCCCTATCTTCAATTTATTATACATAGTATATACAAGTTTGCCGAATAATCGTCCCGTATATATCTTTCCATAGCGTACCTGAGGCGCTGAATAGACAGCCCGATCTCATAATCTCGACGGATAAGTACAATATAAATAGAGCTAACAAGTATTCTTCCAGCATGCCGCATGGTCACCCGCAAAGCCAGATAACAGGTACCTAGTTAAGCAGACGATATCAGCACACCTTAGTGAGCGTTAATCAAGCAGCGTTGGCCCTTCGGCGCCATGAGGAAGAACATGATAGGGACCATGTCCTGTTCCGTGAATCCCTCTAAACAGGAGACAGTAGCGTTCGGAAACCGGGTGAAGAACCGCGCGGTAGCGAGACGCAGTTCCATCTTGGCTAAGTGCAGGCCAATGCAGACTATATGCAGTTAGAAACGGTCCAATCAATCATATCCAAAAGAACTTTTAGGCATAGGGTTATAGGTAAGAGGGATATGGATGTGGAAATTGTAAGTAAAAGCTCACTTCGACTGCCTCCACCAAATGGTACGAACGCGTCCTTCATCGCCTTCGTCGGATTCTCCCATCTTGAAGGGTCAAATTTCAACGGTTCCAGATAGACAGTCGGGTTCCTATGCATACTGTACGCCTGCGACGACACCGTGTAGCCGCCGGGAATGTAATGCCCGGCAAGAGTAGCACCTCCCGGGGGTACGACACGAGGTAGACCCGAGGGGGCGGCGCTGTATAGGCGCAGCGTCTCCTGAATCACATGGTCGAGGTAGGGCAGCTTCTTGAGGTCCAGGTCCGTGAATCCGTCCGGCAGCGTGCTCAATTCTGCCAGCAGCTTCGCCTTAACGTCGGGGCGTTTACATAAGGTCCAGATGAGGTATGTCAGGGTGTTAGTGGTAGTGTCGCTTCCAGCTGCGATATACGCCATGGCATCTTCGCGCAGCTCTTCGAAAGGCAGCGTGTCTTCGTCGTTCTCCGAGGCACGGTACAACTTAGATAGGAGCGTGTGCTTGGCGTCCTGTCCTTCTTCTACTAGTTTGTAGTGCCGGCCTAGCGATTGCGTTGCGTATCCGCGCATGCGGTCTCGGACTTGTAGACCCACGCTGAGAACCGGCAGCGGGATGTACTTAGTGACCTTCGTGAGGAAAGGGAATGTTGACCTGAGGCCTCCAGCAAATCCTATCGTTTTCAAGTCGCGGATGTATTGGGTCTCCTATTACTTACAACGCAAGAACAGGGTCAGTGGAAAAGACCAGAATTTGACGGAGATGATGAGGAGTCATGGGCAAGATACGCACCTCCCTTGTTTCCAGCATGCGGAATGAAGACCCGAAGCTAAGCTCACCGATCACGTCGGTGGCCATATATAAAGCCCAACGAAACACATCCTTTGGGAAGCAAAGAGAGTAGATTAGCAACTTCTCTCCCCTCTCTATAGATGAGGTAGCAACTTACCGTAGCACCGCGCTTCTCCATTTCTTCGGCCATACCCTCAATAGTCATACGAACCTTGGTTTCAACCGTGGGTCTATGTGAGTTTAAACCTGACTCCGACATCTCGTATGCGAGGAGCTTTCGGTGTCGTCGGTGATAGTTGACATCGGTCGTGCTGAAGACGTTATTGACTCCTGGTAGGAAAGCCTCGTAAAACGGGGACTTGAGGAACTCGCCCTTGACCTGGTATATCTGCTGGACGGCGTTCGGATCTTGTATGCTGACTTCGTTGGGGCTGATACGGACGACGGCGCCTATGATTTTACCGGGTCATAGTTAGAAAAAGGGGTTTTTTTTTCAATGACTAGGGGTATGTCTGGATAAGGATGAACGTACCGTATTTTTCATGTAGCGAATGAACCCATTGTGGCCTCTGGCCTGTAATAGCCTTATACTTCAACATTGTTTCCGTCCATAACGTATACCAGGGACCAGGCAGTCTTGCCAGGGGGTTGCTCAGAATAGTATAGGTATACTACGAAGTAGTTAGCTCTCTCCGACACAATTATTTCGGTATGATTCGAGTCTCATACGCCCAGTGTGGCTACGCCCACAGCGATCAGCAGAAGCTGTCCACGCTCGAGGCTGCTCAATGCTTCCATACTCGTGTTTTGTGATCTTTTTTGTTTACTCTTATATCATGCGTAGGTATGTAGGTGGTATTGCAGTTAACCTCAATATAAATTAAAATCAAAGCCTACTATATCACTTAAGTAAACTCCCTCTTATAGACAGGAAACTGTATCCTTAAATACTAAACCCTTAATCACTATACTCATTCGTCAAAGTCTATAAGTCGGTTTCACACACTGAAGCGAAAGGCCGAGAGTCACGAGAAATTGCGGAATTGTGGAATTGCGGAATTATAGCATTAAGATACTCCGACTAATAGACATACCTGCGGGCAATGCCGACTATTTCAGAAATAATTAATAAAGTCGGCGACATTAGTCTATTTGTGTAGTATAGAACCACATTCTTAATTCGGAGGGACGGTAGAGGGTTAAGACCGAATTGTCCGGATACCTATTCGATAAGCTCCGTCCTACCGTCGTATATAGGAACCAATTGAAGCCCAACTGATGATCATTATTTCAATTGAGATTTTTCGTCTCCATCAAACAAAATACCGGCATACCTCAATATACAATTAATCCTCTTCGATATACGAAGAGGCGAATAAGTGGATGCCTAAGGCTAAGGTGGATAGTTGGTTGCTCAGTAAGGCACAACTTTTACGTGTCTCGCTCTGTCGGCCCATAATTGTAATGACGAGTGGCCTGCTATATGCATCATTGCGTAGCAATATGAATATTATCGCGCTGATTAATAACGCGAAACTCAAGCATTAAAAATCGATAGACATTAGCCGTCTATACGCTTTATTAAGACGAATTAGCAAGAAGCTACCTATCAGAACGACTTCTCGAATAAACAATAACTACATACCTCAATGTGTGGTAAGTTACGTAAAAAGGCCTTTTCATAAAGGAGCTATTAATTATGCTCTACATAACTGGGTATCATTATTTATCTTCCTAAAATTCCATCTCTTCAACTTCCATGCTACAGGTCGTACAAGTCTTCACCGTTGAACCGTCATCTTTCTCGATGACTCGTCCCCATTCGTGAACATGTTTGCCACCATTGGAAATTGCATCCCCAAACTTGGCTTTCTTGCCAGACGCCGTACCTCCTCCTCCGTCTCCCCCAAGTTTCCCCGTCTGCCTCCGGTACGCATCCGTCCTCGTCCGCTTCTTAAGGTCCAGTAGCTTCTCTTTGAATTTAGTTTCTTTCCGTTTCTTCTTCTCCGCCTCACGACGTTCGAACTCAGCATCCAGCTCCTCCGCCGAACCCCATTTTTTGTCACTAAAAGCATACTCTTCGACCTGATACCGAAGGAATAGCATCATATCATGCCAGTGGGACTTGTGTGGGTTTGGTTTTGAGAGGTGGGGCAGCAGCTCTGCGTCTCTCAGCTCCGGCTCTGTCAGAAGGTAGTCCTCCCTGCACTCCGTCTTGGTCAGAAGACTATATTTTTCGGGATATTTCTCTTTGCAGCTGTTGCAGATGGCACACCCGAAAACCTCCTCCCATACGAAGTCGATCTCGAGATTCCTACACTCGCGACATCTCTTCCGGTCCTTTTCATCCCGTAGCACACTCAGGCCCGGTTCGAATGGCCCTGCCTTCTGCCGTTGGAGCTTCTTCAGTAACTGCCGCCTTTCCCACTCTTGCACTGTCATTCCCTTGGGTCTCTCTTCCTGACCTTCACCAGGCCCGTTGCCCTTTCCGTTGCCCGTAGCAGTAGACCCCGACATGGCCTTGTTCCAAGGATCGTCCTCGGCACTCAAGAAGCCACCTTTCGTATCCGTCATCTTGCCGAAGTCGTAGTCGACAAACTTAGTGAACTTCCTCGCTGGTCTGATAGCCCCTTCGTCCTTATCCGCCTTGGCCTGGTCGGCACTGTCGCCAGGAGCAGCCTTGGCAGGCGAGACCCCATTAACGCGGCCGTCGCGGCTGGTGGACGGTGTCTCGCGGACTCGAGTACCAGATATAGCATCATAAGCGCGCTTACGCGTGTTCGGGACTTGCGCATTATCGGTGGCAATGAAGCCAGATGGAGTGCGAGAGACGGAGGGTGCGCCAGCTGCACGAGCGGCGGACTCATGCTGTTCACGTAATGCCTTAGCTCGGAGTCTATTTTCTTCCTGTAAATTACACTATAGTTAGAATAAAGCTCACAAGTATTGAATGCAATCAAAACTATTCTTTCGCCGAGGGGTTGACTCACGATGCGACGGGTAATCTCAGGCGTAGGAGGGGACGCTATGGGTTTAGAGGGGTTGACAGTTTTCGCCTGTGGTGGCGTAGAAGGGCGGTCCATTTTGCAAAGGAAGTATGATCATGAGTAAGCGTAAGGAAAGTCCAGCTATGAATAAGTTGAGACGAGAAGTTGTTGTAATTTCGAATGTTAGTACTATCTTTCGGGATTGGCTCCAAAATGTAAGGGTTCAGTATCATGTAAGCCGGTGACGTCGGGTGGTTGAAAACGGTACTATAAATTTACATAAAAAGAATTATCCCCGACATTTACGCTACCCCGGAGTCCCGGACAGCCGGAATTTTATACGTGCACGTACCTACCTACGTAGATACATTACAGACAATGATAATAATGAGAATACCTTGGTAAGCTGTTGAAATCATTACAGCAACTGGATACGCAAATCTCTAGTATACATGAAATTTGCAATTGTCTATTCGTGATGTACGTATAGTCTAGTAGTAAACCCTCCATGGTATTCTTCGTATACAGCGTCAACATTATGCTGTAAGTCCCTCCATTAAGCCACTTTAAATGAGCGAGCCACTCGTAACATCATTACTCGTCCTTGACACCACCCCGGCCGGCACGCTCGGCGGCTTCAACAGCTTTCTTATCGCTCTGCGCAGGCCCGCTCTGGAGACCACCCATGAGCCCGGCAGGTTGCTTAAAGGGACGCTTGAGATCACCAATCGCCGGCTGGCCGAGGAGGTGGATCTTGACCAAGTTGGACTCGATGGCGCCCTTGAGCGGGATGATGGATTGGATCAAGAGCGGGTTGGTGTACTTCATGTATAGGTGCATAAAGCCCATCATTGCAAGACCCATAATCTGCGATCGGAAAGAGTTCTTGAGTTGCTGCGAGTCGTAGGCTTGGACGGTGGTAGTCACAAGTTTGCCCTCCTCCGAAGATCCCATCGGAGCCGGTTCGACGTATTTGAGCGTGGTGAGATCTATACGTAAGTGACTGGTTAGTATAATTGTGTGTATAGTGTAACGTTTCCAAGGGGAGAATCGTACCCTTCTTCTTGTTGATCTGGAATTGGACGTAGACGTAGATACCAGCAATGATCACATTGCTGCCAATGTAGAGCGCGCGAACAATATTGAGGACATCGGGATCATCGAAAGGGATTCGCTTGGAAACTTGCATCATCCCAAGGATGATGATGATGTTAGTTCTACCGAGACTCAGTTAGCTACTACTTCACGAGTGTATACGTGCGAGACAAAATTGATAACACGTACACTTGAGGACTGAGTATAGCCATTTTGATTGCGGGTGCAAGTATGAGACGATATAATAAACCAAAGAGAACGGCTGCTTGGGCTAGCAGAAGAGATTGACGGGCAGAAGAGATTGACGAGATTTTCTGTCAGATGCGCGAAGGCGACAAGCGACCCAAAAGAATGGAAAACGTAACAATTGGTGGTGGCCTACGATTGGAATTTGTCGCATCAAATTACTGCGACGGATGTAGAAAAGTAAGGGACCAAGGTTCTTCCGTACCTTAACTAACCTTATCGAATTCCTTATCAAGTTCTGGCCACGTTCCGTTGTGACGACCTAGGTGGAGCTTACTCATTGCGTAATTGTATTATATAATCTTCGAGGTTAGCACTTAAATGCGCTAAAGTATAATATAGGTACGTACCCCACTAGCGGCTGATGATCCGCGATTGGATCTTCAAATTTGGTCACTTTTGACTTCAATGGTCAAATTTCGAGGTGCGAAGCGATGACGGGAGCTTTCGACGATTGAGTCTCCATATCCTCGCAATCATGCATTCCAAGGCGCCGTCATGCCTTGTCGGCGCTTTCCGGTCACTTACGATAGCCCATTCTTCAACTACGCGCCCATTGATCAGACCCAGCACCTCGATTGCGCCCCGAAAAATTCCATGTTCCCAAAATGTCCGTCTCTTTTCGGCAACGGCGTCAGTGGGCGGCAACTGGCTAGAGCCCAATATAAATCGCAAGACGAAGATGATGAAGGGACGAGCTAGGGTCGCAACCGGTGGCTCTACTAAAGGAACAACGGTGATGTGGGGAGATTACGGACTACGGATGATTGATCACCATCGAAGGATCAGCGCTCAAAATCTCAAGATTGCGGAGGATACTATCAAGCAGCGACTACGTGGTCAGAAGTACCGACTATATAAGAGAGTGTGCTGCAACATTGGCGTGTTCGTTAGCGGCAACGAGGTCTGCCCTCCGATGTTCCCGTTTCATATGTCCCTCTATAACTAACCCACATTTATAGATACGTATGGGTAAAGGAAAAGGTTCATTCGATCATTGGGCTGCAAGAGTAGCAGTGAATCAGATCGTCTTGGAACTAAGAGGGATGGTCCACGAGCAAGTTGTGCGCGACGCCTTTCGGTTAGCCGGTAACAAGCTACCTGGTAAGCACCGTACTCTGCGGCACTAGGTATATACGCTATCCTAACATTATATTCAGGGCAATGGGAATTTGTGAAGAAGGGTGAACCGCCAGTGGTTGGTATTACCAAGCTGGACGGAATTACATTGGAGGATTTAAAGAGACCAAGACGAAAGGTCCCAGCCGAGTCTATAGAACCTGCTCCACCCACGCCAGGCTCAGAAGGTCCACGGACACCCCTAGATCTCCCCTAACTACGAGATCTTATATGATGTATGATTAGGTTATAAGAGACAATCAAGTCACTTTCGATGTCGTATTTATGTCTAGGTTATAAACTACGGGCGGGAAGAAAAGGTTATCTACACTTGTGTAAGTGGCACTTGCCGTGAGATGTACCAATATCTACCTAGGTACTTGGGTATATACAATGAAGAAGTTGCGACACAAATTATAGTAGGCCCTTCAACTCCTAGTTCGCTCTTCCCAGAGTCCTTATGTTTCGTTACTTCCAATTCTATATGCTCCAAGGTGGAAACCCACAGTCCAATTTCTATTTCTGTATAATCCGTCTCCTCTTATCACAAACTACTAACCTAATATAATACCACCAAACATCACCTTTCCCCCGGGTTCGATGCTACTCCCTACATATATAGGTGTCTCTATTATATTATGTTTTTAGATGTATAGCATCAATTTTACCCCCAGAACGGAAAACTTCATGAATAAGTTGAGCCATATGTTCTACTATGGCTGACTATACTGAGCTTGAGCTCAAGACATTCGAACTTTCTAGCGCAGAATCCGATTCCTCCTTGTCCGTGACTTCTCTTGCGTTGATCTCAGACGTACCATCCTCTCAATATTCCTCCGAGAAGCTTTTTCAGTCAATTCAGTCAAAAGAGCTATGGCTTATTTCCCCCGGTATATGCCGAATGCAAATCATAGTAGTGCAGAATCAGGTATCCTTGGTATTAGGAGAAACTGAACCTGGATTCCTGGAACATCTAGCCGATGTGATCTGTCAATGCCCAGTAAGTCACCATGATTGGATCTTACTATGGTCGCTCATGTGAATCTGTCTAGCTTTGGCCTGCCCTTGGCCTTACAATTAAACAAGAAGATATACAATACCAGCCGCTATACGACGGAGCCCCGAATCTCTATTTCATTATCGAACATCTACATAAGTCATCTGTACTCCTCTCACCACCACACAGTCCCACTGCTCGTCTATATGGGATAGAGTGCCTATTTCAATACCAAACAAATAATTCGGATGGATCTGATACCGGCACTAACGAATCTAACATATGCGATCTCGATATGGATGACTATCCTCCCGAACCGGCTTCACAACCGCAAGCGCTAGACTTAACCAGTGACGCTCATGGGAGCGCAGTCTATAATTATTATTATTGGGAAGATCCAATTCTGGATATTTTTGCCAAGCATTCTCGACAACGATGGAACGATGCAGGCCGCTTAGCCCAGATGGCGTTATACGTGACTATTGGCATCAGGAAACGTATGCGCGGCTTACGATTATTCCAGCTGGATAATCGACCCTCATTACTCGAACTAGCCCCTGCTATTTGGAACGCTCATTATCTCAAGGTTCTGAAAACTCTCATAAGATTAAAATTTTTGTCTAACAACGAGATCTAGGCAGTGACGTACCACGCGGCCAATATCCCCATTATTTCGAGCATTCTGGCTGCACCATCTCGAAACCGGTCAGCATCTTTACGGGAAAAAAGTAAAAGGTTGCTAGTAGATGTAGATGACACCCTTAGTAATAAACCCTCTACTAGCATAGAGACTGAAGCCGAGCTAAACACCTACCGATGTTCCATTCAGCAAAGGCTTTGGGATTTAGTGCAAGCAAAATTAGAGCCGACTACTCGCATCAAGAATGCTAGTATAAATATTGATACACAACAGCGCGAAAACGTCGATTGGCCTTTCGAGATAGCATCTTCGAGTATGGGCTCTCTTGAGGAGCCCGAGAACAGCGATTATTTCTACATCTTGGACAGAACTTCGAGTAAGGATTTCGACTTCGACAACGCCTATGATGAGGGCCGGTTATTATATCAACTTCAAGAGCCTCCAGGGGGAGATTGTAGTAGCCATCTCGACGCAACAGCTGAATATGAGCAGTGGCAGCACGGGGATCAGGATATAAGGGCCACCAACGAAGGCTCCCTCGCAGAAGTCATTGACACAATAGAGGTGGAATCAGACTATTTGCCAAATAGTAGTCCTCGGGATGATTCTCTTATTCATTCTTCAAGTTTGTTAGAATTACGAGGCACTTCAACTGTCCGACAACACATTTCCGGCGATTTTAGTGATTCGATTGTGGACGTCAATGATCTACACGCATCCGATTATGCATACGGCGTTGAGGGCATTTGCAATTCTACAGATGAGTTGCCATATAACACTCGACGTATGCTCTGGGACGATATGCAACAACATATGTATAAGAGTGGAGATGATTATCCCTATAGGAGAGATAAAGGAATGATAGATCAAAGTCATGAGCTCAGAGAGGAACAAACAGGTTCTCAGGATATAGATATGTATTGACAATATTGATAAACCATATAACCGGGTAAATACGCAATGATTATGAGTGCTAGACGCGGCCTGCTGTCGTCGAAGCGTCTCTAAATGCTATCCTTATTGTTCTATTCTACCCTTTCACCCGAACACTAAGCACCTAGAACCCTGTCCGCTTAGCTCCATAACAGCTACGTATCCATTACTCCCCTTAAGACATCTACGTCTGGATGCATCGTGGTTTCTCGACGAAGGCGTCGGTGGCGGATAGTCGCAAAAAAGCATAATTGCCGGGTTCTATCCCAATTAAGAAGTTGCTATAACACTTTCGATTGTCGTATCAGAGCTGTCTTACGACAGAAGACCTTTATCGAGCTGCCGGTGGTTTTCCTCCTGCTTTCTTGTCCCCCTTGGGGACCTTCTTTTTCTTCTGCTCGGGCTTCAAAGTCGCGTAGTGGATGTACCACATGAAAACGCCCTCAAGGATGAGCGAGACGAGGACGACGACGAGAATAGTGAACAAGTACGGCTGGTCGTTTAAAGTACGGACGGCTGCATCTGTGGCGCCAATCTTGGACATGAATCCGAATTGACCACCTGGTGGGCTCGGTAGATTGGGGTTTTGTTGAGACATTTTGAATTGTGCTTGGCTTCGCGACGGTCTTGGGGTTGGTGAAGGAGTTGTTCGAGTATTCGACTTCAAGTTGAAAGGGTATCGAGTAGATGGAATTGAGCGAATGGACAAGTAAAAGAAACTAGGCGCGAGCAAGACAAAATTATGGTGCACCAGTCACACTAGAAAGGAAGAAAAGAAGGGAAATTGTAATGATAGCTTCACTTTCGCAAAATTAGGAAAAAGGGAGAAATGAACAACCAAGTTAGTTTAGGCAATGGGTCTGTACCTGAGTAATAATGAAAATTACCTAAGGGTAAGAGAAACGTAAGTAATCCTACACAATGTCTTGTGTTTAGTATCAGCTATGCGACAAGCGCCTCCTAACGTTGCGGTCTCGACTGATGGACTGACGATAGTAACAATCCCTGTGAAACTCGTGAGTTTCAGACCTGCGGCAAAGTCGACAGATTTAGTATGGCCAATGATTGGTGGGTAATGGGGAACGCTTAGACGTCACCCTATCCAGATCTCGAGTGCCATAAATGTATATGGGAATTTCAACTGACGACTGCGCGGCATCATGCTTTTTACTCCTATATTTTGAAGGAGGCTTACTTCCGAATATCTCACATAAGAGGTAGTGATAAGAAAAAACATTGAAGAAGGCGGATGCAATAAATGGTACCATCTGTGACGTTGTGGTTAGGTAGTTACAAAGTATAGTACTTGTACATCAAGTAAGTCGCTAACAGCAATGATTAAAGCTGATTGGTTTCCAACAATCAGTAAAAGATAAGCCAATAAGAAGCGAGGATAGAACCCACACACGACTAGGTTAGTCAAAAGGCAATGGTGTGGGTCGGCAAAACGTAAGACCGAATTGAGCAATTGAGGGTTGCTAAAAAATAATTTCCATATACTTGATATGTACCAATTGAAGCTCATATCTTCACGCGACCCTATCATTCCTTTTCTGCGCCATCGCAGCCATACTAGGGCGGGTACTTGAACGCTAGGGATGCGATGAGCGTAGCACGACCAGCACGGTGTCTGCTCTCCAGGCGGCTTGCTGCCGCGGCCAAACCAGCAGCACCGGCATCGCAATGCCACTCCCAATTTCACAGCTCCGCGCAGCTCGCTGGAAGGCGGAAACCCCGATTCAAGAGCATACGGGCTGAGGAAATGGGGCTGATATCGCCAGAGAAGATTGAGGAGTACGGTAACAAGACGTTCCCTCGTTACACCCCGGAGGAGTTGGAGGTCTTGAAGAAGAGGTATACGCCCGAGCAGATGGCCGCTCTCGAAGCCGGTGAAGCAGCGATCGATCCTAAAGACTTGACGATACAAGGTCGAATACGCAGAGATCCCTACAGGATACCGTATATCGACGACTTCAGCAAGATTTACCCCATCATCGACAAGCGCCCGAAAACCAATCCCCCACCCAACCCGAAAGCTAGGTTTATGACGGAAGAGGAGGATGTGGCAGACCTAACCAAACGCCTCGAAGCTTTAATACCAAAGGATGTAAATTTTGATGATCTGCCCGAAGAAAAGATAGAGGAAATACTAGACCAGCGCATCGACTTCCCCATGGAGGAAGCCAAATACTTCCTGGAACCGGAAACCATGATAAACACCAACGGGCCCTCGAACTCGGCGGTTGCGCCAGCGCTGGGCAAAAAGCTCGCTGGTGTGGAGGGCATGTACAAGCCACCGATCGACCCGGCGGATGATGGCAAGGATGACCAGGGTATATACCAAGATCTGAAGAGACGGACAGGCTTAAGCGTGCGGCACATCTTGGATATCAACAGCAAGATCATAGTCACCCGAACGGTTCACAACCAGACCCGTCTGGGTAAGATCCGTAGCTCGTGGATGCTAGCTATCGCCGGAAACGGGGATGGACGACTTGGTATCGGCGAGGCCAAGTCGGTCGAAATGGCCGTTGCGCGGCAGAAGGCCAAACTTCTGGCCATCCAGAACATGCAGCCGGTCCGGAGATACGAGGACAGGACCATCTACGGCAACGTCAAGGGCAAGGTCGGCGCGACTATAGTCCACATAGAAGCCCGCCCACCTGGTAAGTTATACACATATTTACCCCTCCCCCACCTTTTCTTATCATTCAAAGTTATACTTACTAATACCTCCTCTCAAAAGGCTTCGGTCTGCGCGCCTCGCATCGACTCTTTGAGATCTTCCGGTCCGTAGGCATCCGCGACGTAGCGGCCAAGATGCCCCGAGGGCGAAACCCGATGAACTCGGTCAAGGCCTGCGTCCTGGCTCTACAGAGCCAGAAGGATCCCAACGAACTCGCTACCGGTAGGGGCAAGAAGCTCGTGGATGTGCGCAAGGTCTACTACGGTGGAAATGTACACTAAAGCAAATCATGTAAAAATATCGTGTAGATATGCCGCCCTCCAAATTCAACCAGATACAATTTATGCGTAGCGTCTCACTGGTGTATTTGTATTTGACATTGGTGTATTTGGGTATCTTTGTGATGGGTCAATGTATATGATTCCGTCTATCTCGAGTCCCAGTTGAATCTTGCCAGTATCGTGTCTTCATCCTCGCATATCTCATCGGTGTAATGCCCCATAGACTGCAGCCAGGAACAGTTGTTGTAAGCTTGCATGTGGCAATACCCTTGCCAGCACCAACAGTACAATACATCCCTACAGTACATTTCCCTGCTAGCATCGAGCGTACAGGCTCCTCGAAGCCAGCTCACATTTCCCTAGAAACATAGTCCTCTAGGCCCCGAAGACACGGTTGCTTGATGTAGTCCATTCGTACCATAAGTAAGCGGCTCAATATGTAGCAGGTGCAGGTTATTTCGTGATGTCGTTAATTTCTCTATGTATATCATCCGCTCAGCCTTGCGCTTGGTCGCCCCAGTCGATCTCCTGCTGTAGCACGATGCTGTAGACGCTCGCCTTGAGCAGCGTGAATACCAGGCTTGTCTTGCGCTCGAGCTCCCGCAGGCCGTCGAGAATCTCGGTGGTGGGCTGTCCGGCCATAGCGTCCAGTACGGTTGCGAGCTATTGTTGCATGAGGTTAGCTAGTTGCTTTGCTCTGTTTTGTACATCAGTGTTTGTTAGAGGAGAAAAGCGCCATGCTGTGACATTGTGCTATGATTGGACCGGGAAATATGTATAGCATGTCACGTATGTAGGCTTGCACGCACGTGTGCAGGTAATAAGATAGGATATCAGCTGACGCGTGAATGCATGCGCCGAACTCACCTTCTTCATGTTCTCTGCTAGCCGCTCGTATTCTTCGAGCACCTCTTGCTCTAGCGGTGTGAGATCCGGAGGCAATAGTAGAGGATTGGGTGCCTGGCCTTCCATCGCGACGGGAATTACGGTGGTGGTGGTCTCGACTATGTGTTTATGGAAGACGTGAAAATGCAGATGCTGGATTGAAGAAACGCGTCTTGTTAACGGGATGGAGGGGTCCTTTTCCGTCTTGCGATATTGAGCCTCCGGTCCCCACTATGCTGCTATGTTAGTAGGTACCTACCTACGTAAATGGTAGGCGCATGTGGGGCTACCCGGTAACCAAAAATTAAATTCGACCGTTCGGATCGCATAATAATGCATGTACCTCAGGTTGTACCTCCCGGCGCTGTGGCTCAGGAACCAGTTCGGCGATAAGATTAGATCTGACCAATAGCGCATCATTTGTTAATAATAATAATGCAGGTGGTTTGACGCCGAAAATGAGGGCTCGGATATACGAAGTACCTACATTCGAAGACCCTTTATGCTTTCAGCTCGCCAGCCCCGACCAAGTACATATCTATCTCACTTCAACTCTTTACATAGATGTCACACTTTTCAGGGTCTTTCTTTGTAGATGTGCTCCGCATCTCCGATTTCATCTGTCTGTTTGTCCGAACTCCGACGGATTTTTAGCATAGCGGAAATCTACAAAGACAATGGACCATTATCCGTATCGTTTGCATCGGCTGACTAGACTCGGTAGGGTTTATGAGAAGACATTATGGCTATGATAGGGAATTACAGATCTTATGTATGCCTACTGGGTAGGTAATATTTATGCTGACGAGACTTAGCTCGGCTTCGTTTGCTCATATTGTCGGTTTCCGACTACCGAGTCTCGGCCGGGTAGGTTGCCAATCGCCGTTATTCCTTCACGCGGTTGGGTCATCTGCTTCAGTTTAGTAAATAATTATACCACTATTTTTACCCACCTTCCTGTATGAACCGCCTAGAATAGCCTTGTTTTCCCTAAACCAAACCAAGCTATCTACCCTTGGAGATCAGCAGTCCCATATTCAGCCTCCCTTGCGATAATTACCACGGGGAAGCCATGGTCGAGTTAGAACCGGTGTTTGCTACCTCATTCCCACGATTTCCAGACCTTCCAGCAGAGTTGAGACATATTATATGGCGCTTTGCTCTGCCACGCCGAGTCTTTGAAATCCGGAACGAAACCGTCTCCATCAGGCGGGACGGCGAGGCCAACGTTACCAAAGAGTTAGACCACGATTCTTGGCGGATTCGCGGCTCAGACTTGGTAGCCGTGATATTAGCTCCGCCAGCGTTGCTTTCAGTAAATCGTGAAGCACGGCGATTCGCTTCGCGGTCTGGGTCATGGAAGTTCGTTGGTAGTCGTCCTCGTGGCGTCTGCTACGTGATTAAGCAGATGACGTGGTTTGATCCTTCTACCGATACGCTCTGCTTCGATGATTCCGTTTTTCAACATGTTCAGGGTCACGTTACGGAACAGAACGGCCTCGTTATGGAACATGTCAACAATCCCGCCGTCACCAGGTTTTACTTCGCCAGCTCTCCCGCAAGTCCCGTCTGCGTGAGCCTCGCAGCTCTATCGGGTGCTTCGGGGAAGTTCTTCGTAGAGCAATGGAAACATAAGCGGGGTTTCTGGTCCGGCGTACCGCAGTATCTGTTCTACCACGACAGCATACTGATGCACCTTGGTAGATCTCCCAAGGTGCAAGCGATCTTTGGAAAGGGTGCTGATAGATGTCATACCCTTCTTGTTAATGCTAACGATCGTGGGAAACTGCGGCAGCTAAAAGAGCTATACGTTGAGGAGTCGGATCCGCCATACTTCCAGGTCAGTTGCGAGACTGCGAGATGATATAAGTGCTAACAACCTAGGATAGCGGAGAGTTGCAGATTGGCTTGAATACATTACGGAACTGGGTGAGAAGTATATTAAGCAGTCTTATGACGATCTAAAAAACCTTTGGCTCAGAGCTCAAGACGACATTCCATCCTCAGCTCTAGTCATCTCGCCGAATCAGATGAACGTCCAGACGAAATCAGTAATCGACCCCGGAGCTGTTATTCACGCCGTGCAGCAATTCGACCATGGCCACTCCCGGTGCCGTGAAATCATCAAGGCTATGCCGCGCATGGAGCTCGTGGTTCACTTTCGGCTGTGTATCTCCAACCATGATAAACAATGTCACAAAAAGCCCAAGTCCCTCGGAAACGGAGAGCCGCTGGGAATAGATGTCAACTCGCACCTTGAGCAACCGTAGTTCCAAAGTTTTAATATAAGATTGTATATTATTCTAATATTAGCCTGCGTACTTTAAACTGTCCTTCCATGCCTAACCCAGCTGGGTGGTTTCTTGAGCTTGTAAATACGCAAAGCAGTCTTACATGCGCCACCCCAACCAAGCTGCTTTTTCTGCCACTTTCTACTCCCAGCATCTTTGAATAGCTTCTCTACCATCATAGCTGGCTCATCCAACGAATCTGTCCCCATTGCCTCCTCACCTTCTTCCCCCCTTCCCAGCGCCGCGATCCCAAGCCCATTATACGGTAAAGCCTGACCTTCAAGATCGGTCCCAGGTTTCTCTTCGCTAGTATCACCAATGCCGGTGTTACTACCATTACTCGCGACCTCGATCCAGACCTCGGCCTTGCGGATCGAATCAGCGTAGATGATTAGGATGGCGACGAAGACTAGAGGCACGGCCGCCGCCCAGAAGACGTAGAACATGGGCCCCGTGGGCCCGAACGGGTCGCTCATGGATAGGATGCTGGAAACGATCGATAGTGGGAGTAGAACGCCGCCCATGTACGAGACGCGGTCTAACGCGTGCTTGTTCTGTTCGTCGGCGCTAGAGGAGTTGTTGCCGCTGCGGGTGTGATGGTGGCGGGGGATCATTTCTGATGGGGGAATACCTCTTGTAGTAAGGGGCTGCTTCTCCAGTGGACGGGGTGGGATGCTGCCGGGGATAGTGGGACTAGGGTTAGGGCTGTGTGTGGAAATAGGGGCAAGGTGGTTCAGTAACGAGACATGTCTATTAAGGCGGGAGAGGAGGGATTCCCAGTCTGATTTAGTGGAATAGGGGGTTAAAGACGGGGAGCTTGTACCCTGGAGTGATTTCTCGCAGAGCTCAGCGCTGCTCAGGTTTCTTTCTAGGGTTTCCTGTACTTGCCAGTACAGCGCCGTCATGTGATGCATACCGGGGGATATATTCGAAGAAACCATATCGAAGAATTCGGTCCATTGGTGCACGGCGATGTCTTGCACGAGAGCACGTATATCTACGTCCTCGTAGGAACTATCACGCCATTCCTCCTCTAAGCCATGGTAGAGAAGCGACTCAAAATTCGACATATCTCCATCTACCAGGCTGGTAGTAGCGAGAACTTGGCCTGGGTCCGAAGAACGATGTTTCCGAGTCCATGCCGGACAGTCCATCAGAAGGACTGAGAGACGGGGTTAGCAATAGTCTTTTTGATAAGTTATGAGTAATGGAATCTTTACCATTGGCCTTGGCACACTGCCATAACGAAGCGCGGCAGAACAGTACCCCTTTTCCGTCGTCCGAGATAAGATGCAGAGACGGTTCTTCAACGTTATCATCACCTCTAGTACGAGAGCCAGTCGCCGACGGGACCCTCTTTGCATCCGGGGTAAATCCCTTCGGTGCCGTAAACAACTCCGGATACTCGAAGCGAACGAATCCGGTCCGAGTAGCCCCATGGTCCCGCCTCCGCCTTACCAGCGGCCTATAGCTCAACCGACTAATATGTGCGTCGATAAAGCCCGCGTCAATATCCAGCAGGTCTCTTAACACCTGCACGTAGTCCAGGGGCAACTCGCGGAGGACTAGGAGCCGACGTCGGGGCTCAAACCTCTGCGGTTCCTTTTCCTGCTGCTGAATATCAGTGCGCAGCTCTTCGGCACTTCTAAAGTACCGCCGGGAGCAGTGGCGCTGACTCTCTGTCCATTCCAGCACATAAGCCGGGCCTAGCAACTCGAGCTGCTGCTGCTGCTGCTCTAGATTTGCTTGCGTCATGGCTGAAACCTCTAATATATCGTTGCTCAAGATATATTTCGCCGAAAATCAACCCACAAAGAAGTCTATAAGAAAGCGAATCTCCGTAAATATCCAAGCACGCACGCTTCACTCATCACAATACCATAACTTCCCGTTCGCTTGTTAGTCCCGCCGCCTAGATCCGGGTTACATGAATCCTATGTATTTATAAGTTCGCCTCCGGGAACGTTCTCGCGCGAGCGTCGAATCTATTTATTCCGACTTGGGTCCTAGGATGACGATCCCTGGGTAGCATTCGGCAAGGCGGCTCTTACTATTATTATATATTAATATGCATAGGTTGGTAGTATATATTATATCAGCATGATTATTAAAACAGAGTAGTATTCCAAGTTAGACGGTTCTAAAAACATGTCTATCGTGTGCCGTCGATCATCTAGCAACAAGTAGCAAGACTACTACCTACTACGTACCTATGCAAGGTAGTAATACCTAGTAGTGAGTAATATTCAAGTGCTCTTAAGAGCGAACTGGATTTACACGGATCGGATCGGATCGGATCAGACCCTAACGAGCTAGGGGGGTAGCAGACATCGCTTCATTAAGAAAGCAGCCTCGTGCCGTGCCGGAGGGTGGTCACAAGGAATACTACATGACACCCACTCGCCCCCCCGCGGATGTCAGGAGGTCAGCCTCAAACCACATCATGCATTACATCCAACCCAACACATATTATCACGATCTCAGTGTTTGGTGCCTACAATATTACCAGATACGATAACCAACTAGTTAATTAATAATAAAAATAGTGTTTCTACCCTGGTTACTCGGCTCTTCTCATTCAGATATGTCCCTACTTAATTCGACACTATAAAATGTTAGGAAAAGATATGCCTGAGAAGACTAATACACTATCGAAAACGCAACCGTATGGAAAAGGCTATAAAAAAACAAGAACAAAAAAAAAAAGACATATGAACATTCCGATGACTAGTTAATGAATGCTAGGTATACTATCTCACAGGGTAAGCAGCGCGGGCTGTTTTCTGGTTTTCGTTTCAAGACTTTCTAACAGAACAATTTGACATAAAGTGCGAGACCTTATTTGCAGCTGTCATACAAATCAGACGAACGAGCAAGTGAGCAAGTCGTTGCTATAGTTTCGCGAATCCCCTTTTCTTGCGATCTTCCCTTCCAAAAATAAAACATAAAAAAAAACTCCCTCGTGCCCGACAAAAAAACGCCGTACATATGAATGCTTGTTGATGCCGCCATTGTTCCCCTTCCATTCTTCGTACTCGGCCCTTAGTCGCAATCTTCTTCGACGTGAACGGCAGGACAGAGGAAAAGACGCAAATGGTCGGTGAGTATTTTCCCATTTATTTCAAGGATCATAGTACAAACCCGCTGGCGATGCGTGGAAATCAACGCTGCGTGGCAAAAGATATCACATTTCGATAGCCACATGTAAATTTAGGCTGCTGAAACAGACGTGCTGCTGAATGCCAACAAGAGGTTGGCGTAGAACAGAGCATCTGCTGTATCGACCAAGGAGTTGCTCCTGCATGATCACCTGTCGCTGTCGTAATCATCGCCGTCGTGGTGTAATGTTACACTATTGAATTCTTCGAATGGGTCGGCCGCTTCGTTGCCGGGTGTTGCCAGTCCGCTGTCTAGTGGTACACCCTTCATCTGTCTCGAGCCGGTGATATCAACGCTTTCACTCTCTTTAACATTTCTAAAATTGACTGTGTCGACACCACGGCCCGCGTGCGGAACTATCGGCGGCTTCATATGTCGAATCAGGGCCCATTGCGTTGTCCTGAAGAACGGATGTACTTTGATATCGGAAGCTCCGGCTCTCGCACCCAATCTTCTCGTCTCATCTTTTATCAGGAGTTTTCTTATTAATGACTTGCAGAGACTAAACAACAGGGTTAGCGTCAATGCGGTAAGTTAGTTCTCAGCTTAGACATACTTTGAAATCTGTGGTGATCCAGAGTGTTCCGGAAACGGTATTTCCTCTCGGAGGATGTTGGCAAAAGTCGCGTTACGATTCTTGCCCTTGAAAGGTGTAGTGCCGTACAACATCTCGTATATCAAGATGCCCAGTGTCCACCAATCCACAGCACTCGTGTGTCCGCTGCCCTTGATGACTTCCGGAGCGATGTACTCTTCGGTTCCTACAAATGAATTCGTTCGGAAGTTGGCGATACACGACTTCGTATCTATCGTAGGGAGTGACGAAGTGCTAGCACCATTCTTGCCCATGATCATAGTAGGCTTCCCGCCAGGATCCGACTGCTTTGAGAGATCAAAGTCAGAAAGCATGATATGTCCTGACTGGTGGAGAAGAATGTCTAGCAACATAGTTAGTATGGCTTGGGTAGAAAGAGAAAGGCGAACGCACTCTCAGGTTTTAGATCCCTGTAGATAAAGCCCATTAGATGAAGATATTCTAGAGCGGCCGTAACCTCCGCAGCATAGAAGCGGGCGTCATCTTCGGGAATGCATTTGCCAGGACGAGTCTGCAATGCTCGGAAGAACTCTCCACCACTGCAGTATTCCATGCACAGGTATAGATGGTCTTCGGACTGGAAGGAATGATATAATGTCACGATGAATGGGTGATTACTCGTCGCTAGAATTTCTTGTTCGGCTAATGCTCTCTTGATCTTATTACGCTTGATCATCTCTTTCTTGCTTAGGACTGCTTGGGTCAGCGCGGTTCTATACGCAACGAGTAATAATAAATATTGAGAAAAACTTACCCTTCATAGCGTAAAGCCTAGAACTCTTCTTCTCTCTCACAAGGTAAACCTTTCCAACATCTCCCTTTCCAATGAGCTTAATCTTGTCAAAGCTGGCGGGTCCAACTTCAACGGTGCGGACTTTGATCGAATTGGAACTATACGTCCTGCGAAAAGCGAGTGAGTTCTGGTTTGGTGGAGGAAGCGCGCCGAGTCCATCATTTTCCGGTACAGAAAGGCCTCCAGAATCGGCGGCGAGTGTCGTCTTAGCATCAGCAAAGCCTAACGAAGCGGCATTTTCACCTTGAATCAACGGCTCCTTGCCGAGTTCAGCTGTGGCCGGCCTCTCTCCGCTGCCTTTTCCGTGGTTGAAGAGGCCCTGAGCATTAGGGGCACTTGCAACTCTCCGTAGTTTCCGAGCTAGCTCCTCTTTCGTAGCATTTGTGGCCTGCTCTTTCGCCGTCGTGCCGTCAGGGCCGTGTATTTTCAGGCTTGGCGTATCCGGCGGGCTCGGCGGAATGGAGCCTTCGTCGTGATGGCGGAGGCCAGGCTGGCCTTGGTGAGCGAAGTACGGATTCGCATTGGCGGTGGGACTAAGTGCATCGTCTAGGGGGTGTCCTTCGCTAGCCGTGGTAGTCGATCTAATCCTGCCGACGTTGGTGAAAAATCTCCTCGACTGACGGAAGCCAACTTTGCTCTCGGACTTCAAGGCATGGTCGAGACTCTTTTCCTTATCACCATTGGTATTGGAGGAGTTAATGCGGAAGAAATTCTTCAGCTTTTGATTGAAGTGACTGTTATGGGCATTATTGCCGGTCGAGGCGGGCGACTTGACGGGCATCTTGTCGGTGTCGGTATTGTCGCCTATTTTAGAGTCCCTTAGGTCAACATTCGGGTGATGCCATGATGTAAATCGCTTTTTGATGCGGAAATGAGAGCCTCGTTTGGTAACGGATGTTGTTGGTGAAGGAGAGTTTTGGGATGGGTGACTGAGGTTGGAATGGTGTTCAATTGACTCGTCGGACCCCATGTCGGCGGTAGCGCGGCGGCGGTAGTACAGTAGTAGTAGTAGCAGCAAGCAGTAATTGCACCAGCAATCAGCAGCTGTCGTCTGGCTGTCTGTCTGGCTGGCTGGATGGTGCCAATCTAGGCCTGGCGTAAAAAGCTTGGGACAGGTTGGGAAGTGCTGGGACACACTGGGACAGGGCGGGTTTAGGCGCTATGCTCACTTGGTAAGGCACTTGGTCCAGGGGGAGCAGGGGAGCAGGGGAGCCACTAATAAGTTGACCCACCAGTAGCCAGTGAGGACGAGGGGCAAAAGGGGTGGACCTGAGGGGACTGAGAGGTATCCACTTGGCACTTAGCACTTGGCACTTGGGATACGTTGCGTCCCGGATTCTTGCCTTTTGGGTCTTGCCCTTTTTCTTGCTTGCTAATCAACCGAAACCCAAACTAATAAAATCACCACATTAATATAAGGTACCCTTCTTCCCTGCGAAAACCTGCGGCGTAATATTTCTTAACGAGGACCTTTCCGGATGTATATGTGAAGTCAGGATTTGCGTCCTTCGTCCTTCGTCCAGGTCTGGCTGTTCTCCGATGGCTGCGGATGCGCTAATAAAACACGGGTCTGGCTAGGTACGTACGCGATAGTGTATGTAAATCTAGATGCTTTTTCGCTAGACCCTTTCGGTCCGCATGAACATTGATAGGGACGGGACGTGAACGAGGGAAGGGTTCGGTACGCGGAAGGGTATACGCAGAAGGGGAAAGGGAAAATTAACGAATGAATAGATGAATATAGGAATGGTAAAAGTTGAAGGGATATGTTATGTTCCCTTTAGACGATACGAAGAGAGGCACAACCGTGAATTCGGGCTTAGCAATACATCTTAGCTTCCCACTTACATGTACCTAGGTCAGATTTAAGAAGTACCCGTAGACCCCGTAGACCCCGTAGACAAGTATGTGTACCGTTATTTCCGTTACCTAGGGATTTTATTGCACATTCGGTAATCAGGTATTACAATTGTCCGTCTATACGTTTATAGGTCTATAGGTACATTTACACTAACTACGGAAACTACAAACTACAACTCTCACGTGGCCTTATTCTTCTCACCTTTATTATTCTGTAGAACCCTAAAATATGAGAAACTCTACAGTAACACTGACTGCTGATGATGTCTTCTGTTAAGGAATTTAAGGAATGCGTGGATCCATCGATACTATCGATACGATACTACCTTAAAGTTTCAACGATGTCCCTGTTTATTACGTCATAAGGGAAAACGTGCCATGGGAAGAGGCCTAGATTTTATGGATTGGTCAGCCTCTAGGTTAAATGATATCGGACATTGTTGACGATTTTAGCACCGTGAACGTACCATAACCTTGAGCTACCCGAGCTACTCCTATACATACCTAACATATGCAGGATTGTCATGCTAGATTTATAATTAAATGCGGTACATTACGTTTTTAACTCAAGCTCTGTTTTACATGTACCATATAGACTCAAAACGTCTGCTGTACGTGGTGATGTCTAGAGCTGCATAGAAGCCCGGTAAAGTTATGCCTTTGAAAACCTAGCTACCCACCACTAAAGGTATGCAACGGAAATAGGAGTCGTGTCAAAGCCAAAGGGATGCTTGTTATATGCTTATTTTACAGATTTTTTGCTCCAATTATATACACGCCTGAACTGCATCCTAAATAGGGATGTTCGAATATCGAAGCAGGTAACCATGAAAGCTATTATTCCTTTGGAGTCGAGTCTAGAGACCTAACCCTTATGATCAGATAAACCAATTGTATATATCCGGACTACGGGTTAGCACGGAATAAAGCTATCCCTATTGCTGCTACATATGGGCGAGAAGACATGGCCACCTATAGTCATCTTAAATCAGACGAGCCCAAGCGTTTGCCTTGTGTATTCCTCTTCAGTTAGAGCATTCTCGTCCTGTTGAATTAGGAGACGCCTCAATTTCCGCTTCCTCTCTTTATACTGCTGATCGTCCTCGAGTCGCTGTTCAGTAATTGATGGAGTGACTTGGTTTCCATCCTCGTCAAACAAGTACTCCGGAAGTTCATCTGCATCTCGCTTTAGTGTTGCGATACCTTCGTTCTGGTACCCATCTCCCATGTGCCACACAAACGACCTGAAGTGCGCCTTCTCCATGTGCTCTTCGAATTCTGTTTGGGTTGCGAAATGTATAGGGGTGTCCCTTGCTACGCACTTGCCCCACTGGCAGACTAACGGGTCTTCATCCCCATGGACGAGAAAAACGTGTCTGCGTAGTGTTTTCATGTTTTGCAGCTCTGCTGGACAAGGGTGCTCTGAGGGCCGTTTCCATTCGCACAAGAATGGCACGTATTCAACATTAGACCGTAGGTACCATTCTCTAGCCGAAGGTATAGGATCGCGTGGCGGCCTCCCGCGCCGTTTCGGTTCTTTAGAGGGGTCTTTCCTGGGTGCATTGGGCTTAGCATCCCCTGTGTCGCCTTCTCTTCTATCCGCATAGGAGTTTCCAGGCTTCCTCCAACCCTTTGGTCTGCCCCTCTTCTTCGGTTGGAAATTAGTTCCTTCTGTTCCATGTTGTGCGGAAGCTGAAGGCAGAACGACAGAGATATTTTCCCTTACGGTTGTAGGATCCCGTCTTGGTCGTGGTTCCTGACTTATCCCTATAGGCTGTCCTTGCCTAGTATGAGATGGCGAGGATGGTGCTGATGACCTAATATGCACAGCTAGTTGAGGTCTAGCTTGCAATGGTGATGCCGAGATAACTGTAGAGGGCTCCTGAACTTTTTGTTCTCTGGCCGAATTTGGCTGATTCGAGTAAATTGATAATGGTGTTTTGAAGCTGGTGTTCTGGCTTGGTTGCAGTATATCAGAAATAACGGGAGGTATCGTGACATCTTCTCCAAGCTCATCATTGAGGTTACTGGAGACGGATGCCAATGCCTGAAAGCTCCTGGTCGCGCTGCTCTCAGCCATAGCTTCTTTTATCACCATGCCATAAACAATTCACTACTGTCTCGCCAAGTTAGAACTATAAGAACAAATATAAATATTATTGTTGGAATTTGAATGTACTTATTATCTGAACTTGGATAATTCCTCGTGCTCTTGTTGTAGAGAATATACCTTAGGTTAGGTAAGGTAAGGTAAGGTAGGTAAGCTTCCCTGTAGAGACAATGGTTTCACTCAATCGCGTTGTTGAGTCGATTGAATTACATAGTACACGGGAGTCGAGCAAAAACGGTTACGCGACAAACGACAAACGAATACCAAGTTTCCTTTGTACGGTTTGCTTCCGTTACAAGACGTGGTGGAGACGTTTAAGCGTCAAACTATTAAAACGGACCCTAACCTAACGGGTTATTAGTGGTCATAGCTCCCGACAAGAAGGTGCTTTCCCATTACTACGCTCTCCGCGCTCTCCAGTTACTGATGCTGCACGTCATCGTCTTTCGCAGCCGGAGGCGTGCAGATTCAACTTGCTATTCGACGGCCGGGCTATTGCGACATCTTGTCAAATTTGTCATCAGTACACTAACTCTCTGATGCGGAAGTGTAATTATTAATCGTTATCCCGGCATATATGTATATTTCTAGAACATTTGCGGAGTAGACAAAGGTGAGATAGATCGCTATTTATGTATAAGTGAGTCCCAAGATCCGTCCAAGATTAGACCATCTCTATTCCAAACAATATCTGGCTAGTCTTAGTAGCTTAATAACGTCCTCAAGAATATTTACGTATTTTTTTATAACCCGAGTCTATATACATAAAATGTCTTCCAAGTTGTTTGCTGTCGTCGCTGGTGCTGGCCCAGGCACAGGTGAGTACTTCGTCTAACAGGATAACCCGCAAATTCATTAATAAAAGTCTTCTCTAGGAAGAGCTTGTGCTATCCGTTTCTCCAAGGCCTACCCCGTGGTGCTTTTGACTCGTACACCCGAGTCGTACCAGGACACCGTGGCTGAGATTAACAAGGCTGGTGGCAAAGCGATCGGTATCAGTGCCGATACTTCGGATGTTAAGTCAGTGGACTCGGCCTTCGAGAAGATCGCAAAGGAGCTACCAGGCTTCAAGCTTGCTGCGGCTATTTACAATGTTGGTGCTGGATTCCAGAGGAAGCCATTCCTTGAACTGAGCGTCGAAGACTTCGATGTCGCTGTCGGTGGTAATGCGTATGTATAAGTATTTCAGAAGCTCGTTGATCACAAACTGACGGGCCGGATAGTCGCGGCCTCTTCAACTTTGCTCAGAAGACTCTTCCACTACTCTTGGACGCAGTACCAGAGTCAGAGCATCCACCTACCCTACTCATCACAGGTGCTACGGCTTCTATCAGGGGTTCATATCTGTTCTCAACAATGGCTGCTAGCATGTTTGCTCGGCGAGCTCTTGGCCAGTCCCTGGCACGCGAATTTGGACCTAAGGGAGTACATGTAGCACATGCTATTGTCGACGGAGTTATCGATATACCTCGAACAAGTCACTATAGCCCCAACAATGGCGCCGAGGATGGCAAGATCAGGGCTGATGCGGTAAGCACCTAATTCGAAATCGTTCACTCTCTTTCAGTGCTGACTCAAGAACAGATCGCTGAGAGCTACTGGAACTTGCACACCCAGCACCGTTCCGCGTTCACACAGGAGATAGACATACGGCCCTATGTTGAGAAGTTCTAAACTCATTTCCCCAATCATTATTGAAGTGAGAGATTAAGGTCGTCGTATTTACTTCTTCTGAGACAGCTGGGACTTCCAAACACAAGTAGGCATATCTGCAAACAAATATAAATGGCTTGAATTCATTGAAATCAGCTTTATATGTGTTAAAACAAGCTTGGTGAACACAGACAAACTGCTTGATGCATTCTGAATTATCTTCCCCCGTCAACTTGAGTGCTCAATAGGTGCAATATGGTAGTAAATCGAAGGGGATTACCTCGTCGTACTAACCACCTTGCCATTGAGAGACAAGGGCTAAAAATAATCGAGTTGTTCTGTGCTTCCCATTTGAATCAATCTGATTGGTATGGTCTACGTAAACCTCAAGTCAGAAGACTAAACCCGTCAATTTAATAATAGGTTCCCACTGTCCCGCACGGTTCAACGATCAGTAGTAGCTCGACCTACGCTGAGTTTCTGTAGTCCAGAATGCGATAGGTGATGCTGACCTGCTGGCATGCCGTTGGTTTCGACGAGGCACTTGCATTGAGCGCCCATCTTCCAGGGTGGGACGCTGATTTACTTGGAGATTTCACTCCATTACTCTACTAAGATGGGACTAGGTATCAGGCGCCTGCGGTTACAGGGGTACCATTGCCGGTATCTGGGGGTTGAGTAGAGTCGGCCGAGTATCCTGCGGCCGTCGCTATCCGGTCTGCTTCCTTCTTGTCTCGGATGGCCTGCGTTTCTTGTCTTAGCCTTTCTAGATTCCAGGCACTATCCTCTTCGTCTTCATCTTCGGACTCGTCTTCTTCTGTGAATCTCCAGTTACCACTCTCGAACAGGGCACGGCCGGTTGATTCCTTGGCTTGGCGGGCTTGTTCCTCGGCCGCCTTCTTGTCTAACCGATCCTTCTTCCATTTCGCAAAGCTTTCTGGAGTGACAGGCGTAAGCGTTCCGGTAAGCTTGTGTCTCTCCGACTCTAAGAAATCTTCGAGGGTTAGAGTCTTGAGCGGAGATTTATCCATGAGAGCCTTCTCGGCTGCGCGTTGTTCTTTCGTCTTAAGCACAAAACTAAATTGGTTATGTTAGACAATCTGCTACGCGAATCTAATATATAAGAAACATACCCTGGTGGAAGAGCGTGCTTATACTTGCATTTGTCGCCTCCGTTTGGACATGTCCAGAACCAACCGTATTTTCCGTCTTCAATCGCTTCAATGAAGAATTTGCAGACTTTGTCGGTGGTAGTGACTTGGTTGCCCTTCTTGGAAAGGACAACTTTTCGCAACTTCTCCTCGTCCCAGTCTTCAGATGTCTCCTGCTTCTTCTTCTCTTCCTCTTCTCCCCGACCGTCGGTATAGAGATTCTTCTTCTCGGTTTTTCGTTCAACCGAGAGATCGTGTGCGAATTTGCACTTCTTTCCTTTCTCGCAGTTGCCTTTCTTGAAAAATATACAGACAACAGTCTTGGGATCGACACCGAAGGGAACTTTCTGGATCTGTGCTGGTTTGTTGAGTAGTAGGTCGGCCTCTCGCTTAGCATCTTCGGCGGCCTTCTTCTCGCGGGCTCGAGCATCCTTTTCGGCTTGCTTCTTTTTCTCTTCTGCGCTACCTCCGGCTTTGGCTGTCGCCTGGATCTGCTTGATATGCTTTTGGGCAACAGCACCCTTCTTATTTTTCATGCCGAAGGTCTTGTCCTCGGCAACCTTGGCAGCCGAAGGCTTTTTGCCCTTGGGCTCATCCTTCTTCTTTGGAGGCATCTTGAGACGGAGTAGTATAAGCAATTGATGGCCCTATACGAAAAGAGGGATGTTCGGTTCGTTGAAGCGGGGGATTGGTCGAAGTTTGCGCCTGGCCGGGCTATACAAGGGATTCTAATGTTCTGGCGCAAAGTTTCTACGTAGAAACAATAGGTAGGCAATTTAGGTACTTTAATGATCACGGACACTGAAGAATCAAAGATGGTGGGCTGTAAACTAGCGGGGGTACCTACATACGTAGTTTTTGGGATAACGTCACGTGAGAAAGGAATGTGGCGTATCGTTTAGGTTTAAGCACATAATTATGCATGTATCGTAAGGGTATCTGTGTTCTTAACATATCATACTAGCCACAATGCTACCGCCCCACATGCAGTGCCTTCGCGGGTAGGTACAATCAACTTTAGAGGTAGTAGGTACATTACGACGTTGGTGAAAGCTCCAGCTGGCCTCAATTTATCCATCTTCAATGTGGACATGTAAAGACACTCATCCACCACCTCAGCACTCTTTTCCTTCTTCTCGGCTGGCCTGTGAAACTAGCAGCGAAGAAGCTTGTTAGAGGTACACACAGTAAGTTTTCCTACAGTTCTAATGCTATTAATGGCAAATTATTGACGTTCTGTCCTAGATTCTCTCAACAAACAAAGAAACAATAGACAATCCAATCCTTCTTACCTCAACATGATTTCCGACGACGATCTGTACTCCCTGGCCATATTCCTTGGCTCAACGGCCATGGTCCTCATTGTACTTTACCATTTCTTCGAGGTCAATTCGCAAGAGGATAGCACCCTGAGCGAGAAAGCCGCGAAATCAACACCGGCACAGCAGCCGACAGCAGTGGGAAGGCAACCAGGAGCGACAAAGTGAAGGAGACTAATATTATAAACTTGCGGTCCCAGGCGTTATATAAGATGCGGAACATCATCTGGATGGTTGTTCGTCCATGTAATTTGGACGTTCAGGGACGTGACCAAGCCATGGGTTACTAAGAGCTATTCTACGAGGGAATATTTTCTGATCAAATAATTTGATCGGTCTTGATCGGTCTTGATCCGGATATCTGCCAGGGGGGATTGCAGGAGATGGACTGCTAGTGTACACTGCTTAAGAGGGTGATCTTATGTGTTCCAGAATGAGCTGGACAGTCTCCATTTTCCTAGGGACCTACCGGCTTGTAGAAAAGGCTCGTATTAAGGGGTTACTGGACTACGATTCGATTGCAAGTCATTTATTCCTTAAACGCCGTATTCAAATCCCATATACAATGAATTCGATATTCCGTCTTTTGCAGTGATTATGTATGAATATAAGAGATGTACCTAGGTACTTTAAATATTCAGGTTGGAACAAAGCAACCATGTCCGACGCAAGAAATCATGCGCTAACCCTAATCTGGTAGTAGACGCCACGTATAGTGGGGACTGTAGACGGCTTAGTGGATGATTGGGGATGATTGAGCGACTCATTGTTTTCCACCCAACGTCGCGCTCCCTCCCTGATTTCCTCTTAACTGCGCCTCTTTCCAAGCAACCTCTGCTTTCTTCCACTTCATCAACAACGCCAATTTAACAATACATTTTCCCTCCTTCATAAATCCGCCAAGGAGAGAAGACTACAGAGTTGCTTCGCCTTCAACTTTTATTTTCTTCTTCTCGGTTGCATCCAACTTCGTCAGCCGTACCGCCTTGTCGCCGCCTGCCAGCTTGCGAGACAATATTTTTCTACCATCACCTTTTCCACCCACGAACTATTTCCCGCCATTTTATTTATCCCTTTTGCAACGCGCATACAGCTACTGTTCATCTCAGCCACCGCCAAATCATTAAGCATTCATCATCGCTGTTCATTAACAGCAGTTCTTTCGTAAGCCGTTGCGCTCGCATCGCCATATCCGTTAGGCCAATTTTACATATAGCCTGACCCTTTCGACGCGAATATCCCTCGCGTCGTTTTCCTGATCACATATAACCACCTCATAATCAGTCTTAATCAACTATAATCAATATGTCCGGAAAGCTCGATCAGTCTCTGGACGAAATCGTCTCTACCCAGCGCCGCGTTGTCGGTAAAGGTCGCCAAAACCCACGCCGATCAACAAGACGACCCGCTACAACTGCTCCTGTTGGTGGCGTTCAAAAGACTTCGAGGCAGCCTCGCGCTGCAGCGGCGAAGCAAATTCCTGCTAAGGCAACCGGCAGTGGAGAGAGCAAGGTGGTTGTTAGCAACCTAGTAAGTCATTATGCGTAGTCCGGCTTCAAATTCGGACTTAGCTAACTTTGTTTTAGCCCAAAGATGTGAACGAAGGCCAAATTAAGGTATGTTTCCTAGGGCTGTCGCCCGCGGAATTTCGTCGACATCTTCCTTAAAACGCACGCTCGTGTCTTAATCGATCGAAATGATTATCCTCTTACCCAGAGATGGTGTAATTTGACCAGTACGAAGCTGTCAGAATGCCTAGTCTCCTCCGTCGACCACATATGTGCATCGCGCTACTATAATGTCGGGAGTTGAGCTGTCCTTGTCGCGCACCAATATTGTTCAACCTCCGGTAGGCTTGGCAACCCTCCATGCAGGTAACAATGCGCAGACGTAAATGGACTATAGCATATCATGACAAGCTAGCTGTCTCGGCAAACGAGATCATGATTCTAGCGAAACAACATCCTTTTATAGGATAATTACAACCCAACGAGCATGGCAGTGAGCATCAGAGTTACAGCAAATAATAGGCGAAGGACTTTACTGTCGATCTCGACTTAGGTATTATTACTGTTTATCCTATATTAGGCTATGCGGGGCGAGTCTTTCCATCTTGTTCTTAGACGCGATGATATCGTATGGAACATGGAGGTTGACTACCTGGAGGCAGTCTGATGGTTTAGTGGGAGATCACGTCCTCTTTTCGAGAGTGCATCCAACTTTTGGGACTGGGGGTAGTGGTGACGGGTGGCTGATCTTCCAGAGTTGTTTACTCACCGTTGGGCTGGATGCTGATTACTAACGCTCACTGCGTGCTCGTTGATGTTGACTTACCTTTGGATGCTTAACCTAGATGTTTCTCTGTCGGCTGGGATCTTACGATTATCGATATTGCCTTACCGCCTTGCGCAAACCTCGAATGGGTTTCTTGAGACTAACCTTCGTGCCCTCCATAGGAGTATTTTGCGACCTCAGTTGGACCTATCAAGCGAGTGGAGCTTTCTTACGGTCCGAATAGCGTAAGCCGTGGTATCGCTACGGTTACCTTCGCCAAACCCGATGGCGCCAGCAAGGCTTTCAACGCTCTAAACGGCCTTCTTGTTGACAACCGACCGATCAAGGTTAGTTTGTTATATTTCATTATCCTAGCCAATATACTTATACTTTACAGATCGAGATTGTCGTTAGCGCCGCCAAGGCCGCAGAGATAGCACCTCCTGCGAAGACTTTGACCGAGCGCATCACCCAGCCTAAGGCACAGCCCAAGTCTGCGGCAAATGACAAGAAGGAAGCGGCTTCAAAGGCTGCAGGTGCTGGTGCTCGTGGTCGTAAGCGCCGTGGACCGCGCAACAGCCGCCCAGCCAAGAAGACAGCTGAGGAGCTCGATTCTGAGATGGCGGATTACTTCGAAGCTAGCAATCAGAATGAGAACGTCAACGGCGCTGCACCTGCTGCCACCAGTGGCGACGCCCCAATGGAGGATGAAATTCTAGTACGTATACTTGCAATTCTACTTCGCATATCCACTAACCAGCGTATAGTGAGTGGATAGTTTAGGCCTGGATTAACTTTTACTCGGAATGGTGCTATTATGCATCAACATCTCCTTTCATCGCTTGTACTGTAGCTTGACTTGATTTCAGTTTTTTGCCTTTGACGTTTAGCAGTGGTAACGGGAAAGGGGGCTTGCGTTTATGAGGTCCGCGGGGGCTCAGTCATCAATGAAAATGCACGATAGGGTTCAGGTAGTAATTCGAGAAGAGGATACACGATTCTGCTACCGAGTTTCGAGTCTTCGTAATGTGTACGATATAGAAGACAAGCAAGTTCTTATTTCGGTGAATAAGCAGTACTATTGCTATGACTAGTCTGCTTTACTTCGCATAGACAATATGGTAAATACATGCATAATCGAGTCTTGTAAAAAATCCGTATTGAGCTTCCTTTCGAGATGTTTAAGACCGCAATATTTTAACTGTTGTTCACTGCATGTGAGGGCGGGGAGAAAGCGGAGGTACTGGGTGTAAGATCTCACGTGCTCTGCGGTCCTGTGTCTAAGCTTCTTGAGCTTGGCATATTCAACGTCAGGTCTCTTCATACGGCCAGGGACATGGAGCGGTGAAACCAAAGCACGACACGAACAAGGTTTTTAAGGGAAAATATTTATTTCATCAATAAGCCTCTAAGATAATACTAATCTAAGGCCTGAGATATTCCTTTTCTATCTAGAAAAAGGTTTAAAGATGCAGCCATCTCCTTGCGCAGATCATACCCGTCCTTCGCGGTCTGTGTTTTCGTAAAACATGCGAGCTCTATTTAAGGGACATACTTCTTAAACCTATACGGTTGTTAGTTCTACACTTTGTGGTCTAATCATTACATTGACTTACTTGCTGACGACTCTTTCGATACCATCGCAGCCCATCTTAAGAACATCCATTCTGGGACCGTATGAGAAGCGGACGACTGTGATGGGATGTTAGCACCTACACATTCAAACTAAAAGCACGATACAATATGGCAGGCTATTCATGTAAAGGGGTATGACTTACAGTGGTGACAAGGGCTGTCGAACAAGTCTCGGCGGCGAGAAGGGTTCAGGTCGAAGAAGATACCCGGAACGACAATGACCTTCTCCTCTAGACAGGCCTGGAAGAAATTCAAACCGTCTGAGATAGGGCCCGGAAGACCCTCAAGGTTGAGCCAGAGGTAAAAGGTGCTATCCGGCACATACTTGATCACGAAGCCCATGTCTCGTAGGCGCTTAACCACGTAGTCTCGCTTCTCCTACACGACTGTGTCAGCTGGAACTAAGATACGAATGGGTATAGCAGGGATCACAAACTCTAAAGTGGTGCTGAAGAGCAGTCATCTCCTTGCGGACAAGGGACGGCTCAAGCATAGGAATAGCAGCCTCTTGGAAAGGAGCATTGGCTCCACCGTCAAGGTACGAACCGCAAGAGCCGATGCTAGAGACACCATATTAGCGCAATTCCCAAGTTATGGTATATCTTCTTCGAAGACTCACGCCTTAATGAACTCCTTGGGTCCAAGAATCCAAGCAATACGCCATCCAGGGAGACGGAATCGCTTGGTGAGTCCATCGATAATGAGAACATCGTCCTCATCTACGTCCTCGATATTTTCAGCGGCTGAGATCGTGGTACCATCGCAGTTGCTGGTGTAGTTGTAGCCCGAGTAGAACTCGTCGCTAACAAGAGTCGCGCGTCCGCGGCAAATATCCTGAATCTCAGCCAACTCGGGATTGGCCACTACTCTGCCCGTAGGGTTTCGGGGGTTCGAGGTTATGATGACTGAGGTACCTCTCGCAATCTCTCTCGCAATCACGTCAGGATGGATGTGGTAGCCATCTTCTTCAGAGAGAGGTGTCGGTATGGCGGCAAACTATGTATTGTTAACGGTACTAGACGTTATAGTTCATGAGAACTACCTTACGTTCTTGAAGAGCGACAACATCTCGTTGTAAGCTGTGTAATCGGGAATGAAGAAGCCAACATAGGCATTGTTCAGCACAGCAGCGATACGGATCAGACCGGCTCTCCCACCGGGGACGATGGCGACGTTTTCCCACGAATACTGACTGTCTTTACCTTGACGGTGCATCTCGTTGTACATCCTGGCAACGGCAGCACGTAGAGGTTTGATACCGGCGGTGGGACCATACTCTCTAAGAGCAACAGAGACGTCTATGGTAGTAGGGCGCTCAAAGCATCCCTCGATGTCGTCCTCAACTTCGGGAGCACCTTGACCAAGGTTGGCCCACTTATCGGGCTCGTCAAGGAAGCCATACTCGGCGGCTCGTTCAGTACACCATACGACACCTGTGGAGGCACGTGAGGCGTCCAGCCCTGCATGGGGAAGATGACCCGGGTTTGCAGCACGGAACTGGCGATGGATCTTGGAACTCGTTTCTGCCAAGACACATTGTTAGCGATATATTATATATCAACCAAGACATACAGGGACGACAGCATGAAGACCACGTTTGCCAAGCGCCAAGGCCGCCACAAATCTATATTAGACCCGACACAAGGACAGCAACGTGCTGTCCTTGGCGGTATTACAGCATGAACGCAAATATCCGGGGAGCTAGTGTATAGGGTATAGAAATTAAAGATCATACCGTTGGCACTTGGGTCGCCGATACTGAATCTTCGTCGGGGAACACCAGTGTTCCTGTTCCTATTATTTGGTTTAGCAGTGTTATATCTATAAATAACAGTATAGCAATAGCAAGGCTTGGGAAGATATTGGCAAATCGTTATAACGTATATGATGCGTGGCGAAGAATCAGCTACGAAGAGTCGAGGTAAGAGCTTACATAGAGAACTTGCGACTGCCGAAAGACATGTTCGCGAATTGGTTGGTGAGCCTGACGATGTGATGTCAGTAAATTTAAGAAAGTAACGAGTTGGAGTATAAGATAGAATTTACTTGGCTGGATGTTGTCAATTAACCAAGAGGGATAGGTCTCCTTTTAAAGGGACGTCAGTTGTCAGAATACGCCGCAGGATAGGTACAGCTTAGGTACAACTTAAGAAAGAGTGGGAAAAGGGGAGGATGATATCGCGATAGTTGTCGGTGTGCTCTTTGGGTTCTAAAGAGAAAGTGGGGTGCGACAAAAGAGGAACGTCGTGCTTGGGGGGTGTTGCTTGGGTGGATTCTAAGGTTGTGTGGATCGTTTAAAAAAAAAAAAGTACAAGCAGAAATCGAAGCGCCAACTTGAAGAAGTAAGGAAAGTAGGCAAGTCCAGTCATGGGATGGGGATGCGGGTCAGTGATCAATCAAGTCTGACATCAAATCTGTCCAATGCGAGAACTCACCTTAAGTTGTTTCTAATCGTAGAAAAGAAAAAGAGGGAAAAAAACAAGATAATCAGGCAAGACTGGGTCTGATATTGGGTACTGTACGGCAAGTACGTACTGTTGTTAGGAGAAGGGAGAAGGTGTTCAAATTATTATTTTTTCTGGAAGGTATACCTCGTCAGGTAAGTCCAAGTAGGTACGGTACAGTTGTACGGATCCGTAGAAGTAGACAAAATCTAGTAATGGCGTCTACAACTGCCCCGTATCTCTTACTATCTCTTACGTACCTAGGTAGGTAACCTATCTGCATCAATTCTATGTAGGTACTTTATGTAGTGGGTGTCAATGCTACAGAACATTCGTCAATCCCAATTCGAAAATAATACCTATAGGAGGCATCCCATCGATGTCGTAGAATAGGTAGGGACGCTGATCGATCTATGCATGCTACCCGACAATATGCATAATAACTTGCGGTAGGATTTCTAGTTACACTGCCTTCGTTTTTCTATCGCGTATACGGCATGTAGCACTTACACGTTAGTACGCATACCTATGTGAATGGATACGCTTGATATTCGTCCTTTGGTGCAATTCGACAATTTGAAACCTCATGATGGGAGAAACCGGAATTCAAATTAAGGCACGACAAGCCATCCCCTGCCTCCTATATATTATCTTACCTATCCGGCCGCAGGAAAAAGGCGTCCGCGAGTGAAACAGCATTATGTTCCGTATTCGTACGACCCGCCGTGTCTTGAAGCTCCGTTCCAATGTTTGGCCTTCCCGAACTGTTCATTTGTTCATTTGCGGTTGAGTAAAAGTAGGATCGTTGGTATGTATCTAGGACAGAGTTGTGTACTTATTTGGACCGGGAATTACGTGTCGGGTAATATTTGAAGTAGGATGCCTGACTTACGCACTTACTTGATCGGCTTATGGTTACGCAAACTACAGACTAAGTGAGGTTTTCTTAGGGAGGGGCACTACAGACCCCTCATCGGGGATCCCGCCTTCGTATACCGGGCTTAGTCAAGTAAATGCTAGTTTACATAATACATACTTATATACTCCACATAATAATGTCTTAGCGCCACTTCTTCCAAAACTGCAGGCATTGGTCACTAACAAAAAAAAAAAAAGGGACAAACGCGTTAGAAAGTCAATTAACGCGTCTCGAATTCTTGGCGACATACATCCGCATTTTGATAGCTTCAAGTTGACACCCTGCGAATAATGCCCTTGTAACCTTCAAGCCCTTTAACACAATTCTACTATTACTCGACGAACGTACATATCGATAATCGTAAATATGGCCCTCATAGTCGACAAGCATCGTCCTCGGTCTCTCGATTCTTTAACATACCACTCCGACTTATCAGAGAGGCTTCGTTCTTTGGTACGTAGTCCTGGTTTTGCGTGGTTCTTCTTCTTCACGTCTAACCCGGTAATCTCTATCACAGGCCCAAAGCGGCGACTTCCCTCACCTCCTCGTATACGGGCCCTCCGGTGCGGGTAAAAAGACTCGCATTGTTGCGACTCTAAAGGAGCTCTACGGCCCTGGCGTCGAAAAGATCAAGATCGACGCTCGTGTCTTTCAGACTACCAGCAACCGCAAATTAGAATTCAACATCGTCGCCTCCGTTTACCACCTCGAGATTACCCCGTCAGATGTCGGACACTATGACCGAGTTGTTGTCCAAGACCTGCTAAAAGAGGTTGCCCAAACCCAACAAGTTGATCAGTCAGCCAAGCAGAAGTTTAAGGTCGTTGTCATAAATGAGGCCGACCACCTGACCCGAGATGCCCAGGCGGCTTTGAGAAGGACGATGGAGAAATATAGTCCAAATTTACGACTAATATTGCTTGCCAACAGCACAGCCAATATCATTGCGCCCATTCGAAGTCGAACGCTCCTCGTGCGGGTCGCAGCCCCAACGGTCGATGAGATTGCGAGTGTCTTGGCGGATTCGGCTAAGAAAGAGGGATGGCCTGTTGTAGCGGGGCTACATAAAAGGATTGCCGAAGAGAGCGGACGTAATCTCAGAAGAGCACTGCTAATGTACGAGGCCGTACATGCTCAAAAGTATGTATCTCGTCTTACCCATGTCACGATCTAGCTAACCAATCATAGCGAGAAAGTTGCAGATGATACGCCCATTCCGCCGCCGGATTGGGAGGCATTAATAGCACAGATAGCCAAGGATATTATGGAAGAGCACTCACCAGCCCGTATCTTGCAAGTCCGATCAAAACTATACGATCTGCTCACACATTGCATACCCCCTACGACGATACTCAAGACGCTGACTTTCAAGCTCATTCCTATGATCGACGATGACTTGAAGTATGAAGTCATTAAGTGGTCTGCCTTCTACGAGCATAGGATAAGGACGGGAACCAAGGTGATCTTTCACCTAGAGGCTTTTGTTGCTAAGTTCATGCGGATAATCGAGATGTATTTAATGAGCATGGATATGTGAATTAGTCTCACTGCTTCGTAGGGGGGTGGCATATTTGGTCTGCTTGGAGCTTATGGAGTAACGGATGGCTTTATAACTATGGTGTGGCGGAGACACCCTGAAAAGTAACTGTAGTGTATTTCGCGATGATGAGATAGACTTTGATCTACACTAAAATCTAATAGGCCTACCGGATTAGATGCCCGAAGACCGCGGTTGGAAGAATATGAAGCCGATTCAACATCCATTTTATTAACCGGTTGTTCGGGAAACGTCGTTGAGCGTCGTCTTGCGTCGTCTTTCCGAAAAACCGAGTTGGTCCCGGCCCGCATGAGATGTCATCGCCCCGATGGTAAGATCCGGCAATGGTGACGTTTAAAAAAAGCCGAATGCAAGCGACTTAAATACCAAACGGACGGAACGGCCGTCGGACGTGAGGCTCTAAGGTCGCATAAATACAACCGTAGACCATACGAGTTGCATAGCTCTACCTCGGTTAGGGACATGCCAATAGATCTTATTGCAACACACCTATCTCGGGAGAACGTGAATGGCATGATGTAGTTTCCAAGACTAGGAAGGCTTCTCCACGGTCATAGTGTAAGTGAGAACATCCCGGGTGAAGGTAGTAGCTAGTTCGCCTTTCACGATAATGGCTATATCGCCAAGCCATATCTCACATGGCTAACCGGGGAAGAAAGAGTACTAGCTAGCTTTCCCCACACTCTCGCCAACAAAAAATTGAGCTCTAGACAAGGGCAGAGGGAAGCTTGGCAAAAGGTGACGCCATTGCGATGTATATCTGAATTAGACCACAGGAGTTTTTTTGGTTTAGGTAGGATCCGGATCGAGAATTCAGGAGATATCTTTATCTTCCAAGACAAACGAATGGTCCATCGTCACATCCTATTCAAGGGTAGATGATACACAATGACATGTATTTATGTATGTAGGTAAGCAGCGGAAATTAAATCCTTCTGAATGGGCACGAGGGCAACGGAGCTGCGGAGGTATTCCCAGTGACGAAGATTAGCGTACGCTTGGCTTGGTTTAGTCTGAAAGGTGAACGCGGGGTTGAGGGGCAAGGGGACGAGAGACGAGGGACGAGGGACGAAGCAGTTTGGAGTTCTTGTCGGTCCCTCGTTATTGGGATTTGGTGTGCAAGGTGAGCAAGGTCTTGACTAATAGGATTGCAGAAGCTATTGCTATGGCATACTAAAGATGGTATCACGACACCGAGGTTTGTACATTCTATACTTGTCGAATGTGACCCATACCATTCCACAACCCTTGGTTACATCAAGTGACATGTTCGTTCCCTACCTACATATCCATCTACGCTAGCAATAATAGCCACGCGGTCCCAAAAAGAAAGCTATGAATCTTTCGTCTAGGTGCCAATAAAGTAGTACAACAGCTGTCCCCGTTGGACCGGGACAAATATTGAGCTTCTCACCTGCAGAACCCCCCCGTCCAGATCCGGCCAACCTTGCAGAAGGGGGATCAGCCCTGCCGACGTACTGATAATATCGTCCGGGACGCTGTTGCAACGCAGTTACCCTTCACCTTTAAATACCGCCCCATAGTCCCGGTAAAGATCCATAAATCCCATAAATCCCACGGTGCGGTCTCGCTACGAGAGATATGGGTTACGATAGGTTGCACATCCATCCGACTTCGCTACATAGTAATGATGCTTGTTTACAACTTGTACGTACGCCTAGCTCGGGAAACTATTAAATAAGTAATCTACCAAACCCCCAACATGTCCAACATCATATCCCGGTCTAAAGGGAACTGTGGCCTAGAGCTTCAGCTAGTCCATCCTACCCATTCTACATATTGCTACGTAGTAGAGTACCTAGGCAGTTAAGGAGGGTGTGAGATCAATACCAGCCTGCGTGCGTCGAGAGTCAGGTGAATGCGCATTTTCATGTTCTAAGCCCGGGAGCAAAGAACTGAGACGCTTTGGTGCTCTGGGCATCGCAATTATAAGTGTTGGTGTTGGTGTTGGAAGGTTCCATCAAATAGTCTAGAATGGAGAAAAGACGGGGATTGAAGGTACGGTGCATAGACACGATGCGGTCAACGGTCGAGCGGAAGAGAAAATAGACCCACATGGTTCCTTCATGGTCCTTAGCAGACCCCGGTCCGGGTCGGCGAATCCCCAACGAAGTCCAGTCAAGTGCATCTGGTATCGGATTAGCAAGGCTTGTCTTGACTAGTAAAGTCACGTTTTAGAGGCTTCCTTAGAGGCTTTTAGAGGCTAAGAGGCTAAGAGGCTAAGACATTAGGTAACGAACTTTACTTGCGTGACGGGACCACGGAAGTAGCTATATGTACTTTCTGTGCTACCTGCTGTACCTGGAACTGCATATGTGGGCGCACTATACCTCAATAACGCTTTGCTTGCTACGTCCCGCGCCTGCTCATTTCAATCTTCTCCTAATAAATTTGCCGTAATACAAAAAGTGCCTCGCCCTCGTCACTTACCTATACTTAGATCTACCCTTTCGTGAATTGTTCTTCGCCTTTTCTTCCTCACTCTCTTAACCTCGCACGAAGCTGTAGTGGTTCCACTATTCCTATATAAGCTTGAAACAATATCCTGTTCTAAATATCTAGACATCAGTCTTTATTACCCTCAACAGTCTTTTTTCGTAATTTAGTACCCCGCAGTGTCTATAACTAAACCATCACTGTCACCACCACGCCGCTAGCACCCCGCCATCATCATGGGCGAGCAAACCAAGTCGCCGGTGGTCGCCGAGGCCCATCTGGTTGACACCTATCGTGAGCTTTCCACAGCCGTATCTGTGACCTCCTGGGCCGCAATGCTAACTTGAGCTTGAATAGACCCCCCGGAAAAGATGCTTGAAAGTGAGATGGGCCTTATTTATAGGACTATGTTCAATGCGCAAATCATAAAATGAAGCTAACTTGGTTACTAGAGCATCCTAGTAAACCTCATCTTGACAGTAAGGCCAAACTATAAACTACGTGAGAAATAAAATTAGACTTCTTTTCTAATGCGCATACAGGTCTCGAGCATTACCAACAGTTGTACAAAGAGTCCATCACCGAACCCGAGAAGTTCTTCGGCAGGAAAGCTAGGGAGTTATTAACATGGCAGCGAGATTTCGAGACTGTTCGTACCGGATCCCTAGTCGGCGGAGATGTTGCCTGGTTCGTCGAGGGTCAGCTCAACGCTTCTTACAACCTCGTCGATCGACACGCATTCAAGGACCCTAACAGGGTCGCGCTCATCTACGAGGCCGACGAACCGAACGAAGGTCGGAACGTAACTTATAGCGAGCTCCTTCGTGAGGTTAGCAGAGTCGCACATGTCCTTAGGAAGATGGGTGTTAGAAAAGGCGATACAGTCGCTATCTACTTACCAATGATTCCGGAGGCCGTCATTGCCTTCCTTGCAGTCACACGTATCGGCGCTATCCACTCCGTCGTGTTTGCTGGTTTCTCGGCCGACTCCCTACGTGACCGTGTCATCGACGCCCAATCCAAAGTGGTGATTACCACAGACGAAGGAAAACGAGGTGGCAAGCTGATCGGTACCAAGAAGATCGTCGATGATGCGCTCAAGCAATGCCCCGATGTAACTGGCGTTCTGGTCTACAAGCGCACCGGTGCTGACATTCCCTGGACTCCGGGTCGCGATCTGTGGTGGCACGAGGAGGTCGAGAAATGGCCGTCATACATTGCCCCCGAAGTCATGAACGCCGAGGATCCCCTCTTCCTACTATACACATCGGGTTCGACCGGCAAACCAAAGGGTGTTATGCACACTACTGCTGGATATCTGCTCGGTGCTGCGCTGACTGGCAAATATGTATTCGACATCCACGACGGAGATCGGTATTTCTGCGGTGGAGATGTCGGCTGGATTACCGGCCACACATACGTCGTCTACGCACCTCTTCTTCTCGGTATATCCACAGTCGTTTTTGAGGGCACTCCGGCCTACCCGACCTTTTCGAGATACTGGGACATTATCGAGAAGCACGAAGTCACCCAATTCTATGTAGCACCGACTGCGTTGAGACTGTTGAAGCGTGCTGGTGACGATTACGTCAAGGCCCATATGCCGAAGTTGAGAGTACTCGGGTCGGTGGGCGAACCTATCGCGGCTGAAGTTTGGAAGTGGTACTTCGAAGTCGTAGGCAAAGAGGAGGCACAGATTGTCGATGTAAGTTGAAGCCTCTTGTTTTTGAAGGAATAGGTTCTAACAGGACAGACCTACTGGCAAACCGAGACTGGCTCGAATGTCATAACTCCTCTGGCAGGAGTAACACCGACGAAACCAGGCAGCGCTTCTCTGCCCTTCTTCGGCATAGAACCTGCCATCATCGACCCGATCTCCGGCGAGGAGATACACGGGAACGACGTTGAAGGTGTTCTGGCCTTCAAGCAGCCTTGGCCCAGCATGGCCCGTACTGTCTGGGGTGCGCACAGGAGATATATGGATACGTATCTGAATGTCTACAAGGGCTACTATGTAAGTATACGGGTTCCAACTGTGCTTCTTAAATTACTAACCACTCGAAGTTCACTGGTGATGGAGCTGGTCGTGACCACGAGGGTTTCTACTGGATCCGAGGACGAGTAGACGATGTGGTCAACGTTAGTGGACACCGTCTGTCGACAGCAGAAATCGAGGCTGCCCTAATCGAGCACCATTCCGTAGCGGAGGCTGCCGTTGTTGGTGTTGCTGACGAACTCACCGGACAAGCGGTCAACGCGTTTGTGGCTATCAAGAACGGCAACGAGGCATCGGATGCGTTAAGGAAAGAATTCATCCTACAGGTACGAAAGAGTATCGGTCCGTTTGCCGCACCTAAGGCAGTCTTCATCGTGCCCGATTTGCCCAAGACCCGAAGTGGCAAGATTATGCGCCGTATCTTGAGAAAGATTCTAGCTGGCGAGGAAGACCAGCTTGGTGATGTAACAACGGTAAGTACCTTATAATCCTCCTCTAGAATGCCTACTCATCGCGTAATAGCTTTCCGACCCCTCAATAGTTGAGAAGATCATCATCATCGTGCACGAGGCAAAGAGAAAGTGAAGCGTATAAAGGCTTCTGCTTCTTTTTTTCGAATTCTGATACCATTATGTCTTAGATATGCGGGGGATTTGGAGCGTATAAGATCCAACTAGTGACACCCATGTTTTAGCGGTTGAGTTTGTGCTCCCTGTGTCGTGGCGCTGATACGACCATTAGTTGGATGATTCGACGTTCCAGTTTCAGCCAATGTTACCCAGTTTTGGGCATTGCAGTTGGACAGCTCCGTCAACGAATAGCTGAAACTAGCTCTGTGTATAGACAGCGTATCAACACAATAGTTGATACTAGCTAATTGCATCTTTGCAGAAGTATACTTTGCAGTTTTTCACCTCATGAGCAGTATGTAAAAGGGGCGTTAACTAGCTCATTAGCCACATTACTATATAATACTAAAATGCATGTTGCACGAATCCAGTCCCGTTACGTTTGTAGATATCCGTAGGAAGGAGGCACAGCTCAAGGCCACCTTAGACACGTTGCGGAAACCCCCATGACTAGTAACATTATAACAGCAATAGCAACGTATTGGAAAGGTTACGACGAAGGGCCGCGTCACACAAGTCTTATTCGAAGTTAGCTTTTGCAGGCCAGTTCTTGGCAGAAGTCCCGACTTAGGGAGCTGGCGTCAGCGCTGGACGCTATCAAACAGACGTAGACGGATTTATGGCCTCGGGGAAAGACTACTTGGTAACGAGGACCCGATTCCTACAGCGCAAATCACGGAGATAACAGACATTGGCGGGTAGGAGTGGCTGATGCCGTCGTTGTTGGAACTGGTGGCTGCAGTTGGTTTGTTAAGGGCGTAGCTGGGCTGTACCGTTTGCATATAGGACACGGCTCGGTCCGATAGGGGGCCTAGGTAGTTGAACAGAAACTACATCCTAAACGATGCGGGCCTTGCCCTCAATATAAACGGCGTTTTCAATTGCAAGCACAACGGGATTTACTTCGTACGTCGCATTTTAATTCACAGGCCTTGCCCAGCTGCCCGGGTAGACTCCTGAAACCCCCCCTACAGGATGCTTGCGGAGTAATCCGTATAAATAGTAATATGTGAGCCGGGGTTGTTACGCCGCTTCGATATTTTAACTTCGTTATCCACATGAGGTGGTCATAATTTATTCAATACCTACAGTATATTTTGTAGGCTATCGGTTACCCGTATGCATGGACGTTGGTGACGAATTCGAGGAGAAGATGGTACTACTACTAATCCGTACATAGGTACTCTTATGAAGTAAACGCGCTGGCTGCCAAGACAGTCGGAGCGACCAATCATTGTCGGCGGTGTAAGTGAAGAGGACCCCGGATCTTATATAATAAATAATACACACATTACGTCCGGATCCGTACCTTCGTTACATGCAGGTAAGTAGCAGTTGCCCCCGCTTCAGGGACTGTCTCACCTGCCTTTTGCCATCTAGCAATAATTTGAATTGATACATGACTGCTACATGACTGCTATTGGCTCTAAACTGTCTTATGTAACTATTCCAAAAGCCTATTCTTCGCCTGAACCTTTCATGGCCAGCATCCATCCCCAACCTTGAAGGCACAGGACTTTTGCGCAGCCACACTTCCCATATTCCCACCCTCTTTTTCGTTTCGCCTTTCTTTTTTGTAATTGAAACATTTTGAATGTTGTCTTTTTACTTTCCTTCTTTCCTATCGGCCGTGGTCAGTTCTAGCTCTAGCTCTAGCTCTAATCATTTCCCCAGGTTTATTAGTCAATTTGTTCTTAGCGACTGATATATACGAGGATTTGTGAGCACCGAACAAAAACAAGTTCAGCCCGACGAAGATCCCAGCCCCTCTACATAGAACTAAGACCAAGCCTCCCTCAGCACGCCGCCGAGCCTATCTAGTTCGTCCTTATTGCGTGTAATTCACTTGGCATCGGCACCTACGGCATCTGTTGCTTGTTTCATTCTGGTTCCGCTTTCTCCCTGAAAATCTTAATATACGTTTGATGCTCTGTGAAGCATTGAAGCACTCTAATTGTTGTTCTTTCGTCGGTCTGCCAAACTACAACGATAATTTCCTAGTTTTTTTTTTATATTTATTTTTTAATATTCCACAGCTTGTTAGTATCGCGCCGGCGCATGGGGTCTTGAGAACAAGTAATTGTCCTCGGAGCAGGGCTTTTCCCATTCGATCATGCGCGGTATTCTCAAGGCCGCGGCCGTCATTTTATCAGCACTATCGCATTCCTCACTTGCTCATTCCGTTAAACGAAATGCCTTGAATTATATTAGTCGGCTCGATAACCCCGTAATACATACCGCCTCTAATCGAGTCCACGCTTATGCTTCATTTGATCTCACATTCCTACTGCACGACAAGAAAGACAAGATCCGGATATCCTTGGAACCTAACCTCGATGTGCTTTCAGATTCGGCAGTGGTACGCTATCTTAGTCCCGACGGGTCTGTGACGGAGGAGAAGATACAAAGGACCGACCACAAGGTGTTCAAGGGCCACGCCTTCGTACAACACCCGCATCATTCCGAATGGATCAATTCCGGTTGGGCGAGGATAACAGTCTATCGAGATGGTCCGAGGCCGTTATTCGAGGGAACGTTTCGGGTCAACGGGAACCACCACCACATCCAGACGGGCTCTAACTACAGACAAACGCAGCACGAAGATGATCCTAGTGCGGATCTTGCCGATGACGAGTACATGGTCGTCTGGAGGGATTCGGACATTAAATCGAGTTACGATGTTTCGGAATTGAAGCGCGGGCTCGGTGAGAAGTCGTGTTCGTCTGATATGCTTAACTTCAATAACGAGGACGAGCACCCCGTGCACCGGGGCCTGGATCTCCGTGATATGTCGGCGGTGGATGCAAATAGCCTTTTCGGCCGGGACGAGATTGACGGGACAACTACTGGGAACGGTGCTGGTGTCAATCTTGCTCAGAGTATCGGGTCTACTCAAGGTTGTCCTACCACCCGCAAGATTGCCCTGGTCGGGATCGCAGCAGATTGCACATACACAGCGCAGTTTACTAATAAGAGTGATGTGCGTTCCCATATCGTTCAGCAGGTTAGCTCGGCCTCGGCGCTATACGAAAGTTCATTCAATATCTCACTAGGTATCCAAAACCTAACTATTAGTGATGCGACATGCCCGGGAACCCCTCCGGATAGTGCTAAGTGGAATGTCGCCTGTAGCGACAGTGTCACGATTACGAATCGACTTAACTTATTTTCCGAGTGGAGAGGTCGGTTTAACGACACCAATGCGTACTGGACGTTAATGAGTACGTGCAATACCGATGCGGCTGTGGGATTAGCATGGCTAGGACAGCTATGCGCCCAAGGAGCGGGAACTCAAGCAGACTCGAGCGGAGGAAATGAAACAATCGCGGGAGCCAACGTCGTCGTCCGAACCTCGACCGAATGGCAAGTATTTGCGCACGAAACAGGTCACACGTTTGGTGCTTTCCACGATTGTGTACCCGACACATGCTCGGACGGTACGGTTTCGATGCAGAAGTGTTGTCCACTTAGTAGCTCTACGTGTAATGCTAACGGAGCTTTCATTATGAACCCATCTACCTCTGACGGCGTTACGCAATTCTCCCCTTGCACCATTGGCAACATTTGCTCGGCTATGGGTCGGAATAGCGTAAGGTCAAGCTGTTTGTCAAACAATAAAAACGTCGTTACAATCTCACCAAGTCAATGTGGTAATGGCATCGTGGAGGCAGGAGAGGACTGCGATTGTGGAGGTGAAGAGGGATGCGTCAATAACAGCTGTTGCGATCCAGGAACCTGTCGATTCAAAACCAATGCCGTATGCGATCCGACCAACGAAGACTGTTGTACGGCCCAATGTCAGTTCAAATCGTCGGGTTCGGTTTGCAGAGACAGCACTGGCTCATGTGACCCCCAGGAGACCTGTAGTGGTAATTCTGGGACGTGTCCTGCCGATGTCAAGGCAGCAGATGGTCAAGCCTGCGGTGCCAGTGGTGGTGGCTTGACCTGCGCTTCCGGACAGTGCACTTCTCGTGATTTACAATGCCGGACGTTAGTGGGTTCGTTGACTAACAATAACGAGACATCAGCTTGTGACTCGCAGACCTGTCAACTTCGGTGCGCTTCATCTCAGCTCGGACCGAACGCCTGCTATGATATGCAGCAACACTTCCTGGACGGCACTCCTTGCCAAGGTGGAGGGAAATGTAGTAACGGACAATGTAAGGGGTCCAGCTTCACCGACCAGGTAGGAAGCTTTTTCAACGACAACAAACACATTATCATCCCCGTCGTATCAGCCGTTGGTGGCATCGTCGTACTCTGCTTGTTATGTTGTATATTTTCATCTTGTCGACGTAGGTCACGGAGAAGAAAGATAGCCAAGACAACCCAACCGAATAGCAGCTGGGTTGGTGGAGCCGGCGGTGCGTGGGTTGCGAATCCTGTCTCCCGTCCACCCCCAGCAGCCCCAGGAAGAAACAATCGAGGTCCGCCGCAACAACAACAACAACAGTCCTGGCAAGGCGGAAATCAGTGGGCACCACCACCCAGAGCACCTACAATGCGGTACGCGTAGCCGCTCGGGTTGGGAGAACCTAGGCTGGCGACTGGGGAATCTGAGAAGTTGTAGGGCGTCATAGAGGGTATTCACAAGGTTCATCATATCGCGGTGTTTCAGGCGTTCCTGTCCGAGCGTGCATTTAGTTGAGGTACATATACCGTACTCACAATCACGAAACTCGGGACTTATTATTCGGCGTTTGGATAGCATTGGAGACCACTATTTTAGGTATATATGTACAGGTATAGGTCTATAGTTTTTTACTTACCTAGTTGGCATATCAGGACTAGGAATTATCTATTGTGGGGAGCAAGCGAACCAGCTGGATTTCAGCTGAATCTTGGCTTTTGGAAAGAAGAACAGAAGAGGAGAGGAGAGGAGGAACTCGGGTTTGGTTAAATACATACAACGGCCCTAGATGACGAACGCTTATGACCAGGAACAAATAAACACACTATAAGGCCCCAGTCCTGTCTCTATAGGTATTTATCTGTATCTCTATATATTTTCCTATTGTAAGGGCTTTCCGTAATGCCGTAACCTAGATCTTAATACTTATCCCAAATTTAGCGACGATTGTACTTGGTATTGCTTTTCTCGGGGGACGCACTTAAAAAAGGATCTATCATGGTAGTAAAACTTCACAGATGGCCCGTTCCCTAGGTACCCCGTGCGTCTACGCTAAGATTCTTGCTGCCCAATGGCTTGGGATAAATGTTGTCTATCCCTCACCGGTGATATATTATAGATATAGTTGCTCGAGGAGAGGACAAACCATATTCTCTCGACGCCGTTGTGCCTACATCATAACGCCCCCCTTTCTTTCCCCTTTTATTACTCCCGCTAGACTTCACCCTCTAACTATATAATGTAGGGTCAACAGATTTCTTCACGTCGAGCTAATAGATCTCATGATCCAACAGACACAGGCAACGCCCAACTATCCAAACAACCGAATTAGACACCGCTCCTCTCGTTCTTCTCTACCGCCGCCACCAACCCAACTTCCCAACTACCCATACTTCACCGAGCCTCCTTCCTGCTCGAACGACTAGGCGTCGACCCTCCCGGCGCGCGTGAGGAATCGCTACCACCGCTGCGGTGCGACTTCTTACGCGCGGACTGCGGCTGCGGCGGCTCCTCGAAACCGCATAGCATGCGGGTGTAGCGGAGCCGGGTAGCCGGTATGCTCTAGATGTTTTTGTTAGGGGACGAATACACGGGACTGGGATGGATGTAAGGGGGCGGAAGTAAAACTGAGAACATGGGAAATAGGAGTAAAATACAAGAGCAAACTCGGGACATAGGGGAGTGAATATTGCTGGTCTTTACGAAAATAGGGAGGAAATAGGGGTTATAAGAAAGAAAGAAAGAAAGAAGAGAAGGGGAAATACCTCGTTGTCCCGCTGCGCTGCCATCATTAGTAGTTCCGGGCTATCTAGAACTTGGGCGGCTACGCGGCGACGCTCGAGTACGGCGTAGGACTCGTCTTTGCCGCTAGAGTTGAGACGGCGTGTTAGTTCATACCTACCTAGTGTATAGAGTTGTACAAATTCTCGAGTGACGTATACGAGCAAAGGGGGGAGTAAGTGTCACTGGGTAAGTAAGAGAGAAGACATACCCTCCAGCCCGATACTTCCTATTCCCCTCGAGACCCCAATCGCTGCTAGCATCGGACGACTCGTATGGATCCTTCCCCCGAGCCTGTCGGTCCCTCATCTCGGCCGTGAACTCGTCGTCCGGGACTCCAGCTCCAACTCCAACTCCAACTGCCACGGCTCCGCCAGGGGTGTAGCCGCCGGTAGGAACCTGGTGATGATTGCTCATTATTAGATTTAGATTAGACTGGACAGCTTTGCTCCCCCCACTGCTCTGGACTTGGAAGATAGGTAGGTATGTGTGTGTGTATTGGTGGGATTTTTTTTATTTTTTTTTGGGAAACCGGGGCGCCCTGGCGAAGCTAATGTGCGTTCTGTTCTTTTCTTGTCTCGGTATGCCGGAAATGTGTCGTCGGTCAGTGGTAGTGGTAGTGGTAGGCTGTTTGTTTGTATGTACCTAACTAGTTAATATATTACGTATAAGACAGTTTGGTTTGTGATAAGTGGTCGAGGAGTTTGACCCAATGAGGGTGATTTTATGGGGGGGGGGGAAGGGATGTCGAGGATTAATTGATTGACGGCTGGATGCAATGTGAGTGTGTTGTGTAAGTTGAAGTAAGGTGGTTGTAAGAGAGGTATGTACCTAGGTATGTATGTATATACATACATAATGAGTAGCAAATAGCGAGTAACAAGGTAGCGAGTAGTGTAGCGAGTTGGCAGTTGGCCCCGGCGTTTAGGTAATATTTAGGTACATTAGGTACACTATCTAAACCTAAGCCAGATATTGTAGTAGTTCCTTCCCGCGGTGCCGGGTACGGGCTGCGGGCTTGGTGTGGGGGTAGGCAGTTGACGTACATAATTTGGTACTTGGGGAAAAAGGTATGTAGCCGCGGGGTAACGTGAGTACTGACCGATCTGATCTGGGATTGACAAGGAGCCAAGTTTCAATAGTTGAATACATACTTAAGTACTTAGGTACCTAATGTAGTCGAATACATGTATATAGAGGTATATATATAGTCGACTAAACAAGATACCTACATGTAGACATACCTAGCTTAGGTAATGTACATTAGAGTTAACTTACACAGGTGCGTATAACGAGTACATGTACATACTATGTACCCTGCTCACCTTATAGGATGGAAATGTTTACCTCATCCAACTTTTATCTTGGGAGTCTTAACTAATATCATAACTAGATAATCTATAAACTATTGGTTTCTCACCCTGACCTCCGTCAAAGCTGAGCACGGGATCAAACGAACTCCTTGTCGCGCCTCATTTATGCGCACCAATCGGCGCTCCCACGGGCAAGATTCTCCCGAATGGGACAACTTTCCCGTACCCGCTCCGGTCTCCGGTGGACCCTAATACGTGAGGGGAGAGGCGCGTAGCGGAGAGCCCAATGCCATATGAATAACAGGCGAGTCCGGGCTGGTGACAATGTCTTCTCCTATGACTTTTTCTCCTAGGTAGGTATACTCCGAGTCTGGAATTGTGTATCAAGGAAAAAAGGAGAGAAGTACTCAATAAATCACAATGACTACCTTCACCAAGATCACGGGAGATGAAACTCCCCTTATCGAGGTAGACGCGGCCAAGCGCCTGTCTAAGATAGATCCTATGATATATGGCGGCTTTACCGAGTAAGGGACATTCATCCTTGATATAAGACAAGATAACTAACAGCATAAACCAAGACATATGGGCCGCTGCATCTATGGAGGTATCTACGACCCAACCAACCCGCTGTCCGACGAAGACGGCTTCCGGACAGACGTGCTCTCGGCTCTTCGCGAGATCGACATCCCAGTAGTGCGGTACCCCGGCGGCAACTTCGTCGCGACGTACCACTGGCAAGACGGCATCGGGCCCCGGGAAAAGCGGCCCTCCCGCCCGGAACTAGCCTGGCTCGGCACGGAGACCAACCAATTCGGCACCGACGACTTCATGCGCTGGCTCGACAAGCTCTCGGCCGGCAAAGACCGCCGCGCAGAGCCGTACCTATGCCTGAACTTCGGCACCGGCACCCTCGACGAAGCCCTAGCCTGGGTCGAGTACTGCAACGGCACGCGGGACACGTACTACGCGAACCTGCGCCGCGCCAACGGACACCCCGAGCCCTACCGCGTCAAGTACTGGGCCCTCGGCAACGAGGTCTGGGGTCCCTGGCAAGTCGAGCAGATGACCAAGGAAGACTACGCCAAGAAGGCCATCCAATGGGCCAAAGCCCTGCGTCTCCTCGACCCGAGCATCGAGCTCATCCTCTGCGGGCAAGACGGCCAGAGTTCTTGGGACCACTACGTATTGCACGAGTGCGTCGGCTGGGTCGACATGCACAGCATCCACATATACACGGCGTCCAACAAGCACCTTCACAACGCCACGGCTCCCCTAGCCGCCGAGCGCGCGATCCAAATCACCGCCTCGCTAATCGATCTCGCGCGCATCGAAAACAAAGTCTCCCCCACGAAGCCGCCCACGCGCATCTGCTTCGACGAGTGGAACGTGTGGGACCCGGAGCGCGCGCCGGGCGAGAAGGGCGCCGAGGAGCAGTACACGTTGTCTGACGCGCTAGCCGTTGGGGTATGGCTGAATGTGTTTGTGCGGCAGAGCAAGTACATGGGCATGGCGAATATTGCGCAGACGGTTAATGTCATTAGTCCCCTTATGACGAACGAGCATGGCGTCGTGCGCCAGGCTACGTGGTGGCCGCTGTTGTTGTTTAGTAAATACATGCGCGGCTGGACTGTTGCGACGCATGTGCGGTCCGGTGCCTACGAGGGAGAGACGACACCGGCTTGGTTACAAGGGACGCTAGGCGAGACGGGCGCGCCATGGCTCGATATTAGTGCCGCCCTTGGTGACGATGGCTACGTAAACCTGGCCGTTGTCAACATTAGCGAGACGGAGGACTTCGCCGTCCAGCTAAAGGGTGTTGGTGCCGATGTGTCTATATACACCGTGTCCGGATCTCAAGTTAGTTCGACGAATAAAGAGGGCAAGGAAGAGGTTAGCTTGTCGGAAGGGAAGTGGGATGGTCAGGGGAAATACACGTTTGCAAAGCACACGGTCACATTATTGAGGTGGAAGTCGTAGAGCTGAGCTAGGCTAGGTTTGAACGACATAATAAAATTATCTGACATGACTCTCACAGTTCGTACACCAACACGGATTCGCTGTGGATGCCGGGTGTTGTAGTGCTTATACAAAAAAGGATGACCCGTTAGCTTATGTATACCTGAAAAAATGCCTCGCCCCAATGCTCCTAGCTATATGATAGTAACGCCTCGCCGCCTCCAAGATAGCCAGACATGCCGATCCGATACCCAGGAGTCGTCTCCTCGTTTTTGTCATAATAAATCAATAACGACAGTCCCTACAGTAGCTCCATGACACCTATCGCGACGATTCGCCTCACAACCTAGAACGGCCGTCCTTTGTTTCTTCAAACCGTTACCAGTAGGTGTCTAGACCTTGCGGTACTAGATCATAGATTCTATAGCTTCGTGGGAGCTTGATATTGCACTCGAAAATGCTGTAATAATATTGGTATGCCTTTAGTAGCGACTTTTCGCTACTAGCAACCAGTTAAGGCCTCGAGCCGACAAATATATCCTGATACGCTATGATAGTCGCTATCATCCCACCAATAACTGGGATATAACGTAATCCTTTGCGTTTGCTAGTGGAAGGCAACGGAGATATCATTGTAGTCTATCATCGGAAGTTGATAATAGCGAGCTGGCTTTTGTTAGCTTACGGCTAAATAAATTAGGTATCGTGACTTACCCGGCTGTTGACTCCATAAGCAAGTTTATGGCCTGTTATATCCCATTCTAAACAATGTTCGTCCTCCTTCTCCGACTCGGGGTTCATTCGTGGGCTGAGCCAACCGGGATGGGGCGCTCGGCTCCAACTTGCCCGGGGAATATTGCAGTCACCGACCTTCCAGATTAAAATTTTCTCGATCGTAGCTACAGCAATAAATGCGCCATCGGGGGTAAATGCCATCGAAACGATTGGAGAATCCATGGTCATAGAACATTTCGCTTTCCCGTTAAGAGCCAGGGCATTCCATATAAAAATAGCCCCGTCCTCACCACCAGAAGCCAAGAGCCGCTCGTCATCCGGGGGTGTCTGCTGCAAGGGCTGCCAAGCTAACGCCGTGACCGCATCATAGTGCGCTTCTATCTCACGCCGCTTACCGTTGCTGTCCCAGATCTGATAGTGCACCCGTTAGAAAGCAGCCTAATTTCGCCTAGAGGGAACTACTTACGTCGACAAACCCTTTCTCCCCACAAGTAGCCACCAGCGAAGTCTTCCAGTCAAATTGGACTTGGGTTAAGGTATCACCTTCGCGAGTGTCGAACTTCCGGATTTCACCAATTTCCCCATCAGCACACCTTAAAGCTATTAATAAGTCACCACCACCTATTAGAAACTCGGATTCGCTAATCCATGCAGCATCTAGCGGCTCCGAATCAAGATCGTGTCGTGGGAGGGAATATGTCAGTGTATTAGTCGATGAGGCATGGTAAATAGTTATTAAGGCACCGCCGTTATCCGGTGCGATGCCCAAGATAGCTGTATTATTAGGATTCCAGCGCAGTTTAAAGACGGGAGGTTCGGCAACCTCGAAACGTTGTAGATGAGCACCTTCGTAAGTCCAGAGGTCAATTCGAGCTTTCGATTCCGAATCTGTAGCGACAGCGATAGTAGACCCGTCCCAATTCCAGGCCATCGCAGTAACTGTGGCCGTGGACTTAATATCGTCTTCGACTAGGGAGTGGAAACTTGGACTGCCGCCATTCACGTGACCATTGAATGCAGGGTCGGTTGTGGCTCCACGAGAAACGTTCCAGATGCGGGCTAGCGCATCGGTTCCAGCAGCCGCCAAGATGGTGGGATCTCGGGGATGCCACTGACAATGCAGTAGCACAGGCGCGTTCTCGCCATTGATTCTTGCCAATGCTGTGGTTGGCGAAGATGTTGGCGCATCGTCGTGACCAGAGCCTAGGGGGATAAATATGGTTTCGGTAGCCAATTCCTGGACTTTGTCAACCTGTGTGCCCTGGTCGGGCCCGTCAGTTCGGGGAGTTGGTGTTGGCGCCTGTTCGCCCTCTTGGGGGGAAGGGTAAGCATGGTTGTCGTGGTTCTGCCCGTCAAGTTCCATCGGAGTTGTGGCTGCATCCACCCCATTTTCGTACCCATTACTCAGTCTTGGTCGCTTAGCTGGGGAACCATTCAGAAGCGCCGTTTGTGATTGCCTTTCAATTTGACGCTTTCGGTTATTTTCTGCATCAACACCGGACGTAGTTGTCGCTGCAGCTACTGTTTCTGTCTCTGCCTCGTCATCCTGGTCCATTTCCTCCGTTTGCTGCTGTTCCTCCTGCTCCTGCTCCTGCTGGTGAAGCGGTGGACCTGCAAGTAGTGGACCAAAAATACCTAGTTGCATCGCCTCGGCCACTGCCGCCGCAGCGGCATCACGGGATAACTACGCAGAAGAAACCTGTCAGTGCCCATCTGGCCGAATTCTGGAAATTAGAGCAAAAATGATTTTGACTCCATCACAACCCATGCTGAAGACTTGTCGCGCGCAGTGCACCTCGCATAGAAAATAATTAGGATGAATTCAGTTTTTGCATCGACATACCTGTTGCGACTGTGCATGCTCTCTTTCTAATGAGTTATACAATAGACCCTTGTTTATGACATTGACTAGCGCATGGCTTTTGACATGTTGCGCGAAATCTAGCTGTCGGTGAGGTTCCTCGACGTGCCACTCTTTTTGGAATTTGACGGCTGTCTCTCGATAATCTGCAACTTCAGGTTAATTTGACTCCGGCCCGTCTATAGCAACGTCACCGCTGTGTGTGCATACACACATACACACTCACACATCATTGCATAGCTCAAGATGCGTGAGGTGCGCGACGGCGTTATGAGAAACACGTACTGCCTTCTATTAAATATCTGCGATTTGATGTCAATGACCCGGTAAGAAGCGACGGCACAGGAGTAACGGGGGTACGGAAAAAGGCACAAGCACTCTGGTGTGTGAAGAAAACCGGAGATACCTAAGTAAGAAAAACATACCTCCAAATCAAGAAATTGACTCGGTTAGAGTCTAAATACTCCTTCATGGTCGCAAACGAGGGGCTATATGAAGGGGTATGATGCTACAATATCTAATAGTTCGAACAGTGGTGTCCTTATACTGGGATAGGCGGTATTTTGATCTCTTCTCATGAGGATGGTGAAGGAAAGAAGACAACGAGATTTTGGTTGTCAGGCCTTGAATGATTTGAGATGCATCCACGGGCAGGGGCTAAGCTACTATGGTACTGCCTTCCTAGTAGATCCACGCCAAATCCATCTTAGTACGGAGTGCTTAAGTACTTACATACCCTACACGCCGTTGCTAGTTGGGGAGCTACAGCCTACCTTGGTACCTACAGGGTATGTAACTAACCCAATTTTGTATGGTTAAACAACTTACATAAGTACCCAGGTATCTACATATAGGTACGTACATATATTACATGTAGGTACATTATGTATGTACTACCTAGCGAAGTACAGACGGCGACCGACTTTAAACTAAAACGCCTGAACGAAGCATTATCGACGTATAGCCAACGCAAACGGTTTGCACATTTAACTTGACTAATTTACCTAGCTACATACCTCATAACAGCGTACGGGGTCGAGAGTTGAATTGGAAATCTCTGAGAGTGCAAGGGGCCTGCTTCGGGGCGACTTTGATTGTACAGTGTAGGGCTGTTGCTCCGCTGCAAGATTTTGACTGGACATCAGCACTGAGTTGGTTTATTAGTCGAACCCTCTCCCTCAAAAAGGATTTAAGAAGGACCCCCATTTTTTACCATGCGAATAGTCTTGATCAAATTGCCATTGTCGAATGGCTCTGCTGCATATTGCTTAGACGGAAACCCTGTCCGAATCAGGTTCAGCATCGTAGCCTTCTTTTCATCATACAGTGTGTCTCAGTGACATTCTTTCACCACATCTTGTTGATGATCCACGCGGTAGCGGTAGGGCGTTTCCTGGTGCTGCAGGTGTTCTGTCGGGTGGGAGGGATGGATGGAGAGGCTAGACTCTATTTTGCTAGGGAGACAAGACGGCTTAGCCTATGAGGTAATTTTCCTTTGAACAATAGAAACGACAGCGAAACTCCAGACGACTCCATAGGCAATGGTCAGGGTTTATCATTTTATTAATCCGTCATCCTGGCTTGGCTAGCTTGGCTGGGGTACACCCGGAAATTCGCAATCGGAGAGGATCTAAAAAACTGAGATCGGTCGTGCTTCAACGCAATAGGAACACGTAAGGAAATATAACCGCATTATAATGAAGTTCTTTTGTTTATTATAACTATATGTGAATAGATCCGACGACCAATACTAATTCTATATTTTAGTCCTATAGATTTCGAGCTTGTATAACTATTGTAATGTAGGCAAGTATAAAGGAAGTTTGGGTTCGGCGGCCGCTAGAGCTGAGAAGAGTACGTACCAGAGAAAGTCGTAGCGTACCAAGTTTAGGCGAAAGAAACAGACGATCTTTCAAGACTTTGCCATCCGACTAGCGAATCGCCTTATCCGCTTGAGGCTTAGTGCATTGAAAATAGCATTGTGCCTCTCCGGCATCACCAACAATCCCTACCAGAATACCAGAATACCTACATGTACCATAGTAAATATGCAACAGCGCTAAAAGTTAAAGATGCCTAGGTTAGTGCAGACGAGAGAAGACAGAGAGAGTTAGTCCTCTTTTACTTCCTCGAGGTCCTTTGCCATGACCGTAAAAATCCGCAATAGTAACATCTATCGCCCAAAGCACACGAGACGTAATATTCTTAGATGGTTCAATGGATTATCCTATTATGGAGCTGCAAATCATGTACATACAGCATACATAGTATGCATGTGCCTGCACTAAGATGAGGAGGACAGGTAATCTATGGGTTCCACGAGTTACACATCATCGGCTTTTATCAGTCGAAACCATTTCGAACCTTGCTCCCCTGCAGAAAATTCGTGGCCCTAGAGACCGGGGCTAATCTATCTTAGGTACTTGGTACTTTGTTCAGGTCACGCACACGTACGAATCTCTCTCACTCCGGTTCGGTAAAATCGGAGGCGGATAGATGGATGAATATTGCGTGCAAGTATATAGAGGCCTATCTAAGGGTCTATCTAAGAGCTTAGCCATGTTGATAACAGCTTGAAGCTTTATTTCGTATTGTGTTGATATGGTATATGTACCTAGGTACTTTTGCGGTCCCTGGCCGGAGGGAGGGAGCGACACATCCGTAAAGGTTAATTTTGATGCTTTTTTCCATTTAAAGCACAGGGCATCTTATCTAAATGTATGTAGGTACCTAGGCTTGGGCTACCTCTCCCTGCAGAAGGAGGTAGCTTACTAAAATTGTGGCTGACGGGAAACGCACTGGCCACATCAGCCGTTACCAAACTTAACCTCGTAAGGTGATGTGCGGCTTCGACGCGACCCCGAAAAACCGACATCTCTCAAATTCTACCTCGAAGCTCAAATCCCTATATCCAAACCGCCGCCATGCCTCCGCGACTAAACATCCCACCTGTTACCCGTGTAGTACTCGTAGTCTTGCTTCTACAATCCGTCTTAAGTGCTGCCGTGCGCTACCGCCAGTGGTCTGCGCATTCCGAAATCGTCGTCGAATGGCTGACACTCATACCTCAACTGTCGCTGTTCTATCCCTGGACGTTCTTGACGGCTACTCTGGTCGAGAACAATATCTTTACATTGGCGATCGCTGGTCTGACCCTTTATCATGGAGGGAAATACCTGGAAAGAGCTTGGTCTTCAAGGGAATTCGCTAAATTCCTACTTGTGGCATCCCTGATACCCAATACTTTAACTTTCTTGATTCTCGTCACACTATTCACTATCACTCGCAACGAGAGATGGACGTAAGTCCCGCCCCCCCGGGATGTTCTAGGTTTTTGTTACATGCAGCTGAGAGTACTAACAAATAAAAATCCAGGTTGACAACTATTGCTGGCACGATACCCCTTCAGATCTCCTTTCTTGTCGCTTTTAGCCAACTCGTTCCCGCGCATACCGTTACACTTTTCCGAGGTGTTCTGTCTTTGCGCGTACCGAAGTTTCCCCTCATATACATCGGCCTTGTTGCTGTGCTGTCCTTGACTCCGTTGCTCACGAGCGCTTCCTTGTTCTCATCCATATTCGGTCTCCTTGCTAGTTGGACGTATTTACGATTCTATAAGACGATTTTCCCGGATCTTGATTCTTCGCAACCGACGTCTATGCGCGGGGATGCGAGCGAGACGTTTGCTTTTGCTGAATTCTTCCCGGGGCCAGTTAAGCCATTCGTTGCCGCAATTACCGAGCCGATTTTCAACCTGTTGGTAGCAATGAGGATATGCACGCCTTTCTCACAGGCTGATATCTCCGCCGCGCAAGGCAGTAGCTTTATACAGCGTAGCGGTCATGGAGGTGTTAGGGCTGAAGCTGAAAGACGGAGAGCCTTGGCTCTAAAAGTACTTGACCAACGTCTCCATGCTGCCACTGCGGGACCCAGTAGTGGCTCACGAAGTCAATCGCAGCCTCCTAACCAGCCAGGCGGCTCGGGAGCACATACTCATCAGCAGCCGAACGCTCAGGCTGCGATGACATCACAGCCCACCACCGTGTTGGGAGAGACAAACTATAATCCTGATCATGATCATACCGACAAGAGCGACTCTTGAAGTGTTTAATTTTCTGCGGAGGCTGGCGGGAGGCTCTCTTGTTTGGATCTCGAAACACCCCCTTTGCCATATGTCCGAATACGCGTGTATTTCTATTTTGGGAGCACTTGCGAGTTCGGAGTCGGCATTAGAGGATGAGGCATCTGGGTTTTGAGTTTAGGGAGTGAAATATCCCCAATCGAGTAATATCAAAGCGCCGGCTACAGTGTAGTTCACACGATGGCCGGATAGCTGTCGGGTTCAGTTTGGCTGGTCAGCAAGCTACGGTTGAGATTCCCGTTTGGTTTTATCGAGGACTACAAACCGAGCTTGAGATGCAGCATTATATGACAATTCTACGATAGATATAATATCAGCACTGCTTAGAATTTGGGTAATACGGCATGCCATCACATACCACACTGTCCACATATCTGTTTTACAGTATTTCACCCATAGAAGGATATATGCTGTCGCGTAGCATACAATAGCATACGACATCGTACAAACTCGCCCCGCCGTAATCCTTCTTTGCAATGAGTTAAAGAACAACGAACAAAGGGGGTAGAGAAATATATATGGTTATATACAATAGTGTATGATTATTCACTAGCAAAAGGTTATATGTCTTTGATTTATATAGTGCCTAAGTAGATCAGCGGTTTCCACAAGGTAAAGGGAATAATCGTTAAACAATGTTTAGCCTACATTTTCAAGTAGGGCTTTGCCGAAGCCATGTCTTATATATCTACCACCAAACCCACGAGACAAGATAGTAGAGAGCTTTTGATTGCTTAATTCCCCCTGGGCAATTCCTCTCTCTAGATATTCTCTAGTTATATGTATGCCTACATGTACTACCATGAGACGACCGTTGAGCGTAGAAGAACTCGTCTCGTGTTAGTTAGTCAGTACCTAGTGACGCCGTTTGAGTACTCACCTAACCTAGACCCAATTTAGACCTAATCTACCTATTCGTCTAAATACGGATGTCATACAGATGTCTAAACCCCACCTACACGTAGTGCGAAAGGTTAATAGGTACCTGTAACGTGGCTCTGAGATGTGGCATTGTGGCTTGTTTAGATCAAGCCGGTCGAGTTGCATCAAGAATGGATCTTAAAATAGTGGATACCATGTGGCTTATACCGT